AAAACACAAGAACAGTTGAAAATTTGACCTTTTTGAGAGCAACAAAGCTATTTTCTGATGTTCGGATGAAAAGAGATCCGACTGGAAATGTGTATAATTATAATATATGCAAAAACTTACTTGGATAATATTTTGGCACAGGCATGGAAGATGTGTCAGTATTTTTCGGCTGTGCAGTTCCATCATATTCTGCTAAAAATGCAAAAATCAGGATAAATATGACCTGAATCACAATGATAAACACTGGAAACTTAATTCTCTTGGACAGAACCATCATTGCTTTCTTCCTCTTCGTAACTAATCTTTATCCCTTAATATACACAATATCGTAATTATTTTACCGATGCAATTAATATCCCATGGTTTGATGCTGTCATCCAATGAAATCCCTTATTCAAATTCATGGGGCGGTACAAGAATTAATCGATCTCGCCGCGTCCAATCGTAAGGAAGCATTAAAGGGGATTCCTTAATGCTAAATAATGTCTTGCCAATCAAATTGGAGATGTTTGGTCACAGATGAGGTCTGTCATTCACACTGTGTAAGCCATCCATCTGAGAACAAGGCCAATATCATACTGAACGCTATGGTATCCTAAACCTTTAGACTAATGCTACCCATCACTGACAAACTATCATAATTATATACAACTATGCAAGCAGTGAATACCACGATAGCAGTGAACCACCATTGGTCTCCAGTGTAGTTATATACAATAAATTAATTTTTTTATACAAAAAAAAATTAAGAGCTCAAAGCACTCTTACAAAGCTATTAGGAAAAGTCATGTGGGCAATCCTCGTAAACCTGAATCTGGCACAGTGGTGAATGCAGAATTTGCCTTCTTTGGCAATATTTCGGTATTTAGCAGTGATTTGTCAAGTGTTGGTAATATTGTAATCTAAATATAGTCCATAAAAATTTAGGGTCTTTAGAAGATAAATCTGACAGTTACTTATCCATTTAATGTTTTTGGCTCACCAGTTATACATTTTGTTATAAGCCATATATTTCGAAGTTTTTGTTTGACTTTGTTTACAAATACTCTTGGTCCTGAAAGAGCAGCCTCTGATGTTTAAATTACCAGAATCACGTGATCACATGACACTTTAAAAATAGTTCCGGAAAATGATGGTTGCCATCCATTACCGTGATAGATTGCAAAACGATTAGCATAACTTTCACGGTACCCATTTGCGAAAAAGCATGTGCATATTCGCCAATCCTCGGCTGTTTCCGTCAGCCTTAATTACTGTGCGATAGCAAATCGTTTTGTACATGTATTGAATTTGGTCGAAAATTGGCTAAGGCCAATATTCAGTATGGTTGGACCCATATCAAAATTAGCGGAATAAATTCTTGAAAATCCTGACTTGATTCTGAAATAAATAGTTTGTAACAGTGCAGAATGTCTTTATGTCAACGATACCACGCACAACTATTGGCAGAACAATGAATGACCTAAAAAATAACTGTCTTTTAGTCGCTTCAGAGAAGTATGTATTCATTCATTTAATGGCACGTTCCTACAATCTCATATGGATGCCCATAGTCACAGAGAGAGATATACATGAAACGATCCATTTCTCGGTGGTCAGAATGTACGGCATGTACAAATTATATATTTTTAGTAACACTGGAATGAATGTGGTCTGTATAATGTTAAGCTATTAATATCATTTTACACCTTTGACCTTTAGCTGACAACATCATAATATACTATCATAGTTAAAGGGGAACAGACGTGTAAAAATAAGTGCAGGAGATCAAATAATCAATAATTTATTTGGTTTCCTAGCTATAATAAGAGTCTAGTCTACGTACCCCAAAACTATGAGGGAGTTGTAAGTAGACAAAAATTCAGCTAGTATATGTTTTCTATAAACGTTTAAAGGGAAATGTTCACAGTCTGTTTGATCAATCGTACTTTAGTATCAGAAACATGAAAAGTGTTTCACTGTCGAAATTCTAGCCTCCAAATCAATATGTATACAGAATTATCTGCATTTGAATGTTAAAATGACGATTCGCCCTTTTGTGATACTCCGCCATACATAGCAAAGACATATATAGAAATTTCAAAATATGCTCATTGCATACTTATGGTTAAGGCTTGTCTTCAAAAACCTAATCCTAAACCTTAGTAGTCTAAGTAAGACTTATTTAAATGATGTGCACATCCGCAGACGTCATATTTTCAATCTAAAATTCTCTGCAAACAGCTGAAAAGGTTCACGAAAGCTAGCTTGCTTGACACTATGGTAGTTTTCTGTAAGACGACTACATTCCTTTAATATACACAAAATAATGTAGTTGTTCGCATTCCAGGAAAAACCTATAACACTGATGTTTACAGTGGCGGCGCCAATGGGGGTACAGAGGGGGCATTTGCCTCAATAGAAAAATGGTTTGCAGCCCAGTTATTCGTCTACAATGAGTTGCCGCATTTTGAATTCAGCCTCGACAGTTGTTCCCCCACTGAGTCTGTCCTCAATTTGTACCCCATTCTCGTGGGCCTCGCGCCGTCAAAGACCCTATTGTAAATTTAAAACAAAGTGCATGTCGTTCAGTTGCCGAAATTTCATCATAGCTATAAGCATTCTATCATTAGTCATCTTCAAAATGATTAAGGTATAACGTCTTTATCTTATACCTTGACTGCAATGGCCCACTTTCTTGTTTCACGGAAGTTTGTAAATGCAGTAATTTGGCAGGATACGCTAGCGAATACAACCATTCTGAGCTCGAAAAAATACCGTAATAAATAATTACGCATGAAATCGGGTGTTCTGGTTGGCTGCATTCGCTTTATTAAGTCATACTTAATATTTACTCTCAAACATAAAATGAAAGGTGTGGTACAGTTACCTCAGTAGGCGACTATAACTGAACTGGACTCGAATTTCACTATTAAAGAGACAAGTTCGCCATCGTTTGATCAATTATACTTTAGTCTCAGATATATAAGTAAATATAAATAAGTATATAAAGTAAACGTCCACACATCAGATTTGTTAAAGTTTGTTTGTAGACAAACTGTAAGTTTAATTCTATTCTAAAAAGTGACATTGATGGCAATAAGTGAGCTCTTTCAACTGGTTAAGCAAATATCCAGATGACAATATCTGATAATAATCACATCAAATCCAATTTCATCCTGAATTGTGCCCACAAAAAAAAATTAACTCGATTTTACTAGGTCAAGGGCAATAACTCAAAATCCGTTTATCGAAAACGAACCTGACCGAGATCTTATTAATTCCAATGCTCACACCAAATTTCATCAATATCTATAGAAAATTGTAGCTTCTGTTGTGCCCACAAACAAATTGAGAGGCGATTTTACTAAGTCAAGGGCAATATCTCAAAATCCGTTTATCAAAAAATGGTTAAATTCAAACTTGACCGAGATCTTATTAATTCCAATGCTCATAACAAGTTTCATCAGAATCTATTGTGCCCACAACAAATGTTGACGGGTGACGGCAATATACGACCACATTTCTATGTGGACGTATAAAACTCCTTAAGAAAAGTTTGTTTACATGGTAGGACAAATCCTATAGGTCAATTAGTCACGTGACAACTGGAGCAGAAAAAAATGGAGGGAGCTTATGAAATTGGAAGAGATACACTGAGAATGAAATCTCACTTCCATGAATGCTCATTATTAACAAAAACAGGCTGATAAAGTTTTCGGTGTCGCATCTTGACAGATTATGTATCGAGGGTCGTCTAGGGAGATCGAATTTGATTGGTTAGTTCTTAAGATAAATCCTACAAGAATAGAAGAAGTTCTTCTCAAATTAAATAAGATTTATCCTAAGGTAGGAAATTATACCACCTATAAGATAAATTATTCCATTCACATGAGAGGATAATCACTGTTTAACAGGTTTTTTATCAATAGATGGGGAACTCTTTTGAATTGGAGGTTCAAAAACATTCACATTAACAAAGATCATCTAAAAATTATAACTTTTATTCCTCATGTAGTAATAGGTAGCACACAATGATGAGAGAATTATATACAAGAGAAGTGGGTTATTAAGAGTCCTGTTCAGTGAGTTTAAAAGGATACTACCTCTTAGAATGGACATCAAAGTTTCAAACTTTGTCAACAAGTGTATCTATACATCAGTTGGACATACCAGGTGCCATGACTAAAGAATAGAATCTCTATATAAGATGATATATCCATTAACCTAAGTAATTATGAAAAATGCTTCTAACATGTTTCAAAATTACTTAGTTTAATGAATTAATATTTAGTTTTATGAACGCATTAGATTATAAAGGGATTTTGCTGTATAGTTATGACACCAGGTAAGTTCACTGATGAACTCATTTTAACCAAGTTTTAAAATTTCAAGAGGTAGTATACCTGTCCTGATGAAAACATAAGAAATGCAACGATCTTGCAATGAACAGGAGTTTTTCATCTTATTTTATCTGTCTGATCTGTGTTTTCATTTATTTTTTCATTTATAAAATGGATAAGAGTCGCCTCTCTAAGATGCAGGGGAAAAGTAATGATAAATTTAGGACGAATTTAGTTAGAAGGAAGGGCTTAAAATAAAAATCACACATGAAAAAATAAGATTAGAAAATATTTACAAAATATGTACAGAAAATGTCAGGTTTTTTTTTAAATCTCTAAATTGCTATTATTTTAACACAATACAAAGGAAGCTGAAAATTCATAAGTTGACACAGAGAGAGTTACATGTATACCACAGCAATGAAACTTATTTTACATTACATTCAACATTTCCTGATACTAACTGCATTGTTTTATTCAGATCAAATGACACCGATTGATTTAAGACTTTAAAAAGTAGAACCAGAAAATGAAATGAAATGAATGGAGTCTTACGTCATACTTTTCAGCACCATGTGGGCTAATGAAGACGGGCAACACCATGCAGGGTGCAATGAGGGAAATTTTGCCAGGACAGCAGCTTTTTTTTTTATTTCCAACTATCGAGTGATCTTTAATGTGCACACCTGTAGCACACGGGGCCTCGGTTTAATGTCCGATCCAAACAGCTTGACGCTTTTTCCATGTCAGCCCTTCTTATCTGCATCATTAATAGGGGGAAACCGGGTTGAAAAATCCGAAGGTATTATCTTGACTTATGACGGGATTGAACCCTGGACCTTGAGGTTAGCGAGCAAGCGTCACCTCCAAGTAGAACCAGACATCACCTTTGCCTTCTTTGGACGGTGATTTCATTGCTCTATTATATAACTCCTTCAGTGTCAGCCTATGAACCTATGAAAAATTTTGAGATTTTTCAAATGTCTTAGAAGCCAAACAAATCTATTTTAAAATACAGTCATACATTTTCTTTATGTGATATCGTCATCTAAAATTCTACTTTACCAGCTGAAAATAATACCCCAAAAGTTGGATTTTGACAATTCTGAGTTGTACAGTATTTCAATTGTAGACAAACTGTAAGTTTAATTTTATTCTAAAAAGTGACATTGATGGCAATAAGTGAGCTCTTTCAACTGGTTAAGCAAATATCTAGATGACAATATCTGATAATAATCACATCAAATCCTATGATATTTCATCTTGAATTAAGATTTTTTGTCCTGAGCAGGTGGTGAATCTGAGGTAACACTGTTAGTAGTTGCTGTATTAGGTTTGTTTCTAAAAGATTTCTGTAACACATAGGCATCTGCAGGTTCAATTCTTTTATAATAATTCTGTTTTTCTTCCACAATTTCAAATCCAAATTTCTCGTAAAACTTGATAGCTCCTTCATTGTTAACTTGTACATGTCTACAAATTAAACAAAATTCAAAATATCTTGGGGGAAAATGGTGGAAGAAACCCATTGAAATAGCTACTAACAAGCAGTTTTGCCATAGTGGCAGTTTAATGTAACTGCAAGAACGACAGACGTCTGATCAAAAATTTGAATGATGCGAAATTTGGACTTGAAATCAATGTTATCAGTGTCCCGGATATACATAAAAATCTAAGAAAAACTCTTAACAATCCCTTTAAAACACTACAATACAGTATAAGAAGTTGTCAAAATGTCAGAATACAGCCTGTAGTTGTATGTTGTTAACAAATCCTACTTACAGAAAGACATTATCATAATTTCCATCTTTAGCACAAATATCTAATACATGTTCTACCATCACTGTTCCTAAAAAAACAACAAAATTCATGAAATAACATTGATAGTTATAGTGTTAATAAAAATGTGAAAGTTGAATTTTTTAGGACTGATATTGCCTAGGGCCCCGGTTCCCAACCGGGGGTGGGATGTGGGACTAGGATGTCAGGTGTGTGGCCAAATGGTGTAGAAGAATTTATTTTGAATTGAGAGAGCATCTCACATCATCACATGCTGAAAATGTGGATGATACAAATTTTAAAGGGTGTGAATGGTCAAGGTGATTGCTCCAAGGGTGTGAAGGCTGCAACAGGTTGGGAACCACAGGCCTAGGGAATTTGATTTCCCTGCTCTTTCTGTTTATATTGTAATAATCAGGGCAAAATTTCAAAATATTTCCAGACTTTCTTTGCAATTTCAATGAATTTAAGGCCAAATTCTTGTTTTGATATACTCTTCTGAGCAAAAGTTGAATCTTGTAGAAGAAACTACATGCAAGTCAGCTATATAAATCATCTTTCCTCATTATTCCAGTAAGCCAAACAATAATTTGGTATGGGTAATCCACAAAGGATTGTTTCTACAAGATTTAGCCAATAACCAACCAAAACCTTGACAAGATTGTTGTCATCTTTGTAAATTGAATATGTCTTACATAAATTCTTTCACATGACCTATCAACCAAAGTAAGACCCTGGTTATGATTTTGTTTTAGGATAAGACAAGTAGCTAATAGCCATAATACCACCAGTTCTTTACTACTTAAAATATTATACTTAAAGATGGGTTCCCTTGTTTTCATTTTTAGAAAATGAAAATACTTATACTTGTATGAATTGAAAGTAGGGGTGTTCTAATGACTTGTAAAAATACCAGTTTGTCTCACATGACCATAATTAATTCATAATTAGCTAAATTAGAAGAGAATTACCAGAAGTATTCCAATGAGTGACCGATCAAGAAAGGTCAATAAATCTTTTCTTTGTTTATCAGGCTGTATACATGGACATTTATGATTGGTTAAAACCCTTTATGATATGCAATAAGAAGTTTAAGAACATAATGATATGATTAATAAACATGATAATTCATGTGGAAGGATAATTCTAAATATATTTTTTTTTGTGTGCAGTGACAGTCATGCGGATGTTGATAAAATGTAATGGTCTCATGATATATTGACTCTATGTCCAGAACTAAGTATTGACTTTCATATGACATATTGGAAAGTTTTCAATGAGATATCTGGAAAAAGTTATATAAGGTTGAATTTCGTGATTTAACAGGTTTCAAATGAATAAAGGGAGGCAACTCCAGACATACTGAAATACCAACAGTTCTGGGAATAAAAGCCTGCCTTTGTATGCCTTATCTTCACTTTTGAGAAATATTTACTAGCTAAATATTCAGTATACCCTTTAGAAATTAACACATGTGCCTCTATTTTCAAACCCTATCAGGACATTATATCAAACATGGGTTTCCATATTTTTTTAGAGTCAAATTCAACAAACTATTTGATTAATTGATGTTTCTAATGAATTATCATGTACTCTTATTCACATCATTATGTTCTTATTGCATATAATAATAATTATGGGCATGTGAGACAAACTGGTACTTTACCAAGTCATTAGAACACCTCTACTTTCTATTCATATAAGTATTAAGGCATTTTCATAAATGAAAATAAGGGAACCCATCTTTAAATCACAACTTGGAATCCTACCAAGCAAACACTTTTTTCTAGAAATTACATTCAAATTCATTTCAAAATTATAAATACTTTATACAAGACAATCAAATATCAATTACCTATATGTAATCTTCTATAAGAGGCTAAACATCCTAGTGTCATAATATAAAGTCTTCTTTGGTTATCATTGTTATCAATACGACAACAGACAGCACCCACTACTATATCATTATAATATACTGAAATACAAATACATCTCAATCATTAACTACAATATCATTATATAACACTGAAATACAAATACATCTCTGTCATTAACTACAATATCATTATATAACACTGAAATACATCTCTGTCATTAACTACTATATCATTATAATATACTGAAATACAAATACATCTCTGTCATTAACTACAATATCATTATATAACACTGAAATACATCTCTGTCATTAACTACTATATCATTATATAACACTGAAATACATCTCTGTCATTAACTACTATATCATTATATAACACTGAAATACAAATACATCTTGTCATTAACTACTATATCATTACATAACACTGAAATACATCTCTGTCATTAACTACAATATCATTATATAACACTGAAATACATCTCTGTCATTAACTACTATATCATTATATAACACTGAAATACATCTCTGTCATTAACTACTATATCATTATATAACACTGAAATACAAATACATCTTGTCATTGATTACAATATCATTATAATACACTGAAATACAAATACATCTAGTCATTAACTACTATATCATTACATAACACTGAAATACATCTCTGTCATTAACTACAATATCATTATAATACACTGAAATACATCGTGTCATTAACTACAATATCATTCTAATACACTGAAATACAAATACACCTAGTCATTAACTACAATATCATTATAATACACTGAAATACAAATACATCTTGTCATTGATTACAATATCATTATAATACACTGAAATACATCTCTGTCATTAACTACTATATCATTATATAACACTGAAATACATCTCTGTCATTAACTACAATATCATTATATAACACTGAAATACAAATACATCTAGTCATTAACTACAATATCATTATAATACACTGAAATACAAATATATCTCCGTCATTAATTACAATATCATTATCATACACTGAAATACAAATACATCCCGTCATTAATTACAATATCATTATAATACACTGAAATACAAATACATCCCGTCATTAATTACAATATCATTATAATACACTGAAATACAAATAGTCATTAACTACAATATCATTATAATACACTGAAATACATCTCTGTCATTAACTACTATATCATTATTATACACTGAAATACAAATACATCGTGTCATTAACTACTATATCATTATAATACACTGAAATACAAATACATCGTGTCATTAACTACAATATCATTATAATACACTGAAATACAAATACATCTCTGTCATTAAATACAATATCATTATATAACACTGAAATACAAATACATCTAGTCATTAACTACAATATCATTATAATACACTGAAATACAAATACATCTTGTCATTGATTACAATATCATTATAATACACTGAAATACAAATACATCTCTGTCATTAATTACAATATCATTATAATACACTGAAATACAAATACATCTCTGTCATTAATTACAATATCATTATAATACACTGAAATACAAATACATCTCCGTCATTAATTACAATATCATTATAATACACTGAAATACAAATAGTCATTAACTACAATATCATTATAATACACTGAAATACATCTCTGTCATTAACTACTATATCATTATTATACACTGAAATACAAATACATCTTGTCATTGATTACAATATCATTATTATACACTGAAATACAATATCAATTTTCAACTTAAGTAAATTTTGTCTTTAAGCTGTCTATGTCAGTTTAGTGATTATCAGTTATAACTACTAAATGAAATTGAGCAGAAACCATGGCTCTAGCAGGGGGTTTATTCTTATATCACCCTTTCAGGATTAGCTCTTATACCTCGTTCAATACCTCTTGTAACGATCGTGTTTACAGGCTAACCTTGACCCCGTGTAAAAATATCAAATATCATGAAGGTTGGCGCACATTAACGATTTTTTGATATAAAATTTTTGACCTACAAATAAAACCGAATGTCCCCTTAAGTAATTATTGAATTAAAATTACTAAAAGATTTGGACAAATGACCTTGACAAATTGTGTCCGTTCAATTTTTTTTGTTACTTGATTATCCACATCTATCTAGTCTTCTGTGTTAATAATCTAGATGATCCAGACCGTATTATTGTCTGTCAGTACTTTCAGAGGTGAGAAACATTGTTACGTGAACAGGGACGTTTTTCGAGAAAACACAACCTTGACTTCTGTTAACAATTTTCATACATTTGGGACAGGAATAAAAAAGTTCGGCTTTCGGCTCAAACTAGATTGTACTGGACATTTGCTGGAATTGTACCGGACAATGACCATGTCCGGATGCTTATTTCAAGCCTTAGTATAATGTTGGATGTCTCCATACAACATGATCAATGATAAAATGCAAAAATGTAAAAATATAATATTCCCACAAATACCTAATTTAGCCAGTTCACCAACTTCTAGCACATCTTTATAGAATTTATCATTATATGTTACAGGGAATACAACTTGATTCAATCTCTTTAACTGTTTTATATTGTGTTGTGTTATATCACCTAATTCTATCCTGCCTCTGAAATAAACAAACTTGACACTAAAAATGACAAAATGTTTTGATTTTCCAGCCCTTTAATAATCAACCCCTCAAGCAGAAAAAGGACTGGATGATTATTTACATGTAGCTGTGATTTAGATTATTGACTACAAGACTGTAGCCTAGATAAGGCTCTGCTGGCTTACACTAAAAACTAACATTCATGACAACTTGACTTATATCAAACACGTTTCTCATCTTCACATTGTCAATGTCAAGCTCTTACAAACTGTGTCTATACCTTGACTGCAATATCCACCTTTCTTTTATTTGATTGGATTGCCTACAACCAATCACAATCAGCACCCTGGACAGAAAGATCTAAAGAATATGATTGCATGCGTTATCAGGGGCTTTTGATTGACTGTAGCCTACAATCATATCAAATCTTTATATTTGATTCACAACCATCACTACGTCTGTAACTAAGAAAGGTGGCTATTGTAGTCAAGGTATTAAGATGAAGTTTGTAATAGCTTGACATAGTCAAGATGACACATTCCTTCTATGTTCTTACAATCATTCCCAATGTAGCCAATTTGTTGTGTTCTTATTTTCACATTGCAATATATCCTAAATGTCCTATTAATAAGCATGATCATGCAGTCCTCTACTTTCAATTTATTTTTTGTGCAATGCAACAGAGGACAGTCACTTTCCTGTTGAATAAATAACAAAATATTTGATTGATTTATGAAAAATATTCCTTGATGAAATGATCTTTTTGTATTTGGATACTATACCTCGTCATATTGCAGTAAAAGGATTCTTTTATTCAATTTATTTATCAAAATATTTCGACTATTTTTCCGAGCGTGCTCGTTCCCGCTAATCAACCGGATATATGACCGTGAGTAATGCGCATGCGTATTTGATGAATGTCACATGATTTCAGAGCATCAAAATGGTGAGTTGGAAAAATTATTCGGCATCAATGACATTTATATATTTCATGATTTTAATGGCTATTAAGAAATGTTACTCTTTATTCTAATTTGTATGACATTCAGACCCATTTATGACTTTTCTGTATCTGAATTTAGTTGCTGTACCAATTGACCATGGCAATAAAGAGAGAGCAAATTTATCTCTGATGATGTCAAAGTCACTTTGTGCACCAAATTAATTTGTTTTGCATTAGCCTACATTAATTGATAATAACCAGTACTATAAATATTGTCAAGGGTCTTAGGATCAGAATTATGGTAGATTTCCATTTTATGTTTGATCACAGTATAAATTTATTGTTTGTGCTCACTAGATTATACAGTAAGGTCTGATCTAGAAGGGATTGCAAAGAGGTTTTGCACCATTCCAGTTTTCAATCAGACCGCTGTAGTTCCTGGGATTCCACTAAAACTAAGTGCTTGATGATGTCACTAATCGTAAAATAAGCTTTATCACAGAAGACTCTTCACGATCAGTGTCACAGGGGAAGGAGGGAATTGCAATCAATCAGGAATCCTGAAAGAGGTATTAGAAAGAAAAAGATTGAGAACCCATGTCTTTATTTAAAGTTTAATGTATGCTTCATCTGCTGCTAGAGCTCAATTTGAGCTATCTAGATCACTTTTCAGAATAAGATTAAATGTTCTACTTTGTCTACAATTGTCATAAGCTTACAACAGTGGTGACATCTGTGTATTCATGATAATGTCAGTCAAGGATGTTTTCTAGTATACTGCTACTTTGTTATCTCTCTCTGACAAAAAAAATTTAGTTATGAAATATTTTATCTTATTAAAAATTTTGATCACGCTTATCTAATCATAAGAAACTGCTTTAAATGCTGAACCAAATTTCCTTTTTCTTCTTTTTAATTCAGTTAAGTTGACAAAACCAATGAATAAAGGGAAAATAAATACTATAAAGCTTACATTATGAAAAACAGTTTATCAAGGAAATACTTTGTTAAAGAGAGACTGTCCTAATGTTGTAATTAAACAATGCAATTTGCTTTATAGTTTAATATTTATAAATTTTGAATTTCTTTTTGGAACATGATACTTGAAATTCAGTATATTTTTTTAGAATTGACAAAAATTTGATAAAAAAGAATAAAGGATACCACAGGTGTAACATCTAAGTTTGGAAATTAATAAAACTAAATTCAATGAAACTGAATGAAAATCATGTAGTTTGAATCGAAATCAATGAAACAATGGATTGGTCTTGAAATTAAAATAGGTTTGTTGAAGTTATTGACCTTCAAATATCTTAACGAGTGGGTTATAAGAAGATTTTAACACTGTCAACAAATTATAACCTTACTAGGATACAAAGATATTTATTTACTTTCTTACTCTAGACTTATTTACTTTTTAACTTTAGGCTTACAAATTAACTTTCTTAAAATCTGTAGTAAAATGAATAGGTCATTTTTGATTTCTAGTCCGTCACTATTTTGATCTTCACGTTATTGTTTAAGAAATAAAATCCATTGTATTCCTATACCGAATTCCCGTGGGTTGTCTGTTTATACCAATAACAAATCCAATTTTTGATTGTCTTGACTTTAGAATTCTGCCATAGAACCGATGGACTAATTAAAGGGATTGTAAAGAGGTTTTCTAAACTTTTTATGTGTATAGGGGACACTGATAGCATCAATTTGCACCATTCCAATTTTCATTCCGGCGTTTTATGACGTCACTAAAGGGGAGCTACCGGAAGTTAACTATTAATAACATATGCAGTTCCTGTCTTGTGACGTTAAAAGCCCGTCAGTTATAGTAGAATTGCAAGGACCACAGATGTCGGAATGGTACAAATTGAAACTATCAGTGTACCCGATACACATAAAAAAAAGTTGGAAAACCTCTTTATAATACCTATTAGCTTGTAAAGTGAATACTTGGTTGACTACCAGTATTATATCAATTAATAAATACAATAATAAATATTTTCACTGTTAAAAAAGTACAACAATTGTAGAGTGATATAGAAATATTTAATAAGTATCTAAAATCTGAAACCATGTAGAATGAAATAAATGTTGAATTTTCACAATATTTTTAACTAATCTTGGCCATATAATTTTCTCTATGCTGACATTTACATTGGTATCAATAAGGTGTTTATTGCTTTAAAGGGATACAATCGTGTAATATTTTATTTCACAGCTTATAGACATCAAATTCAATTACCATTATTGAGAATACAAAATTTTTGTTTTATTGCAGAATTTGGTGATAGGATTTTAATTATTTAATTGATTAATTGATACAGATAGGGGGGAATAGAGCTCTGACTACTGTACTACTTAATGTACATGTAAATATCAATAACAGTGTGAATAGTGCAATTACCGGTATATGTTTGTTTTTAAAAAAAATTATTATGGTTGCTCAAATTTTTAAATATGGTGTTTGATATTTTAGGCAGGTGGTATGGATAGAACACGTAATCTCCCTAAAATCAGGGACGAAGAAAAAGAATCTAAATATGGTTATGTTTATGGAGTATCTGGTCCTGGTAAGTCAAGTTCTTGTCCAGTTTTATCAATAAACCAAATTTATTATTAGCCTAGTAATAGTGTTCACAGCTCACCGTTGAAATATGAGCTTTCAACTCCATGTGGGTCCTGAATTATTCATACAACATTCAGACTCTGTGATATATAGAAAAGACATACTTGCTTATACTGTGTATTTGTGCTGGGTATCGTGATACAATACATAATAGTGATAATGAGGTAATGGGATAATAATTATCAATTTATCTTCAAAGTTTCTATATATATTAATTTATAACTTTATAACTGTGAGTCCACTGTCTTATAAAAAGTTTCTAACAATTTCAGTGAAAACAATTGTTATATCATAAACCAACTTATAAAAAATCTTTTCTAAGGAATAAAAAGTATGATCAGATATTGATACATGATCTTGCGATCGTGGCTTGTCGTATTGCAATACATCGATACACTGATATATCGTGCCAGCACTACTGTGTATAGAGATAGAAAGCGAAATTCCTTTGATTTATTTATTTTTGAACAAATCATGCAACTTTCGTGCATTTCTAATACTTCTGAAGAATACTTACATATAACCTTATTAAAAATCCAAATCAACCCAATGAATGGCGAACCATGGCCTTTAATTTTTGTTATATTAATTTATGTTTATTTATTTCCAGTTGTTATTGCCCAGAATATGTCTGGAGCTGCTATGTATGAATTGGTTCGTGTTGGCCATTTTGAATTGGTAGGAGAAATTATTCGACTTGAAGGAGACATGGCAACTATACAGGTCTATGAAGAAACCTGTATCCTTTTTGATCAATCATTTACTGCATATTTTGTTTCACAGTATTGTCCAGGGCTCCTTGCCAATCATGTCTTTCTGAAGTTTGAAAATGGGTGGGAACAATGTCCTATGAACATTCCACATTAGAAATATCAAGTTATAGCAGAATTTGTAAAAATCAAGAATCAAGAATCAAAAAACAATTTTTTATTTCAAAGACTCAAATGTTACTGAAAATTGTGACACAAGGTTAAATTTGAGTGGCAATACTGATTTTAATACGCCCACATTACAATGTGGTCTTATATTGTCGCCGCCCTCGTCCGCTGGTCCACAATTTGCTTGTGAACGCAATAGAGACTACAGTTTTTATCTGATTTTTATGAAATTTGGTGAGATCATTTATATTGATGAGATCTTGGACAATTTCGAATTTGACTATTTTTCAATGAACTTTTTTTTGAGTTATTGCCCTTGACATAGGAAAAAACACATCAAAATTTGTTTGTGGACACAATCAAGATTACAGTTTTCACCCGATTTAAATAAAATTTTGTGTGATCATTTTTTCGATCAACAGAATTTGAGTTATTGCCCTAGACTTAGTTGAAACAAATCCAAACTTGTTGGCTTGTTAACACGATAGAGGTGACAGTTTATGTCAGAATTTTATTGCATTTTGTGTGTTTGATTAAATCGACAATATTTTGTATAAATTAGATTTTTGGTGTGATTTGACACAGATAGGTGACTGCCCTTGATATACTCAAAATGTATCAGGAAAGTGGACGTATCTTGCTAGGCAACCACTTAATTTGATTTATAATCAAGGATTAAGGATGGAGTAAGGATAAAGTTTACTTTTTATCATGATGAAAAGATCACCTGAATATTTCACGAATTTGTAAGTCAAAAGTCGGAAATAAAAATTAAATTTGATTTGCAAATAGTGGTGATATATTTTGATTTTGTTTAATCATAAAACAATTGCAAAAGGCATCATTTTGACTTTGAAGTTGCAATGCAATATCGTCTAGACTAGATTTAATTCTGATGTTGAAATCTTACGTGCTGTGATCTCAGTTTTAGGGACCTGAAGATTTTCAGTACCGGTATATATAGCCGATAATGCATGATTATCAAGCTTCCAATACACAGTGAAATAAGGATGATTGATAAACTTTAACAAGAATTCTAGCTGGTGTAACTGTAGGAGATCCTGTATTAAGAACTGGTAAACCATTATCTGTTGAGTTAGGACCTGGTATTATGGGTAGTATCTTTGATGGTAAGTAACAGCAGAAATTAGTTGAAACTTGCTAAATAGCCTCTGATAGCTGATATTTATCACCTATTGATAGTGGAATAACTCAGTGTATTAGGGTTGGGTTGTCTACTGCTGCTGCAGTCAGTTTTTCAGGAAGATTTGAGAAATTCGGTAATTAAATCTGATTGGTTGATATAAGCAAATTTAAAACCAGTTGTATTAATTGACCAATCAAATGACCTGAACTCTCAGTTTTTGAGAAGCTTGCTTCAGGTTTCTTACATAACCTCATGAATTTAGATATTAGATTTCAGTCCTTTCTGTTTGAAGTATAAGTTGATCACTTAAGTTAAATTCCAGGTGAAACTGTGCTTAAGTGTAAATTCTAATGAGATTATCAATTATAAACTATGACATAGCAAATGCTTGCTGAATCAAAATACATCCGAACGAAAGAATACCAAAGTCTCAAATCCATGTACAGGACAAAATCAGGGGAAAAAACAATCGGTAATCAACATCTCCGAAATGAAATAAAATTAAAGTGGACATCTTGAGGGAGTTAGTATGGGGTGTTCCAGACAGAGTGAGCATTCTCTGCCACGTGCACGACACCCGCTAAAATATCTAGATAATCAGTGTCAAAATTTAGGAAATGAGATTGAAATAGAATATAACCCAGGAATAATATTAGTCACAAATTCGCACATCTTCACCCTACCTAGTGTCGTAGTGATCAACCAGATCCTGGTGACGTCCATAAAACTTTTTCAAAGTAGAAACCAATCTAGGTTTTATGTAACCTTGTGTTAACAATTAAGAACTCACTAACGACACTCTCAATATAATATGGGTTTGGATTTCAAAATAATTGCATTTTTTTCTTTTTAGGTATTCAACGTCCATTAGAAGATATCTGTGATCTCACACAAAGTATCTACATTCCTAAAGGTGTGAACACGCCTGCTTTGAATAGGACCAAAAAATGGGATTTTGAACCATTAAATGTTCGAGTTGGAAGCCATATAACTGGTGGTGATATTTATGGTGTGGCATATGAGAATATTTTGATTAAACATAAAATTATGTTACCACCTAAAGCTAAGGGTACAGTAACATATGTAGCTGAACCTGGACAATATGATATCAATGTAAGTTTAGTATACATACTCATTTACATAAGAATATAGAGTAGGGGTGTTGATCGAGCTAGTTGCTTGCTTGTTAAGACTATGATGACCTTGCTTCAGCTATAAAGGTAAGAGTAGCTGACATAGAAAAAGCATCAGGTCATATGACAATGGAGTATCATTTAAAGGAATAGAATGAACATTAAATTTCAATTTTGGCCAATACCAGTATATGTATATCCATCAGTGGACTTACCTGGTGTCATAACTATACATCAAAATCCCTCTATAATCCGATATATCCACAAAATCAAGTAATTAATTATAAACGGCTGAATGCATCCAGTAAGCGATTTTCAAATTGTGAGTCTTGTAATCAAGAGGAAGTAACTCTCACACAGGGTTTCCCACGTCCTTGACCTCTACTCTTGAATTGGCCTTGATATCGTCAGATATTTCTTGAAGAATGTGGGATAATATGTGAATTCACAGAAGACCAATAAGAAGCAATTCATATAATTTAGAATGAATACTCCACCACTGACACAATTTACAACGAATATTAATCAATGGAAAAGTTTGTTTGTATACACCGGAAGATGATTGCCTTTTTGCGTTTGCGCATTGATGGGCTTTTCCTTTTACCTATTTTAGCGTTGATTACCCAGACTCTGTTTTTTTTTTTCAAACTGAATGGATGCTCACTGTTGTTTTAAATTCTGAATATAGTTTTATTGCCGCTCTTTCAAAATTGATAAAGTGTGGGATGCATACTTATTTAACCAATGGTCACTATTAAACACGAATATTAGCCATAGTGTATTCTAAGACATTCTATTCCTTTAACAATTTTAAGATTTAAGATGTTTGGTATTGTTTCATGAGTAAGCTTACACTTCAAATTTCAGCAAAAAAAATATACCTACATAAATGCAGGCTAAACATAAGGTGTAAATGTGAGTGATTGTGGAAAGTTTAACAATTCTATATTGTAGGATGTTATATTGGAAACAGAATTTGATGGACAGAAAAGTAAATTCAGTATGTTACAAGTATGGCCTGTTCGACAGATGAGACCAGTCAATGAAAAACTAGCAGCTAATTATCCTCTGTTAACAGGACAGAGAGTTTTAGATGCTTTGTTTCCGTAAGTTATTGAGTTTACCAATATCAAAGATCACACATGGTCAGAACGCAGTCAGAACAATGGGTCAAAACAATGGGTCAGAACGCATAGTCAGAACAACGGGTCAGAACGCATAGTCAGAACACTGGGTCAGAGGGCATAGTCTGAACACTGGGTCAGAGGGCATAGTCAGAACACTGGGTCAGAATGCATAGTCAGAACACTGGGTCAGAGGGCATAGTCAGAACACTGGGTCAGAATGCATAGTCAGAACACTGGGTCAGAACACATAGTCAGAACACATAGTCAGAACACATAGTCAGAACACTGGGTCAGAACGCATATTCAGAACAATGGGTCAGAACGCATATTCAGAACACTGGGTTAGAACGCATATTCAGAACACTGGGTCAGACATAGTCAGAACAATGGGTCAGAACAATGGGTCAGAATGCATAGTGGAAGGTGTGGGGGTTTTCAGCCTATTTGTTACCTAGGATTCGCCAAACTCCTGATATATATTAGGCATCACTGCTGCTTAACTCGTACTATAGAACTCTTGATTTATAAAATAGAATTGACCTTTTAAAATGACTTATTATAGATGTGTACAAGGTGGTACTACTGCTATACCTGGAGCTTTTGGTTGTGGTAAAACTGTCATCTCTCAGTCACTATCTAAATATTCTAACAGTGATGTTATTGTTTATGTTGGTTGTGGTGAGAGAGGTAATGAGATGTCTGAAGTATTGAGAGATTTCCCTCAGGTGAGTGCTGCTCTCTGACATACTAAAGAATTCACACGGAAGAGAGTAAATTTTAAGAGATTTCCATCATGAAAGTGAGTCTGTCAAAGGAACTGAAACTATTCTTGAGTGAGTGTCTGATGTGTGAAAGAAATTCCCTCCTCTGAGTGTTGTAGCTTAAGGTTTCCCCATCACTGGTAATAGCTGTTGAATCATGTGTTGAAAAGTGAAAAATATTTCCCTCGTGTAATTAAAAGTAATTCAACATTTCAATTTCCTGAAATATTTTGCGATTGATTTGTGGTTATGAATGCACAGTATCAGTCTATATTTATCTATAATATTTGGTAATATTTGGTTTAAGGTTATTTGATATTCTATGATAAATTTTTATGTAAAAGGTGTATGAATATATATATATATGGTTATATTTTGTTAATTTTGATTCTTATTTACATTAAGATTTGATGATATATAATCAATATTTACATACATTCTTGATAACGTGTAACTAATATTACATAAAAGTCTGTTTTTTAATTAATATAAAGTTGTGATAATTTTTAATTAATATAAAGTTGTGATAATTTATAATTAATATAACATAAAGTTCTGATGATTTATAATTAATATAACATAAAGTTCTGATGATTTATAATTAATATAACATAAAGTTCTGATGATTTATAATTAATATAACATAAAGTTCTGATGATTTATAATTAATATAACATAAAGTTCTGATGATTTATAATTAACATAACATAAAGTTGTGATGATTTATGATTAATATAAAGTTGTGATGATTTATCATTAATTTAAAGTTCTGATGATTTATAATTAATATAACATAAAGTTCTGATAATTTATAATTGATATAACGTAAAGTTCTGATGATTAATAATTAATGTTAACATGAAATTTATAACTCTGTACTTAAATTTTGATGTAGTTAACTATGGAAGTGGAAGGTAAACCAGAGAGTATTATGAAGAGAACAGCTCTAGTAGCCAATACATCTAACATGCCTGTAGCTGCTCGTGAAGCTAGTATTTATACAGGTATAAAATAAAATTTTGTAAAGATGTTGAACATATTTGCTCAAATGAACTGCTGTTTGTTGGAAATATAACAAAATCTGCTTGGTTTTTGAAAGCAAAGAAAATGGTTTAATTATTAAAAAAAAGTATTGTTTGACATTACTGGAGAAAACATAATTCCTTACAAATTTTGCCATGAATCAACTAGATTCAAGGATTACTAATCTAAATCCAATTTCAGGTATAACATTATCTGAATATTTCCGTGATATGGGATACAATGTATCTATGATGGCTGATTCCACATCCAGATGGGCTGAAGCTTTGAGAGAAATTTCTGGTCGTTTAGCTGAGATGCCTGCTGATTCTGGTTATCCAGCCTATCTAGGAGCCCGTTTAGCTTCTTTCTATGAGAGAGCTGGTCGTGTCAAGTGTCTGGGTAATCCAGAGAGATTAGGATCTGTCAGTATTGTTGGAGCGTAAGTATGATTTTTGAACTCTTGAAATCTTGAAATTCAACATGTTTGTACAATGGCTAGCAAATCTTCGAAATGACTTTCTGCTTGGTGTTTGGAATCTCTTTAAACTATAGTGTGGAAGGTATTGTACTTTGCAATAAAATTAAAGGGACAGGTGCACCATTTTTTTTTTATCAATCATACTTTAGTGTTAGAAACTGGAATTTTTTAGCATGGCTAGTCGGTAATAATGTTCACAGCTCACCATTGAAATTTGAGCCTTTAATTCCATGTTAGTTCAGAATTGTCTGCGTTTGAATGTTAAAATGACGACTCATCAATTTAAGATACTCTGTGATATATTGAAAAGACATATATAGAAATAGTAAGAAAAATTTCTAGTTTGAAGTATTTTTAAAGGAATTATGAGATTTTCATACATTTCTAATACTTCTGAAGACTAATTACATATACTCAAGACTAAAATCAACCCCCCAAAATGGGGGTCTCTTTAGTTGTGTTGTCTTACTGATATTTGCTTTTAATGGAATAAATAAATTTTTTTGAATAAATATTTTAAAAGGTTGATGACAATAGTATAGTATAAATTATATGTGTTATATTTCAGTGTGTCTCCCCCTGGTGGTGATTTCTCTGATCCTGTCACTTCTGCTACATTAGGTATTGTACAAGTGTTTTGGGGTTTAGATAAGAAGTTGGCACAACGTAAACATTTCCCCTCTATTAATTGGTTGATTAGTTACAGTAAATATATGAGAGCTTTAGATGAATTTTATGATAAAAGCTATCCTGACTTTGTACCACTCAGAACTAAGGTAAGAAATTAACATTGTGAGTCCTCAAAATAATCTTAGCATCCCCTTTACTAGGTAAAGCTTGTTTATCTGATCGAGGTCATGTGATTTAAATGGCCAATCAACACCCTTTTACTTTCACTTTGTTTTGTAAACAGGCACAAAACTTGAGAATATCATATGAATATGGGCAAGTCCTTGTATGATAAAAATCATTTTGATTAGCCAAAATCACCACCACAAAAAAAGCCAAAGTGAACTAGGGTCCGATCAATAAGTTGATAATTGTGCATGATTACAACAAAATCCTTGGATACAATATTATGTATTTTGATAGCTGGTAGAGCAAGTCTTAGCAAACTACAATCATCTACAATATTGTATTTATGTTCCCTGATAAGTCTTAGATAATCAGAATAAGTCTATTGACTGTTCTAATTGATTTTATAGTGTAAAGAAATTCTACAAGAAGAAGAAGATTTATCAGAAATTGTACAACTTGTAGGAAAGGTTGGTATATATTTTATAATGCAATTAAATGAAAGATAACAGAAATTTGTCTAACTCTGCACCTTTCCATGTTTAATTTTAAACGATTCCTTATATTTCATTGATTCATAAATAATGTTATGTTGTGGTCTCAAGATATCAAGTCGGTATTAAGAGTTACCTCCCTTGAGGTAGGTGGATAGCCTGACAAAAAATGTTGTTTGACATGAATATCTAGTTTGTGGTATCATTTGCTTCAATTGGATACAAGTCACTGGATACGAGTGGTGTTAAAAATCAATTGTTGTTAAAAAAAATATACTCTAGTCAGGCAAAAGAAGAGACACTCCATAAACTCAACTGTTGTTTAATATTACAAGAGTGGTGTAACATATAAGGATTCAACAAAAATTTAGTCAAAATTAGAAGACGCAAATTTTTTTGTATGCTTAGAAGTTTCCTCAGATAAAATAATTAAAATTGGTTTATTTTGTATTTGTCAAAGTATACATTAATAGATTTTACCTTGCTTGAAACTACTGGATTCATTCTACTAGCTGATATTGTACAGAAAACCCATGTTTATCAAAACAAGCAAATACAGAGGTTATGTGAGGTTGCACATGTAAATTATTAATCATTTAAGGAGATGCACGAAAAATAGGCCAGCACGAAATTAGATTACTTGACTGTACTTATAAGCTCTCATTAAAGGACCTTATTATGGCAACTTATATTAATGTTTTTCTATGCCTTTTTTCCAGGGTTCTCTTGCAGAATCTGACAAAATTACATTGGAAGTAGCTAAATTGATCAAAGATGACTTTTTACAACAAAATGGTTATACACCATATGACAGGTTAGTCTTTTTATATTTATACAGAATTCTATTCCATTAGGCATCTAAATCTGTGAACACGATTCCTTTCAGTTATCCATTCATCTGATATTCATTGTCAAGCAATGGCTTATATTGTCAGTTCACTTTAAACAGTGTGTTTATATGCCCACCTTATATTATAGTTGTATATTGTCGTTGCCCCATCCGTCAGTCTTGTGAACACAATAGAGACTACAGATTTTTTTATCTGATTTTAATGAAATTTGGTCTGATCATGTATTACAATGAAATCTTGGTCAAATTCGAATTTGACGATTTTTCAATGAACAGAATTTGAGTTATTGCCCTTGACCTGTTAAAAATGCGTCAAAATTTGTTTTCTCCTGAGCGTGATAGAGGTGACAGTTTATGTCAGAATTTTATTAAATAATGTGTGTTTGTTTAAATCAATATCTTGCACAAATTAGATTTTTGGTATGATTTGACACAGATAGGTGACCGCCCTTGATATACTGAAAATGTATCAGGAAAGTGGGCGTATCTTGCTTGGCAACCACTTGTTATTAGTTTGGCAACTTTATTACTCAGGATTATTAGAAATGAAACAACTTCTTGGTTTTTCAACTGATTTATATCAAAATTTGTATCCATAAATATGACATTAAAGTCTAAGTTTGAACTATCTATCTAGTATCAAAACCTTGATAAATATTCACATGTAGAGTAGTTTACATGTATGACTCATTCTGTATTAAACCTATGTTATGTAATTGCAGATTCTGTCCATTCTATAAGACAACAGGAATGTTAAAGAATATTATAGCTTTCTATGATATGGCTCGACATGCTGTAGAGAGTACAGCCCAGAGTGAAAATAAAATAACATGGGCTATAATTAAAGATCAAATGAATGATGTTTTATATAAATTAAGCAGTATGAAATTTAAGGTAGGTTGTCTACAGGTATTGTTTTTCATTATTTTATTTAATCTCTTATAGTTATACTACAGACTGTGTACTTTACATATCCTTTGACTTATAACAAAAACACAAGACAATATTATGGAATATAACACACTTCTTTGATAAGGTTGGGCACATAACGTTTCAACACAATATACACCTGTCGTCATTACTATTAAAGAAGTGTTATATTCCATAATATTGTTTGTGTTTTTGTTATATGTGCTCCTGGCTTCTATATGTCGTTCAAATCTTATATATCCTTTGACTGTTGTAAATCGAGAGAGTAGACTAATGCTGCTGTCCTAGCAAAATGTTCCTCAGTGCACACTGCATGGCATTGCCCTTTCTACATCAGCCCAATAAGGTGCAGAAGAGTAGGGTGTAAAACTCCATTCATTTGTGATAGCTTGATAGTTATAATGTAATATAATCAGCAAAACAGGTCAGAAAAAATAGGCACAGCTTTTTGGGGGGTGTTTTTTCTCATGTGGAAAATGAAAATCGTTTAAAAATTAGGTTTGATAGCTTTGTGGGCCTATAATTATTTCTTATGACTCTCAGCTGAACTACTTCCAATCAACAAGAACTATTCAAATCCCAATTATAGATATAATAATGGTGGTTTTCAAATTTAATGTTTCTCTTAAATTGAGACTTTCAATTCGTTAAAGACATTTTTTTCTTTATTTCATGTCATGTCTAAAATATCTTTGGATTCTGAAAATTTGTTATTGTATGGAATTTGAACAATGTTACCCTCAGTCAATGCTATGATTATTGTCTGGTTTTTGAATTTTTTCGATACTTGTCTGAAGTTTGTGAATTTTTTCGATATTTGTCTGAAGTTTGTGAATTTTTTGATATTTGTCTGAAGTTTGTGAATTTTTTCGATATTTGTCTGAAGTTTGTGAATGTTTTCGATATTTGTCTGAAGTTTGTGAATTTTTTCGATATTTGTCTGAAGTTTGTGAATGTTTTCAATATTTGTCTGAAGTTTGTGAATTTTTTCGATATTTGTTTGGAGTTTTTGAATTTTTTCGATATTTTTTTAGGAGAATTGGAATATCAGCCTCAAAATAGTACTGTTAGTCTAAGAATGTCTTTGTGTTGATAAAAATATAATCTTTTGTAAATTACATTGAAAAGAAACACATTTCTATCCTAGAAATTTCAACCCCAAACAGTCACAAATTTTGGCTGAAAATGGGCCTCTGTAAAACGAATTTTGAAGACATAATGTTTGCTTATGTTTATATTTTTAATAAAGCAAAGACATTCTAAGACTAACAGTACTATTATGAGGCTGATATTCCAATTCTCTTAAAAATAATAGAAACAATTAAAAAAACTCTTTACTTTGCTCAGTGTTGGCTTTTAAATATGAATTTTTTATAATTTTTTATTGTATCCAGGACCCAGTAAAAGATGGAGAAGCTAAAATCAAATCTGATTATGAAGAACTACATGAAGAAATGCAGCAGTGTTTTAGAAACCTAGAAGATTAAAAACACACATTAGTATATTATATTATATAGAGTCAGAAACAAATTCCACTATTATTATACGCTTAGTATATAGATACTTATTTATTTTGGGATTGCCAAAAATGACACATTTAGAAAAAAATCATACAAGTTTGGACCTGAAGATTGAGTGAATTTTGTGCTAATAGATCTTGTATCTAGTTTTTCTGAATTGAAATAGTTGGAGTTTCTGCTATTATTATAGGGTTTTAATAATAGGATAATTTCTGTTTTTTTTTATTAAACATGGCAGAGGTTTTTCAGAGGTTAGATCATGAACATTAATTTAATTTGTTATGAGTTGGCTTTCAGATTCAAAAATTTCTCAAAAAACATGACAGTAATCATTAAGTACAAAGGCAAAATATTAAATGGTCCTTTTTTCATTCAGTGAATTGGAATACAGCATAGTCAGAAACCCATAGTCTTATTATGTACCCTTATTTATTCTCCTGGGACAACTCCTAATGATTGCCTTGATCTGACCTATAATACATGACCTATTCTGATTGGATGCTTTTTAAAATAATTATCCAACTTTGATAGGAATTGAGTACGAATGTGTGAGTGGACCCAGGGTGATAAGTATTAGTAGCAAATCACCTTTGATATACTGACCAGCACTGTATTTAGTAGAGCTAGACTGTAGTTTAGAATCTAGAGTGTTTACAATCAAATACTTCTTCGTTAACCAATGACACGCAATACATATGATTGTTGAATTTTATGATTTTTTTTTTTGAAGATTTTAATTGTTATTTTTTTGTGATAAATCATGATTTATGTCATTTGTTGTGGAATTTCAAGTTTGGATGCTGAAAATGCAATAATAAAAGGTAATACAACCTGTGATATCATGAAGAATATGGAGGCCATTTTCAAAACTATGATTTAAAAATTAAAAATAAACTACTTTAGGGCAAAAAAATCTTAAAGTTATGTTTTAATGCTTATGCATTGACGTACACATCCATAAAATTGGGAGCCGTAAAAAAATGATGTATTAGTTATAATTGTAATAAAGAATTAAATCACATTTTACTTTAGGAACTATTTCCTAACTTCATATCTCATTCTGTGTATTTGTCAATTTTTCTGGTTTTTTTTTTGTTAGAATATGACAAAACTCAATTTTTAAATTTATCTTTCTCTTGAAATGTCCTTCAATTCCATGCGTCTGTGAAATACCAAATGTGTATACTATGCAAAGTTGTTGCAGACAGATCCACTGCACTGCTAAGCACAGGCATTGCAGAATCAAAAATCATTTTTGCATCAAGATGACAAGTTAGAAATATTGAAAACAAATGAGCAAAATGAATTTGAATTTTTTTTTCTTAATCATCTGCATTTTGATTTAGTGAAATTTCTAGAGCTAGGAAGTAAGTGAATAGTTGTATTGTAATATCACATGAAATCCAAGAAATGTGCTATAAAGAGTAGAAATGATCTAGTCATTTCATATTATTATGGTTAAGGGTATTATATAGGCTATATTATAACTGGGATTATACAGATATTATCATTATTATTATATTATATATTCTAGATCCCTTCCTTTCAGAAAATCTTGTGAACTTTACTCGTATCTAGTTTCTTGTTCATTTTCTTGAGCTTAAAGTGGCAGTGTCTGCTTATTTACAGATTATTTTTGAGAAACAGTTTAAAACCCTAGCCTTATGAAAGAATATAAAAACTAATGGTGAACAACTTAAAAAAAAAAGGGTTCCTTTTGTCATCTTGCTGTTATTAGGATGGACTGTAGTCCAGTCATTTAGAGTGTTGGAACTTTGATGTCATATTCGCTTGACCATGAGATTCTGGATGATGAAATGCAATGACAAAATCTAACAATTAAAGGGAATAGAATTTGACTCAATAAAATCTAAAAAAAGGGGACCAATAGAATTTCTATTGATGCAGTCTGTAGCTCAAAATATTTGCCAAGGAATAAATACAGTAAAACCTCGTCTAAAAACCACATTACATATAAAACTGTTAGATAAAAAGATGTGTAAGATGTCCTCTCACAGGATTGTGTGCTGTATTGTATAATGTGTAGTGCTAGCTAGTATCTGTATTATGTATTGTATAATGTGTAGTGCTAGCTAGTATCTGTATTGTATAATGTGTAGTGCTAGCTAGTATTTATATTATGTATTGTATAATGAATTGTATATCAAGTCATTCCAATATTATTATAATCACCTGTTGTGACCTTCAAGGAAAATAGGACTACTTAGTTTTTTCTATAGCAGATTATATTTTGAAAATTTATCCATGACAATCTTAAGGTGTTGTGCTATACAGTATCCACATTATTTGCATCAACTAAAAATGGACTAGTAGTGTGTCTTCTATTTTATTGAACACATAAAATGGGGAGCGTATATTGGCATCACCCATGGCCATCTGTCGGTCCACAAATGCTCGTAAACACTCTACAAGGCACAATTCTCGACTGATTTTGAAGGAACTTGGTATGGTTGTTATTATCATCCAAGGAAACCTATTGAAAATGGGAAGAATCGAGAAATTCACATGGTTAAAGACATATGTGCATCTAATAAATTGTTCTTGGCCAATGAAAGTTATTTGTAGTCTGATGACAGTCATGGGAAGAAAAATTTTCTTAGATGTGAGGATTCGGGACCTATACGTAATGATGTATTGTAAAACCTGTGTTAATCACAACTATTTTGATGTTGCTTATCTGGCAGATAATTCCTAAGAATATCATGGCTTTGTACAGAATCCACCAACACATATAACTGTACAATATAGGTAAATGGTGCATTTGTATTGTACTGCAGGATGTAAATAGAGACTATATGAAAGAGCCATTTCAAATTTTGATGTTCATAGCTCAGGCACTATGGTAAGGGAGTGAGCATTTAACTGTCAGCCACTGCTGCTCTGTTCATAATTCCTGCAAGGAACACAGGACATTGAATACCAACATAAGACTGAAGATACTGTACATTTTAATGTTTTTACAAGCATTCAATGGTCAACTTTTAAATAATCAATAACTGATTAAATCTAGAATATTCACAAAAGAATAATATTATTATGTTCCTAAATTGAAATTTTTAATCGACCACTTTCATACAAAAAAAAAAAACTTAGTTATAATGAAACTTAACAGAGCCAACAGCTAAAAATTCCTACATAAAAATAAATAAGTCAATCTTGGACAAGAAAAGTTGGAACCTATATACAAACCTTTCTGACTACAATATAAAACACAAAAAAACAAATTTCTTTAAAAAATACAAATGAATGCTCAACACAAAGGGAACAAGTTAGGAGAGAGTAAGGGGGGGAGTGTTAACTCGTACCTTGTTGTATGCATTCAATCGACAAATTCACAGTGCTACTCTCAAATTTTTCTCAAAATCTCTCAATTCCTGAAAATTGGCAGTTTTCAAGCAAAACATTCTAAACTAAAAATCAACTACCTGAACTAGGAGAGATTTTGAGAAAAAATTTGTAAATGAATTACATTATGAAATAGACACAATGCTGTTAAAAATTTCTAGTATATAGATAAGTACTGCTTGTTAAAAACCATTTACACAACAAACTCTTTCAAAATACATATTCCATTAGTGACATTTTCAAATTATTGATAGAATATTTCACAGTCCAGCTAGGCTTGTTCCTTACAACAATATTTTTAGGTTAGTTTTAGACCACGGAAAAATTTTAAAAATGACATCACCATACCCTCAATACCTGAGACAGTGATGTCACAATAAATTATCTGTCAAATTCCCCTTTTAGTTAGGAACAGAGGCAATGCCAGTTAGACCATCACTGTGATAACTGAAAACGTCCCTAACAGACAATAGCAAATAGGGATGAACAAACTTATATTACAAATCTCAATTGCGCAGGTTGAAAATTTCCTCAGCAAAAACTGTTTAGAAATGACAAATAAATAATATTATATTTTAAATAGCAAATCAACTTCATTAAACCATTAATGGATCTGGGCCTTTTTCTCCAAAATTTAACTTAAATAAAATCAGCATTTTAGAAATACGGCAATCTGATTGGATAAAAATACTAAATTTACAATCAATTTTAGTAATTGACCAATCAGATCACTGGAACACTATAATCATCTTAAGTTAAGTTTTCAAGAATAAGGCTCCAGTTGAACTAAAAGGCAAATTTTCTTCCATTTTTTCATTCTTACATAGACTGAAGAAAATTCATAGCCACAAATATTAGAATGGCAATCATAAATGTACAGAAATCATTTTGGATTTAATTAAATTAAATTATTAACAAAACTCAATTTGTTGTTTTTGTACATTGCTTGTAGAAATGTGGGTATTTTCTGATAAATGCATGTATAAAATTTCGATTGTGCACCTTTAGCAGGGTTTGACAAAGGGCAAATTGTACATGTACACAATATAGATGACAAGTATTATTTACATTATTGATACATATTGATGGTTTTTACGTTCATTTACTGACTAGCTAGTGGAACACATCAATACATAAGGGATATTTAGGGTATTTAAACTAAACTGGTTTTGTACAGATATTAAATAGTGAACCATTTGTTTAAAAACGTGACAAAATATTAATAATGATTGACATATTGTAATTTAGGTGCCAAGAAACAATGTATGGTGTGGAATAATCTATACAGAAGAACGAAGACAATACAAGAGGTCTTGACACTATCAAGAGGTCTGGTGACCAATGCAGTGTATGGTACAGGATTATCAATACAGTAGAACATGATAGAAGCAAATCATGCCCGTTTCTTGTCTGGTTCTGTATTGATTAGCTCGCGACGGACACTAAAATTGTCTTTTTCACTGTAACAGACATGATCAATGATCAATATTCATTCCCGACACCACACCTCTTATTTTTTTCTATTTTCTTTAAAACAAAACACAAATGATCACGATATATTCTACAGTACCTTGGTTCTTAAAGTTTTCAACCAATTTTTACTGTTACCCTTATTAAAGATGTGTCGAAACTTTGCAGCAGTACAAACAAGACGATGAAATAAAGCATTAAGGCAAGATTTAATACGAGTACCTAATACAAACTAAAAACAAGTGAAAACCTAGAACATCTTATAACAGTCCTACCAATCACTTTTCAAAATGCCAAAATCATATATTAATATTTCAATAGTTTATTTTTCAAAAAGTGTCAAAAGAGATAAGATTCCATGAAAACAAAATATGAATTTTCAGTTTTCTGGAGGTGATATCCTGCTTTGATGTCAAAAACAAGTCTGATTTTCGTAATTTCTCACCAAAAACTAACAATTTGGACTCTTCTTTCACATTTTATATTTGGATTGGATTGATTTGAAAATGGCCATATAAAGCTTGTGACACCAGAAACAATTTTTTTTTTTTTTTAGATCTGTTATAAAAATATATTGGTATTTACTTCAATATGATGAAATTAATGACAGCAAAAAAAAAGTAAAACTTTCAGTTTTTGACAGTTATCCACATGAATTCAGAAGGGAACAATTAAATCTGAGTTTTGCCTTTAATGAGTTGATAAAAACAATAGTTGACCATATCGCTAATTGTATAATAATTATAATCCTGTTTCATTCTAATTTTGAAAATTATATGAGATTTTTCAAAGTTTATAAATTCTAAAAGAAATTAATCATTTATATAAGATAATATTATGACTCAATGACAGATTCGCTTTTAATATAAATGCCTTAAACTTTTTAATGAAAGTCAATCCATATTTAACCCTCTGAACATTGATACATAAACATTGTCTATTGACATACCTTATCACATAATATATGATCCTGGAGTAATTTTAGGGTGGCGCTTGATTGGTTTGTTCTGAACAGGTTCCGCCTGTTCCAATCCTGGCTTCAATTGAACAGTTTGAAACTGGATGAGCCACATTCAAAATTTACCCTTCTATTCCTCTACACCTCCAGTTTTTGGAGCGCATTCGGAATCTTCGCAGTCTTATGGACAGCCAAATTGTTTTATTGTACTTCCAGTTGATTGCATGAATCCCAAACATGAAGACCTCCCAATCAAGAACATCATTGTTTAAAAGGTTTAAATGGATTGTCAGCATGTTTACTTTCAGGACACAATTTTAACACTTTTGGTTTCAAAATTAAATGTACTTCTCATAAATTATTTTAAAATCACAAGAACTCAAAGATAAGTGCCAATATTAATATGAATTTTATCTTTGGCTATTTCAAGAAAAATGGGGTAGAATAATTACAATTTAGGTTGCAAATCTCAAATTCATAAAAAATTTCAATATTTTTAACTATTTTTTAAAAAATAACATCATTTCAATATGATGTTATCAAATGCAGTTAAAAATGATATTAACAGCAAACAATTAACAAATGAGTCCATCACACATAAACACACACACACACACACCAACAAGCTCACACTCTCACACAAACTCTTTTGCTATTGCAATTTGAAACATTCTGTTCAATAAATGATATATTATATGATGTACAAATCTACATTTCTACTATCTTCAAGCACTGCCTCCGCCAGCAGCTCCTGCCATTGGTGCCTGTGAGGTTGATTCTTCCCCAACTGGTGTATGTGAGGAGTTAGGAGAAACATCACCAGGAGGAGATGAAGGATTATTAAAATTTGCTGCTTGTGATCGCGCATGTTCAGGTATAAGAGTAGAGTTAAGGTGAGGTGCTATAGCCAATTCTGAAAGAAAAAAAAGAGGAAATATTAAAAATTTTACCAGTAAATACCAGTTATAAGTTTAACATTATGAGACTGATTGATATCAAAATAATGAACTAGAAATCCTATGCAATCCTGTCACTGAATTTGATTGGTCGATGATTTAGATCTCGATCAATGATAATCATTGTAACATTCATTGTGAATTTTGATAGTCGGTTAATTTTGATGAAGGTAGAACAATGGGGAGTTTTAATAGTATCAGAAAAATTGAATAGCATCACATTGTATTGCTTGTATTGTTCTAATAATGAACAATCCGGACCCAAAAATTTTAATTTGTGAACATGAGCCATAGGCTGATGTAAGCTTGAATCCTTATCCAGCAAAACATATCTGAAGCCTTGATCTTTGCTATTGAAAGCTGCAGAAGTAACAAAACAAACTATATATCATAAGCTTACACTTACCATCAGCTCTAAAATTAAATAAGGGAGGTAACTCCCGTCCATTTGGAGATCTGGTATTGGGATCACGTAATTCGTCAAAGAAGGGGTGAGCACAAGCTTCGATAGGTGCTATTCGTCCTGATGGTGTGTATTCTAATAAACGACTGACAAGCTGTATAGCTTCAGATGGTGTTCGTGGTCTAAACACCTACAAAATAACAAAAATCAGATTACTAGAGTGTCACTGGTTAATCTATCTATAATTCTCAATATATTCATGTTGTCAGATATATAATCACAATCCCTGGAATAACAGGTGAAATCATACCTTACAGAGTGAGTGAGTGAGTGCCATTTTGAATTCCTTTTTCTGGGTGTTCAACAAAATTGTGTTTTTGATAATATTTAGTTAAACTTGGTTTCCCCATTATTGTCCATAGAGAAAGTTTTACTCCTTTTGAAAACTTTATTTGGTTTTAATTACTCATAAACATAACTTAGCTTCATTTTTTAAGTTGAAAATAATGTCCTTTTTTTTTGTAAATAATGTCCTTTTTCTGTAAATAGTGTCCTTTTATCATTTTGTTATTTTTAAATAATGTCCTTTTTTTTGTAAATAATGACTTTTTTTGTAAATAATGTCCTTAAAATAATGTCCTTTTTTTCCCTTAAATAATGTATTTTTTTTTTTTGTAAACGATGTCCTTTTTTCTTGTGTAAATAATGTCCTTTTTCTGTAAATTGTGTCCTTTTATCGTTTTGTTATTTTTAAATAATGTCCTTTTTTTTTTGGTGTAAATAATGTCCTTTTTCTGTAAATAGTGTCCTTTTATCGATTTGTTATTTCTAAATAATGTCCTTTTTTTTTTTTTGTAAATAATGACTTTTTTTGTAAATAATGTCCTTAAAATAATGTCCTTTTTTTTCCTTAAATAATGTCCTTTTTTTTTGTAAACGATGTCCTTTTTTCTTGTGTAAATAATGTCCTTTTTTTTTGGGGTAATAATGTCCTTTTTTTTGTAAATAATGTCCTCTTTTTGTAAACAATGTCTTTTTTTTTGTGTAATAATGCCTTTTTTTTGAAAATGTCCTTTTTTTTTTTGTAAATAATGTCCTTTTTTTGTAATAATGTCTTTTTTTTTTTGAAAAAACTGTAATTTAATTTAAGTTAATATTTCTGACAACATTGGAATAATACAACACAAATATAGAATCTAGGTTTGAAAATAGTGTGTCAGTCAGTATTAAACCACCTATAGCCTTTAATGAACTTTTCCAAACATGTATTTCTTCAAATCAAAATTTTCATCTTTAGAAAAGTTCATTTCAAAATAATAGGGTGATTCTGTTCATTGCAATTTTCAACTTTGGCTTCAGAAGAAACTGAATTATATTTATTCTCATGATAACATTGCTGACAAACTTGCTTACTACAGATACAAGTTACATAGAATACATGCAAGATGACACACAAAATGATAAAAGAAAAAAAGAGATAAAGGGTGACAACGTATATAAGAACAAAGAATATTTTATAAAACATTTTTAATACAAATTAGTGATGGGCCAATTATGTGCTATGTCAATGCAATAAACTAAATGAAAGCTCCAAAGCAGGTCACTGAGTAATAAAGTTTAAGTAAGGTTTCTAAGAAACTAAGCAAGATATATAAGCTTTTAGAATATTAAATGATAAGCGTATTAAGTCTAGTAATGATATGACATTAGTACAATTCACAGTTAAAGACAGAAACACAAAAACACTATAAACTAGAGTGAATGAGATGAAATTTGTAGGGGCAGGGTGGTCCACCAATATAACACGAATGAAATACCCAGAAAATAACCACATTAAGATACAGTCAAATCATAAAATGGTTGAAGCAGCTAGAGTGTGTGTGTTCGGCTATTTCAAGATTTGAGCAATATAAGATCAGAAAAAAAAACATTGAGAATACAAACACCAAATGAGGGTTTTTGATTACTTGCCGTACGTACACCATGTAAAGGGCCGTTTTCGCCATTCATTTTTCTTTGATTAAACTGGAATTGAGTTTTGAAAAAAATTCATGAGCTTTGATTGTTTGACTTGAAAGGATTTTAATTAGTAAGTAATTAATAAATGTTTGTTAATCAGTTTACTGTCCTCTTACTTTTGTCAGTAAATCAAATTTTACAGATTTCTTTTTTATGAATTGGAATATCAGCTTTCAAATAGTAATGACATACGGTACCGTATTATTGTCAAAAAATGAAAACATGTAGAAATGTTACAATAACCTATCTGAAATTCAGTTAAATTTCTTAGATGGAAGTGAATTACATTTGTCCATCAGTGAAACTCAAACTCAAAACAAGCTTTCGTGTATCTGTAAACGATTTCAATATAAAAGGGAATCCACCTGACATTTTTCATTTTGTTTTTGTTTGAGTTTGTGTACACATGTAATCTCAGATTATCAGTATAGATTTGAAGCTGATATTTACATTCACATAAAAAATAATCAGAAAAATTTAATTTACCAACAAAAGTGTAAGGACAATGAGTGTTATTTATTTATGATAAAACAAACAAACAGATAAATATGACATTAAAGACAATAACTTGAAATAGCCAGCACACAGATGATAGACACTAAAACTAGAACCATTGAACATCACTTCACTTAGAAAATAGCATAGCGGCATAGCCAACACTGGAGTTTTAATGAAATAACAGAAATTAATATAAGCTATGTACAGAATCTATATAAAGATGCTATGTACAGAATCTATATAAAGACGCTCAGTACAGAATCTATATAAAGACGCTATGTACAGAATCTATATAAAGACGCTATGTACAGAATCTATATAAAGACACTATGTACAGAATCTATATAAAGACGCTATGTACAGAATCTATATAAAGACTCTATGTACAGAATCTATATAAAGACACTATGTACAGAATCTATATAAAGACACTATGTACAGAATCTATATAAAGATGTTATGTACAGAATCTATATATGTACAGAATCTATATAAAGATGCTATGTACAGAATCTATATATGTACAGAATCTATATAAAGATGCTATGTACAGAATCTATATATGTATAGAATCTATATAAAGATGCTATTGTACAGAATCTATATATGTACAGAATCTATATAAAGATGCTATGTACAGAATCTATATATGTACAGAATCTATATAAAGACGTTACTCGATGCAGATGAAACGGTTAGAAATCATCTTTCAAAATTCAAATGTTAAAAATAAACCAGCCAAACAGATATGGCTGACAAATACAAACAATGCCATTAAATTCATAACATTTTCACATCTTTTAAGGGATTTAAAAAAAGCTATTCTGGTCTCTGTATTTCTATTGAGTTCTAAAATGCTAACCATTATATCATCATTGCAAAACCTTTCAGCTAAGAACAGGAACATCGGAACGGAAATGCTAATAGAGGCCATAATCATTCTTGGCTAGAAAACTTGTTAAAAATGAAATCTTTTTCATAGAAACTTGTGAATCTAAATAATCCTACTGCATCTATGTGGGCTTATAACATCAGTTTTTAAGAGCAATGATGTACATATTTATCTGTCATCTTATAAGCAGGGATATTGCACTTATTTCAACATCGAACGATTTCAGGCTAATGCCTCATTCGATACCTGATTACGACTTTCTTGCAAATCCGAATCTTGTGAGCTAAAGTTGAGACCATACAGACAATAATCATGACTTTATAACTAAGGCCTGCTCACATGTTAGTGCCTGACAGGCCTACGACAAAATCAGGAGTGATCGGCAGAAATCTGGCATGTTTGATCAAAAGTCATCCTGATGTACCTTGTCGGGAAGTGTACGGGGGTTATGTCAAAAATCAGTTAGTCTGCAGTGGCCTTCATGATATTTGCTATTGCAAGGTGAAAGTCGGAGAAATTGTCGACAATGTTTCTCCATTTTCACGACTCTTCAAAGTGGTAAATGCGAGAGAAACCTAATATCAAACGGAAATTCACAACATTGACCCTGTAAACACGATAATCACAAGAGGTATCGAATGAGGTAAAAATCAACCACCCTGATTATAAGCTCTTATTGCAATCTCCAATAAACTCAGGTAGAATTTGTAACTTGGGGATATGATCAAAGTGAACTTTACATACTTAGCTGTTCAAAAATTGAACAATAAACACTAGATCATTTGTCAGTTAATTTTCTGTACAATGTAAATAAATGTCTGAAGCTAATATGATTTTCAAAAGATTTGACAAGCTTTTCACGTATGTATATGTGCTATTTATGGTTTTTGACATTTGTGTGGTCTCTTTAATCTTCTTTAGCAAATAAAATTCAAGATTGTAATATTTATAACATTACAAAATAAACATTACTAGAACTGAGAATAGCCTATGAACAAATTTTCAAGGTATAGGCATTAATGCTGAATTCATTGTCTTTTCTGAAATTCAGCTGTCTTCAAATTTCTCTGGTTTCATTAAAATTTAATCAGTACATTATTCAATCCAAATAGTAGTTGGATTTATTTGCTACCTTGAAATAAAAGATAGCTTGCCAGGCAAGGTAACATACGCCCACTGGCAGCTGTCAGGAATGATAAAACAGTATTTAGTGACTAAAGTATGATTTGTCTCATGTCAAAGAAATTTTAATAGTTTGAATTCAATGATATATATATTTACTGCCAGTTATTTAAATATAGCTAAAAGAGTGAAACGTCAAGTCAGACACGATATTTCGGTGAAAAATTATCCGATCATCATGAAAATCGATGGAGATCATCTTCATAATGACATTGACACACAAAATCAAAATCAAAAGAATCTGTAAAGAATTGTAGCCTGTAGAGTGAGCACGGACCAAATGTGAATGGACGGACTGACCCACAGGGTGATTACAATATACGCCCATCTTATGTGTGGGCATGCATGTAAAAATATGACACCATATGGTCAAATTGAGTGAAATACAACTTACCTTCGTCCAAGGATGGGCTTTAATTTGTGGGAATTTAAATTCCTGATAGTTAGGATTCATTTCTCTTATCTGTTCTCTGGTGGGTGTTCCTAGTACCTTGATAATTTCAACTAACTGATCTACTCCACTGTCACCAGGAAATATTGGTTGTCCTAATAATAATTCAGCTAATACACATCCTGCCGACCATACATCTGTAAAATTCCATTAACCATTATTAATATACAATAGCAAAGTGGCTGTTTTGTCCATCTTCGCAAAGGTCAATTTTGTAAATGCAGTGATCTGATTGGATTGTAGGCTAGTGAATACAGCCAATCAAGAGTCCTTGACAGAAATTCTGTAAATATTAAGGACATAATGTTTACAGTTTTTCTGCCAAGGGAGTCCGAGTGCCTGCATTCAATGAAATTGATGCATTCTGTGATACAAGAACAGTGGCTATTGCAGTTGAAGACTAAGTTTGCAATACCTTACGATGTATTTTTCTTAGATGAATATTTTGGGTAAGCTTATGTAACAGGTGTGCCATTTTTTTTAATCAATCATACTTTAGTTTCAGAAACTAGAAATTTTTAGCCGAGCTAATCAGTAATAATGTTCACAGCTGACTGTCGAAATTTGAGCCCTCAATTCCATGTGTGTCTAGAATTATGTGTTTGAATGTTAAAATGACGACTTATCAATTTAAAGGGACAGATGCGCCATTTTGGGGGGTTGGTTTTGGTCTTGAATATATAAATAGTATACAGAAGTACTAGAAATGTACGAAAATCACACAATTCCTTTAAAACTACTTCAAACTAGGAATTTTACTCACTGGAGAAAATAATACACAGAGTCTAAAGCTATATTTTAATGATCATATTAGATATACCTACCTATACGACAAGAATAATCAGTGGCACCAAATATTAACTCTGGTGCTCTATAATAACGTGAACAAATGTAAGATACATTAGGTTCTGCCCGTACTAATACTTTTGCACTGAAATAATGAATAAACAGGAAATGATAAAGTTTCTGAACATCAACATAATAAAAGTTTAGTAATTTTGATAGTAGAAACCTGTTATTATACCAAGCACTGCCATGCAAAATTTCCAATTTTTCAGACATAGTTTGCATTTTTTTTAATAACAGGATATGAAGAGAAAGATGACAAGTATTTCTTGGCATGATGCTGTTGATATTTGACCAAATGTCTGTCCTACTTTTCTGCACCTAACTGGCTAAAATGAAGACGGGCAACGCCACGCAATGTACAATGGAAAACAATGCCAGAACTGTGGGGTTGATAAATAGGATATCCATTAAAAAGAATGAAGTATTGTAAAAATGATCACAATATTTTAACAATATTTAGAGTAGTGTTCAGCCAATTAAAGATGGGTTCCCTTATTTTCATTGATGAAAATGAAAATGCTAATACTTATATAAATAGAAACAAGGGTGTTCTAATGACCAGTTTGACTCACATGGAAGAGAATTATCAGCAAAATTCCAATGAGTGACCGATCAAGAAAGGTCAAAAAGTATTTTTTGTTTGTCCAGACTGTACTTAAATGGACATTTCTGATTGGTTAAAACTCTTAACTTTATGCAATTAGAACATAATGATATGATTAAGAATAATGATAATTCATTAGAAACACCAACAGTAAAAAAAATAGGGGAACCCATCATCAAGCCTTTAGTTTAGCTAAACTATTTGTACATCGGTGTCAAATACAAAGTAAAGTTTCATACCTTCCAAAATCACATAACTTAAGAACACCTGTTTCAGGATCTAATAATAAATTCTGAGGTTTAATATCACGATGGCACACTCCCTGGGAATGAATGTACGCTAAACTTCGAAATAGTTGGTACATGTACATCTGAAAGTAGAAAAGAGTTGTCTCAGCATAATAGTATAGATTCTTATGGAAACATAGAGAACGAAACAACCATTCTTTACAAGGATAACAACTTCTCTTAGAATCCTTACTACCAACTGGTCCTTGGTCAAATCACTAATATAATCTATAAAGACTGGGTCGACTTGGGAAGATGACAGCAAGCATACCATTATAGATACAGTAAGCTTATAAATTATTCTCATTCCAATCAACAACCTTGTTTTGGTAAAATCTTCCTTGAATGTGTATTTCATGTGTTCACAGTAGAATGGTTGTAAAGAGAAAGTCTGTCAAATAAACTAACTGAAGTACTGGTAGGTTAGGAAGTAGGTAGAACTTACCTTTATAAAAAGTATTGGTATAGTATGCTTTGATTTACTGTAATGGCGTGCTACTCTATAAACAGTTTCTGGTACATATTCTAAGACCAGGTTGAGGTACACTTCATCTTTCTGTAAGTAAAATTGTCATTATTAAAGGAATAGTTGGTTTAGAAAAATTTCAGATTGCTGATAAATATAAATTAGCATTCTATTGGTTTTGCTTTATTTTGTACTTATAACAAATTAACATCCCTTGACATAAATGCATGGGAGTTGACATTTTCCATCACGATATGCTTTACCTTGTAGACATAATAAAATGGCAGAATTTCACAGGTGAGAATACCTCAGAACAAGAAAAAATACAAGCAGTAAGCCAGACAAATCAGATCAGATTAGTTTTGAACAAAGACCAGCTATTTTGTAGCTGGAAACCTACAGAAAGTTGCCACTATCCTGACAAGCATTTCTCTCTAGTTAAGTAGCCCATTCCAGTGCAGAAAGTACACTGTAAATCTGCAATTATTTTTGCAATATTTTACTGTATTTTTAACTCACCTTATCACCAGCTGAATAAAAGAAAAATCGTAATTTAACTATGTTAGGATGTTCTAACTTCCTCATTATTTGTAATTCTCGATTCTGAAAGAAAAGAGAAGAAAATATTGTTGATACATAGAAATAGTATTATTGAATTTTATTTAAATGTATTAGCCATTTGTAGGACTGCAAGGATTCTTGAAGTTGAGATTCGATACACTATAGGATACTCATTCAACGATATGATTTATTGCGATAATTATCACGATTCATTTATTACAGAAGGAAAGAGAAAAATCTCAAATTTCAGAGTCAGAAATGAATTTTTACAAATTTTGATGTGAAAACCATACTTGAAAAATGAAAACATGATGCAATTTCTTATACACACAAGGATTCTGTGTCATTTGTTATTAATGGGGGCTAAGAATAAATCATACCGCGATACATCACGATTATTTTTATCCAACGCAATGCATCAATAAGAAGGAAAAAATCGTTGCAGCCCTAGCCATTTGCCATTAAATATTTTACTGGATGTGCAGCTCTCATGCAATAAGTCGAAATGCTTCAGTCATGATGCTTTATTGTTGAATAGCAAGATTATAATTCTGAAAAGAGCTTCAGTTAACTGAAATTAAGCTCTGGCAGCTATTAAAGCATGTACTTCCACCACTATGCCTCTGATTCAGAAAGACTTTTTAACCAGGTGTTATTAAACCTACAGTACAAAACGTACCATCACTAAATATAATATATGACTCACTGACAAGACTTAAATCATCATGTCTAAGTCAAAACTCATACACAATGCATACCAGAAACTAACTAAATACCATGGGCATGATGTAAGCTTATTGCAGAGGTGATCAGAATATTTTTCATTGAGGCACCAGTTCTTTTAGAAATCAGTAGAATAACCTCATACAGCCTTATGAAAACTGTAGTTTACCTTAAATCTTTTATCTTGTAAGACCTTTTTAATAGCCACAAGTTCTTGTGTTTCGACTAGTTTTGCTTGGTAAACGACTCCAAAAGAGCCATTTCCTATCACTTTGGCATCCGTGTAACTGACTTCCTGTGGTCGGTCTTGACCTTGTATGTTTCCAGCAGTCGCCAGTACAGTTGTGACCTTGCTTCCATCTTTGTCTACGAGTAAAAATAGATACAGGTTAACTTAACTGATTTATGTAATAAACTGAAGATTATCATAAGCTGATTAACAAATTATACATGTAATATCAAAATACTAGTTCTGCTCAAATTCTTCAGAGATTTATGGAAGATTACAGAGTCCCTAGGTTGGAGATTTTTTCACAGAGAAACAAAATGAACTATCGTTAAAAGAATTTCCTGGATCTTTTAGAAATAATCCACATTCCTTCTATTCTAAGCAAATCAATATCCCTTCCAAGCCTGTCTTTAATCATTATACCATCCTTATGTCTGATGAAAATTTCAAAATTCATTTGCATAATGCTTACAATTAGAATAAATTACTAAATAAAATAATTTAGCATGCATAAATTAAATATATTATGATACTACAAAACAAAATAAGAGACCCACGCAACTCTCGTGACAATAAATGAAATCTTATTAGAAATTGTACTCTTCATGACCAAGAAATAGTAAAACTATCAAACTACATATTTTCCTACTGTAAATTATGGTGGTACTCAAGAAAGACTTTCCTTCAGCAGGGTTTTAGAATATCAGTGCTCATTAAGTAGGGTTTTATTTATGTACCGTATGGCTGCAGACTATTCTGCTTTAACCTCTATGCTTCTGCAATCAAATACAACTATACACTCAAGTTCGTTACTGGTACGCTATCTGTATTGGTACCGGTTTGCAGAATCAATGAAGTGTACAAAGTTATAAAAACCAAAACTAATATAAGTAGATCTCCATTCAGCAAATTGAGACAGTGAAATACAACATTGAGTAAGATCTATAACCATGTAAAAGACCACTTTTAACATGACAACATTAAAATGATTGTTAACTATTATGATTTGACATCATGATGACCATCAGATTAAATTGTAGGAAACAAATACACCAACAATGAAAAGCTAAATGGTCTACAAAAATGTAAAAAAAAACGTTGTTATAATGAACTTGTAAGCTAAAACTATGATAGATATTCTAAAACTGGAACTAAAAAGAAAACAATAATTTATAAGAAGGAAATGAACGACAAAAATAAATTTATTCAGCATACTTTTTTGCAAATTCATTTCGTTTCTATAAAAACGTGATCTTCTCAGCTACTCTGAAAAAGTCTCTCAATTATATTGTCCATAGATATCACTTTTTTCTCAAAATTAATTTTTACCACAATCTACACAGTTGGCTTCTTTGTCAATCAATCTGTAATCAGATTTAATGTGTAGACATAACCAGAGAGGATTAGGTGATTAACTTTGACCACACACAAGGTGCTAACGGCAATTAACAAAAATCCGTTATTTATTAAACTGTTATTAGTTTGATTAAGCTTCCAATCACTTTACAGCATCGGATACACATATGAAGGAACTATCGAGTGATTAGATTGGCGGCCATCTTTGATAACTTGGTGGATGAATAGATCCTTGGCATGCGGACTTAAAATAAGAACTTACTGATTGTCCTCATTCCTCCAAAAGGGGCAGACGATCCAGCTTTACCTCCTTCAGCAAAAGATGTTGTCCTAGGACGACCACTCATTATAATGTTGAGTCTTAAAAACAGTTTATTTGTCCACAAAAAAGGTTAAAATCTCAGATCTGTTACATTTCAGAGACTGAATCTATTCGCCTCTGATCACTTTAGATTTTACACGAATGTGGCACACTCACCACGCCAGTTAGGCCATGAATTGAAAGATAGATGCAAGAGCCTTTCACTTAATACCCTCCACTTCAAATATTTAGATTAAAAGTCTGGAAAATAAAAGGATGACAGTCAAGTAGTTACGACAATGTTTTCTCCTAATATTCGTTTCTAATGGCCGATCGCTTGTCGTATGATAAGAACTAACGGAAATTTTATCGGAAGGGTCCGTTAACCAATGAAATCATCAAAAATTTAATCTCGTTCATCTACGTATATTTCCGTATGAGACCGAAAGGGCGAACAAAAGTGAAACGTCATAAATAATTGTGCTCCGAGGTTGATGACGTATATGAATGATCGGTCGATTTGTCAGACCTTTCACATGGCGTTTCTACATTACCCTTAGATCTATACATCAAAGAACTTGTCAATGTACAATTTCATAAAACTTTTAGTCTGGATTTATTCTTCGAAAACACTTTTATGTTGACAAATCTGTAGGAATCCAAATGTACATTTCAATGTCCTTATTCTGACGTGAAACTTTCCTCTGCCTTTTACTTTCAGAAAAACTGGCCTGCTTAAGACGTTAAGTGCTAGTGCTAAGTAACCTAGACCTGATTGAAGAAGAAAGAAAGTGAAAAGGCCAAAGGTGCTTATGTTCTTTGACCTAATTTCTGATGCCTGAAAGAAATGACAGTATAGAGTAACATTTTCAAACAAAAATACTCATATTAACTGTTAATTAGGGATGGCTATTTAATTTATATCAGGGTAGATCTACCACCGAAAACTTATTTGCACATTTATTTATTATGCCTGATTTAGCCTAGTACCTAGGCCTAGTTGGGGGTCATTCCTACTGCCTTTATCAACTGAAACATTTTCAATAACTAGGCGGTAAGGAATAATGTGATTTTCGTACATTTCTAGTACTTCTGAATACTATGCAAACCAGTCCCTTTAAGACTACCTACCTATTTTTAGATTTACTATTTTGAATTTGATATTCCATTTTTTTTTTTAAATAATTTGTTAGATACTGGATATGATAGGTTCATGTGAGTTGTTTAATGAAGAACATGTTATAGTTTTTAATATGTGTGTCTGATTATCTGATCTAAGTTAACGGTACTACAGTATTTCCTAAAATCTAGATATTTGATAATCTTGCATATTGATCAACATTTTCCAGCAGAAAGATGTCCCTTCCAATAGAATGGAAACTTAAAGATTTGAAGAAACTTAAAGTTATATTAGAAAAGTAAGTGGTAAGCTTACCAGCCTACTTAACTTTTATCAATCTTTCTAGCTTCCTTAATGTTTGCTTTAACCGTTGTCTCAAGATCTCATAGCATGAAACTGAGTAACAACATGATTTGCCTTCCATCAGCATAATTAGAATTAATTAGACCAAACTTTCATTATGCTTTTTTATTAGCATTTATTTTAATACAGCCACTTCAGTTACAGTCTAAATACTGGCCTCTTAAACATTCGTCAAAATAACCTTTAGACCTAGCCTGATAAATACCGCTTCATAAATTTCTAGTGCTGGAGAGGGAAGAAATTTGATGCAGGTTAATGCAGACTCCATCGATGATAGGTCAAAAGTTTGATTTGATGAACGTTCAAGGGCTGTTGTTAGACCCTAACTGAAGTGGCTACATTAGAAGTAAAAACTAATAAAAAAAAGGGACAATAGCTTGGTCTAATTTTAATTAAACTGGCTCTACAATTGATATATTGAACACTATTTAAACAGTGAAAATATTATATTATTGCTTTAAAAGTTGATATCACTTTTCAGAATTGAAACACAATGCCTGTGACATTCACCATTAAATATAATTAAACTGCTTTGCCTTTGACATTTTATGTTCAATAAATCTAAATTGAATTTTATAAATATTTATATTTGGTAAGCTTATATAGTAAGATGGTATTGTGATAACTGATATTGAACTGCGTATGATTGATCCTGTCCACTATCTTTGTCTGAAGTTTTGAACTTCATTACCTTAAAGGGACACTTGTCAATTGGTGCGCAATTTGTTGTGGCAAGGTGTGGCATTTCTTGATTGATTGCATACTGTATATGCATGAGTAATGCATTGCATAGGCAAGGCACGACTAAAAATTTGCACACATTGACAAGGAATGGCACTACTTTAAGCATAGGTTAGGTATTATATGATTATTGTTCATGCTTGGACATTAACCACCGGCACTGTTTTACGCATTACTTGCACATGGGTCACATAAAAGATTAACCCTGCACTCTTCACACACTCCTCATCCAAGCTCTGAAAAACGTTTATCATTAGCATGTCAAAGTGCACTGACAGAAATCATGCAAGTGTCAGAGTGATTTTTGACCTTAAAACATTATTTTGTGAGAAAATTCTGTCAAGTGTTTTAGCACACTGAACAATTGTTTTTTCGGGAGTAAATGTTTCAAGTCTGTCATGTGTGCTGTTTTTACAAAAAACACGTGGTTTAACATTATAATTGAAACTATTGATTTCAAAAAAGTCATGTGACAACTGCATAGGCAATGTTTCTTTTGAACAATGTCCATTGTGTGGGGCTAATGAAAATTTGAACACGTAACAATTTTTGTTATTTTCAACAGAAAAAATTCTGTCGTCTGTGCGGGATTTAGAATGAACATTGAGTTTGAATTCTCAATCTAGGCCTATAAGTATATATTCATCAGTGAACTTATCTGGTGTCATATTCCATTAAATTCTTGAAACTAAGTTATTTATCCATAAAATTACAAATAATTATTCAAAACTACTGAACAATTGAAGCCTTTTTGAACATTAAGTACTTATTTCTTCTGATTATATAAGGATCCTGTTGTATGGTTAAGATACCAGTTAAGTTCACTGATGAATATAGACTCTTAGTGGCCAAGGTTTACAATTTGATGTTCATTTTAAGAGGTTATTATAAATTCCTTTAAGAGATACACAAATCTTTATATTTATATTGATATGTTTTAGGACACCTGTAGATGATATAGAAGCAATTCAGAGACAAATTCCTATTAAAACCAAAGAACAGGTAAATCAAACAACTTCATCTAAAGCCCTGTTTGCCAACCTGCGAGTGTGGGGTGTGATCAACTGGTGTAGGAGAAGAATTTATTTTGAATTGAGAGAGCATCTGACATCATCACATGCTGAAAATGTGGATGAAACAAATTTTTGTCCAGGGGATTGCTCCAGGGTTGTGAAGACTGAAATAGGTTGGGAAATCTCTTTAGATTCAGGATATATCATGAAGTCATCAGCTCAAAACCTTTTGGGAAAATGCTAATATTGGTCTGGAAGTGATAACAGACTGTAGGACTGGAAAACTGATTGTTATAATAGCTGAAAATGAGCTCTGAATTGTCACATGACTGTGTCTTTTTATTATAATTCCTACTACATGTACCATTATTTATGTTCAGGTGTAGCTGTTTGGAATGATTATTATGCAGTTAAAGTCTTAGGTCACCTTGGCTTGACACTTGCAGGGTTTTTGTCCCCCACAAAGCATTGCAATTGGGTGGAAAGTTGTGTCCTTTCACTGCAATTTAATAATTCTAATATGAATTTTTTCTTTACTCTATTTTGTGATTGTTTCAGATAGAGGATCTGATAGCAAAGTTACGTAATGCAGCCCCAAAAAGTAAGTAATAAATATTTTGCTTAGACTGACTAGTTGCAAGACAAAATTAAAAAGGATTGTAAAGAGAATTTCTAACTTTTTGATGCTTTTTTTTTATGACTTATTTTTTCGAGTACATTGAATATAACTAGAGTTATGTCCCTTCCTATTTAGAAACATGTCATGTGTACATAATAGTACAATTTTAATCAATTTCCTTCATAACATTTAGTTTTAACTATTATAAAATAAAATATATGATATATTTTAAGAGGATGTCTGTGGTTCCTGCAATTCCACTAAAACTAAGTGTTTTACATAAGACCTTTGCGGCGGTGATATCAGAAAACACTTGATTTTAGTAGATTTGAATGGTGCAATTTGATGCTATTATTGTTCCTGATACACATGAAAAATTTAGAAAACCTCTTTACAATCTCTTTAAAATGAGAGTATATGTTGATATACTTGGTATATATTGACATTTATATATTTTATTTTATAATAGTTAAAACTGAATGTTATGATGGAAATGTTCAAAATTGTACTATTATGTACACTTGACATGTTTCTAAAAAGGAAGGGACATAACTCTTGTTATGCTATGGTTTGTTTCAACTTTCTGGAAATTCGTTAAACCGCACTATTTTATCAGGAACGGAAATGTGCAGATAAACGAGGCTTTACTTTAATTGAAAATAAAATGTTTTAAAATGATTTTCATGAAATTTGATACATAGAAAATACACTCCTCAAAGATGTGCCTACCGCGTAATTCTACTTATGGACAGGTTGGTGAATCTTGATGCCCAGGAAAAGTATTTATCCCATGATGTAATGACAAAAAATTACCTTATTGCAGATAAAAGAATAGATACAGAGGCACCAATAGAGGTAGGTCATGTTGATTTATATACAGAGGAATGCTTCTACAAGCTAGAAAATATTATAAGCTTAGGCTCAGAAGGTCATGCAAAATTCAAATTGGAAGCCAGATGTTACTATATGATACATGACATTTTCTTGAAATGTGACTGAAATTGCCGAAAATTTGAAATCTGTTTTTATAAATTTCAATATAAATATGAACTATAAGTCTGAAGAGATCAATAATGATTAAATAAGGAGTGGTGTATAGGATTTGATATTCAATTTGATTCATAAATGGAGTTAACAGTACCTGATTCCAATCAGATTAAAAAGTGATTAAGGTATTGTCTGGGGCATTTCTACTCCCAGAAATATAGTTTTTTACCCTCACTCGTTTACGAGAAATTTCAAAAAACACGTTTTTTTTTTTTACTTTTTTTCTCCAAATGTTATGTGTCAGAATGCTCCAAATCAGTTCTCTCCATAGCAAGCTTGCACCTTCGCATTTCCCATAATTTCCAGGAGGCTGGTGTCACTGATATAAAAGATTTCTATGTCTAATATTGTGAAGACTTTTATATGCCCACAAGAAATGTGAAGCGTATATTCTTTATGGATTTTGACGAAACTTGCTGAAATCGTTTATTATCACCCAAGGATGAACCCTATTGAAAATCGATAAAATCGAAAAATATTTGATATGAGTTATTGCCCTTGTTCTTCAAAATGCGTTCGAATTTTAGCTTGTAAACACTCTACAAGTCACAATTCTTTACAAATTTTGACGAAACTTGGTGAAATTGTTTATTATCACCCAAGGATGAACCCTATTGAAAATCAGAAGAATCGAAAAATATTTAGTATGGGTTATTGCGCTTGTTCTTGAAAACGCGTTCAATTTTTAGCTCGTAAACATTCTAGAAGGCACAATTCTTGGCGGATTTTGACGAAACTTGGTATGAGTGTTCTTAATCACCCAAGGATGAACCCTATTGAAAATCAGAAGAATCGAAAAATATTTAGTATGAGTTATTGCCATTGTTCTTGAAAACGCGTTCAATTTTTATCTTGTAAACACTAAAAGGCATGATTCTTGCTGGATTTTGACAAAACTTGGTTTTATTATTCAGTCCCGCGCTGAAGATTGAATATTTGCCTTCTAGAGTTTTCACGAGCTAAAAATTGAACACATTTTCAAGAACAAGGGCAAATAACTCATACTCAATAAAATTCAGTATCGCCCTAAAGAGTTCAAAAGAAGTGTATGACTGAAGGTTGAATATTTCATACTGGTGATTGTTACTGTACTGCTAAATAGTTTCATTCAAAATCAAAACTGCCAGTGGGCGTATATTACCTTGCCTGGCAAGCTATCTTATATTCAACCAAATGTCTTTGAAAGTACAATTAATAATCTGTTGTCAGATTTATTGGTTTTGAGAACAATGTAACAGTTATATTATAACTTGAAGCAACAGAAACATGTAAGATTTCCAAATGAAAAATGTGTCAAAAATAATTTCAGAGTTGGTTAACATTAGCAGCACAGTTGGTATTTAGAGATGATATAGATCATTCAGAAAACTTGTCTAGGGTAATTATTGTTATTTTTATATGCCCTCATGAAATTGGGGGGCATATATTGCCATCCGTCTGTCCACAATTACTGGTAAACACTCTACAAGGCACAATTTTTGATTGATTTTGCGATAAAATTTGGTATGGTTGTTTGTAATCACCCAAGGATGAACCCTATTGAAAATCAGAAAAATCGAAAAATATTTAGTATGGGTTATTGCCCTTGTTCTTGAAAACGCTTGTAAACACTCTAGAAGGCCCAATTCTTAACAGATTTTGATGAAACTTGGTAATATTATTCAATATTACCTCAAAAAGTTCAAAAGATGTGTATGACTGAAGGTTGAATATTTCATACTGGTGATTGTTACTGTACTGCCAAATATTTGTATTCAAAATCAAAACTGCCAGTGGGCGTATATTACCTTGCCTTGCAAGTGTGCGGGTGTTAAATAGTCGTGACCTAGTTGAAAGTCAACCAATAGAATTCCATATCACATGCTCACTTCTAGATGACATTTTGTATACTGAAAGCTGATTGAGGCACATCCTGTCAAGTTGACACTGTCAAAAAAATTGTACGCAGTTATGTCAAAAAATTGGTAATTAAGCGACGGCCTTTAACTGTCTAGCCCTTGACCAATTAGTACTTATGTTGTGTTTTATGGGATTTCCATGAAACTACGTTTGTTTTTAGAAGGATTTTAGTCTCTTTTATTTCCATGGTCAAGTTTTTACTGTGTTATGTAAGGTGTTACCATTTCAAAATTTTGTCTGGGTCAATTTTTGTACTAAAATATGATAAAATCAAGTATACAATGTCAAGTGACATTTTCAAACTAGTGCATGCGAACTGAAAGATAAAAAGAAAAAGTACATGCAAACTGAAAGATAAGAGGTGTCAGTTCGGATATGAACTGATGTCATTTAGATAGCAAAGTTATTGTTGGGTTTTGCTATGTGTGTTTTTTTTTGTGCAAAATATCTTAAAGTTGGAATGCTGAATTGAAAATACAAAAATCATGTATGCATGATGGTGGTTTTCTTTCACAAATTTTCATCTTGGGGAAGGTTGGGATTTGATACATTGATAAAATTAATACAATTCATATCGCGATATTGTGATATTGGGTTTTGGGATAAAAATTAAACATTTATCTTCAAAGTTTCAATATATATTAATTTATAACTTTATAACTGTGATATTTGATAATATAGTTGATAGAAGTGGTTAGAGTCCACTGTCTTATAAAAAGTTTCTAACAATTTCAGTGAAAACAATTGTTATATCATAAAACAACTTATAAAAATCACCACTTTTTATATGCTGACATTGAAATGGGGGTCGTATTGTTCATTCGTCCGTCCACAATTGCTGGTAAACACTCTACAAGGCACAATTCTTGACTGATTTTGCGATAAAACTTAGTATGGTTGTTTGTAATCACCCAAGGATGAACCCTATTGAAAATCAGAAAAATATTTAGTATGAGTTATTGCCCTTGTTCTTGAAGCGGTTGTAAACACTCTTAAAGGCGCAATTCCGATGGATTTTGACGAAGATTGGTATGGTTGTTTGTAATCACCCAAGGATAAATCCTGTTGAAAATCAGAAAAATCAAAAAATATTGTTACTGTACTGCTAAATATTTTTATTCAAAATCAAAGCTGCCAGTGGGCGTATATTATCTTGCCTGGCAAGCTATCTTTTATGGAATAAAACAATCACCAAGAATCGATACACGACGTCCCTATACAAAATGTGGTATTGTGGCATGTCGTATAGTGATAAATGGATTCACCGATATATATCGTGGCAGCACTAGAAAACAGAATTGGTTTATAAGCACAATATAATATATTTTCAGGCTTTATCATTGATCAGTGACCATGAAGAGTTTAATACCAACAATGAAGAATTTAAACCAGATTATAAACTGGTCTATAAATACTTGGCAGCTATTTTACAAGGTTCTGACACTCTACCATCTTTACCTTCTGTGGGTAGGTATTTTACAAGGTTCTGACAGTCCACCATCTTTACCTTCTGTAGGTAGGTATTTTACAAGGTTCTGACAGTCTACCATCTTTACCTTCTGTAGGTAGGTATTTTACAAGGTTCTGACACTCTACCATCATTACCTTCTGTAGGTAGGCATTTTACAAGGTTCTGACACTCTACCATCTTTACCTTCTGTAGGTAGGTATTTTACAAGGTTCTGACAGTCTACCATCATTACCTTCTGTAGGTAGGTATTTTACAAGGTTCTGACAGTCTACCATCATTACCTTCTGTAGGTAGGTATTTTACAAGGTTCTGACAGTCTACCATCATTACCTTCTGTAGGTAGGTATTTTACAAGGTTCTGACAGTCTACCATCTTTACTTTCTGTAGGTAGGTATTTTACAAGGTTCTGACAGTCTACCATCTTTACCTTCTGTAGGTAGGTATTTTACAAGGTTCTGACAGTCTACCATCTTTACCCTCTGTAGGTAGGTCTTAATTTCATTGGCCAGATCTCTTGGCTGAATTGACTGGCATAATAAGAACAGATGATTTATTCAGTGTCATCAAACTTTTACACACCATTGCAATTGACATCAAGATTTCAACATTTAAACCAACTGAGCTACAGTCTGTTGTCTAAAGTTATAGATACATCGAATTGATATAAAAAATACTATTTGATCAAAATTCTATTACAATTTCGCATCTTTTTTTGTATCTGATATTTTTTGTCTTTGTTGTAATCTAACAAGTTTTCTACCAAAGGCCTGTACCAAGAGTATTATTTCAACCAGTCATAGCTTGTCATGTAGAACCTGTTTCTTGATAAAAAATAAGGCAGTGTGGTTGCGATATGACAGCCTCTCTCATAATTGCTTATTTTATCAAGAAATGAATTCCACATGACAAGCTTTGATTAGTTGAAAATAACAACATTTGGACGGTTGGCCGTCGCATAGAAAACTTCTTAGGTTACAATGAAGACTCGCATACATATAACAATATTACCGCTAAAGTCGATGAAGGAAGATCCCAAATTACCAAGGTACAAAATTTTCAGGGAAAAAACTCTCAAAAAATATTTCACCGTGTATATTGCACACCCCTTCTGCACGGAGCCCTTTTAAGGGTAAAAACCTGTGCATTATATTCTGAAATATATGGTACTATATTTCAGCAGAATACAGTCTATGTTTCAATTTTTCTATTGTCTTTTGGTCTCAAGACAACTTTTTTTATTCTGACTAAATATTGTTTATTTCAGAGTGTGCAATAGTATTAGATTTAATGCATAGTTTAGCAGACATTTTAAAAACCAAATCAACCAGTGGACAACAAAGGATAATGCAATGGAAACATCGATTATTAACTTGTAAAACTGATATTAATCAAAAACTTGTTTTAACTGAATTACATAAAAAAGCTTTGAATAATGGTAGGTATTGAAAGTTTCTATTGTCAAAGATCGTCCAAGAGCCCAGAGGGGGAAGTTTTGGTTTGTCTCATTGAATTCCATGAAAATTTCGTAAATATAATAGCTTCAATCTGATGAGAAAATTTTGGAAATTATTAGTTTGAGGGTATAGAGCTACCAGTCGACCCCTGGTTAAAGGCAATAGTAGTTGTAGATATCAAAGTGGAAAGTGTTACATATAGCTATAGACTATATATTGATGATAATTCAAAAGATTCTATGCATATTTGGGACATTCAAAACCTTATGATTTTGATATTATAATTTGGTTTTAGTGGTTTACCACACATGATGCAAAAATCAATGTCTAAACAAGATAGTTCTCTACATTGTCTCATCCCTGACAATATTCAAAAAGTTCACTTTTTTATTCAGATTTTTCAGATCTATTGAATCCAGACAACAAAACTAAACTTGGTCAGAAAAGAAAGAGAGAAGACACTGCCCAATGTTCGTCCAGTACACAAGCTAATCTAGATGAAGAAGATGGTGCTACAGCTTTGGACAGTGTAGAACATGAGTCTGAAGACAACTCTGTTTCTTCTGAACCAGAAGATATTCCTCTGAAGAAACCAAAATTTTTGACTCTCAATCCATTGTGTATTCCTGTTTCATTACTAAAATTGAAGGACCTCAATAATTCAGATAAGAAAAGTTGAAAATCAGTGTATAGTTAATAAGCTGGACTTTCTACTAATAGCCAAAGTGAAAAATGAAAAATCCAAATTATGCTGTATTCGATAACTATCATGCAAATAGTGGTTATGGCTTTCTAAGAAAGTCTGAAGAAATAGTACACAACATAGTCACAACATTGACCCTCTGAACACAAGAGGTATCAAATGCAGCATTAGCTCATACTTTGCATGTATGAAGTGTCTGTTTCGCCAAATTTCCTCAATTTGTGGATAAGAGGAAGAATTGATGTGCTCTAAAGCTGGTATTATGATTTTATCTAGCTTTATCTTTGCCACAAGCTTTTTTTGTTATTCAAACATTAGTTTGAAATTTAAGAGATCTTAGATTCATTTTTATACAAACACATGGAAATGTGTTGGAGGAATAAATGGTTTATTTTGACAGTTTAGAAGTTATTTTAAAGCACATGAAAACTTGGATACATTGCTGTCGCACCTGTCTGTCCACATTTCTTACAGACGCGATAGAGGCTTCATTTTTTATTCGATCTTGATTAAACCTAGTATGATTGTAGATATTGATAAGATCTGTCAAGGTTAATTGGATGAACGGTTTCTTAGTTATTGCCCTTGACCCAATAAAAACGCATCAATTTTGGCTTGTAGACATTATAGAGGTTGTTGCTTTTATCCAATCTTGATGAAACTTGTTATGCATGTACATATTTATGAGATTTAGTTTAGAGGGACTGTACAGAGATTTTCAATTCCAATTTTCAGTCAGATGTCTGTGGTTCCTGCAGAATTCCAAAAAAAACATAAGAGCAGTGTGATTTTGATAGTTTAATGTATTTGACTTATTGCTATTGATTTAAAAAAGAAAGGTTTTTGGAAAAACTGAGTAGAAATAAATGTTAGTAAAATTCTAAATTGGAAGCTTTGAACTACAAATTCATTATGAAGATCTTCAATCAAAGCTCGATTTTAGTCACTTAAAACATATCATTCTTTATAGCTGCCAATGGGCGTTTAACCTGACAAGCTATCTTTGATCTTTGATGGGAAAGTGGTTGGGAAACATAGTTTGGACTCTCACCACAACCCGTATTTTCAAACTACAAGCGTTAAAAGTCTGACAAGCTTTTCTAGATTTCACGTAGTATGAAATCAAAACAAATTGGAACAATATATTTTCAGTTCATATATTGCAAGATATAACACAAGTACATGATATAAACAGAAAATATATTTTCATTTAAAACAATAAATTACAACACCATACTGATGTATAATCTTTATGATATATTGATACAATTACCATTATTATCTTTGTGAACTCTGGACAGTCAATACAAAATATAATGAAAGGTGTGATTATTTATTATAGATATTTGACCAGTTCAAAATTACTGGGTGGGGATAAATTTGATTAAAACTGAACTTCACTAACTTCAATAACAGTATTATTAAATTCTAGATTGATAATTATGAAATTAAGAAAGAAACAACTATGTTTTACAGCTCAGGTTCACAATTTAAGATTCATTCTATTACCTAGCCCTTGGCCAAACTCTTTGCATTGATCTTTCCCAATTTTTCTGTACCCATATAATTTACAATTGGGATGACTAGAATTGTAAGTAAAGATGACTCATTCAAGGTCATCGGACTATCACACACCAATCGAGAATTGAACCCACAACCCGACAAAACCAAGCAAATGACTTTATGTTAAGAACCAACACTCTGACTGTACTATAAAACCTTATTTTAGCCCATGGCAAAAGATGATTTTGTGAAGTCGGGAATGAGCCGAAGTTGTTTATTAGTTATACCGGACATAATATTGATTAAGAATTCCTAATACCTATGGCAATCTGAAATTCCAATAAATAACACTGTCAGTCTGTCACTTGCATTTCACTTCAAGACCAATTTTAATAATAGCCCTTCTTTGTTGAGATATATATATATATGCCTTCATGAGGAATTCCGTGAAAATATGACTAGGGTTACAAAAAAAAAATAATATAAGGTGAGGAAAACCATTTCCTTTTGACCAAATGTAGTCAATTTCTTAAATTATTTGATTAATTGGTGTTTCTAATGAATTTATTTAGTTTTAACTAATCATAAATGTCCATGTATGTACAGTCTGGATAAACAAAAAAAAACTTTTTGACCTTTCTTGATTGGTCACTTGGAATTCTGTTGGTAATTCTCTTCTAATTTAACTAATTATAAATTCATTATAGACATGTGAGACAAACTGGTATTTTTCCAAGTCATTAGAACACCCCTACTTTCTATATATAAGTATTAGCATTGACATTTTCATTAATGATAATAAGGGAACCCATCTTAAAGGTAAAAAAATTAGCTGCCTTAAGCTATTTAACTATGTAAATAGTCTTCAAAAGATACTAGAAATGTTTGAAAATCGCATAATTCCTTGAGAAATACTTCAAATATATGTGTCTTTTCTATATATCACAGACTACGCAGATAATTCTGGACACACATGGATTTGAAAGCTCAAATTTTGACAGTGAGCTGTGAATTATATTCCTGATTGGCTTAGCTTAAAAATTCTGAGACTAAAGTATGATTGGTCGAAAAAATAGCACAACTGTCCCTTTAAAGGGGCATTCTGCTTTAATTTCAATGTGTAAACTGAACTTATTACATGATGTCCTTAATATAGTTTCTATACCTTGACCTGGCGACAGAGAGACCATTTTAAACATCAAATTTGAGAATTGCTGTATCAAAAAATACATAACATGATTTTTGTGTAGTCAGAATATTTTTAACTCTAGATCAGCAACTCTTCATTTTCAGGGTGCTGCTGATTGGTTATTAATAATTAGTGATCCAATCGGAAATCAAATCTCATCTTGTACAGTAAGAATAGAGCCTGGGAAATTCAAAACACTTACCGGTTTCGGGTTGAGACTTGTAGCTGTGTGTGACTTAACAATATTTAAAGTTTAAACTTTCACAAAAGATAAAGGGCATCTTCCCATACATGTTGGCATGTTGCTTCACACCCTAAACCACAAAAACTGATTTAAAAAAGCAGAATGCCCATTTAAGACTACCGATACATAATAACAAGTTCTATTTTTAACTAAGGCAAGGCTGATTCTTTAGGAATGACATCTTTATGTAGGGCAAGCATTCCAATCACTATATTCACACTGTATATCACAAGAATAAGTCAAAATAATGACAAAATATAATTAATAACATATCCCAATACCCAAAATTGGCATCAAAATGATTTCATAAAATAGTTTTGATCACAGTGGTCTGATACTTCTATTATATATCATTATCATGGGGAAAATTGAAATTTTCTTGAGAATAAAGCCTGAGTTAAAATTTAAGTATTGACCAATCGTATCTACGATGACCATTCTTTCTATGCCTGACAATAACCTTGTATGTAGATGGAAGAAAATCTTCTTTAATTGTTAAGAGTTACATCCGTGATACAAAATATAGTTCATCAGATGTTAATTATCTCCCTTGAAGATTCTATCCTCCTCGTAGACAGAAGTCTGGGTGTCAGAGACTAGTCGGATGTCAACAATGGAGACGAAAATTAAGCTGACATAAATTTATATTTGAAAGTAGTCCGATTTATCCGCCATACAAGGTTATTGTCAGGTGTAGCGAGAATGGCTGCCGTAGATAAGATTGAAGTATTGACTACAAAATGCACTTATAAAGAGGTTATATGATTTTTTGCATGTTTTGGCATTCAGTGTATTTTAACCCAGAAGAACTCTTCTCATTCTTTCTTTAGCACTATCTTCACTGTCTTCACTTTCACTTTCACTGACTGGATTCACTGTGGAACAACTAGGTGAACATAAATATTGCAGTAATGGTAGTTTGTATTTACCACAGAAATCAACAAACTTGACTTGTTCTACATGTGATGAGAAATATACCCCTGAAATAAATACATCAGATAAGCTTATTTATAATAAAAATCAAATCATAAGATATTACATAAACAAGTACAAATTGAACTTGATGATAAAAAATAATCTTATCAGTGTCGCAACCCAGTGTCCTCCAGTTCTCAAAAACTCTACATTTGTTGTAAGTGGTGTTTGGAATTTTACACTGACAAATAGATGCGTAAGGTCCAGAAATGAAGACCTATGTCTGAAATGCAGACCATTATCTGATCTTTGAAGTATACTTTCTGTATCACTTTATTTTTTGAGCGGAAGGGGAAAAAAAAGAAATGAATAGTTTTACGTCCTACTTTTCTGCAACATGTGGGCTAATGATGACTGGCAACGCCATGCAGGGTGCAATGGGGGGAATTTTTCCAGCTCAGCTGCATTAGCCTACTCTTTTTCAATTTGCAACTGTCAAGGGGTATTTAACATGCACAGCCTGTAGCACATAGGGCCTCGGTTTATTGTCCCATTGCAATGACTAGACACTCTTTCCATGTCAGCCCCTCTCATCACTGACAGGGGGGAAACCGGGTTGAAAAATCTGAGGGTATTATCTCGACCTATGTCGGGATTGAACCCTGGACCTTCAGGTTAGCTAGGTAGCATATAACTCACTGAGCCACCGCGGCTCCCTGATGTGCAGGATCATGTTATACCTATTATATGTAGGACCAATGCCAAAAGACAAATGGGCTGTGAGTGTGACCAGTATAATGGTTGGATGCCTCAAATATTAGATTTCAATCCTGATTATTCAGGAACACAACAAACACTATATACACTTCTCAACACAAGAATGCATGAGTATAGATTTACATACCTTTGCATTTAGGGTTAACACAGTGCTTTGCTGAATCTAAATATTGCATCAAATTTGATGGTAGCTCTTGTTTGGAATAAGGAAGGTTTTCGACTTTAACACAACGCCCTGAGAGCTCTAACAAGGTTGGTGGGTTGTAGACTAGATCTTGCACAAATTTCACGACTAGAGGATTGTTTCGTAGACTTAGTTCCACTATATTGAGTGAAACTAAAGCTGTTGGTAGAGTTGAAATTTGATTGTTATGTAAACTGAGGGAGCGCAAACTTTGTAGATGTATCAGCGTCGGTGGAAGACTCTGAATTTGGTTGTCACAAAGCACTAATGCTGTCAATTTCTGGAGGTAGCCAATTTCAGCAGGAATTTCAACTAGACAATTTCCACCCAGATATAAAATTTCTAATCTGAAAAGAAAAAGAAAACATTTAACACATGAAAATGACCAACTGAACTAAAATATCTATGCTAAAAGCTATGCCTTTGACAGACTCTGCATTCTTTCCATTGATACCTCACTGGCTTGATCATTCTATGGAAGGTCTTTATAATTAGATCCAAGATAGCAGGTAAATGATATATTCCTGATTTTGCCAGTTTTCATTTAGTGGATATAAGCTTATACTCAATGTGGCATAACTGTATAAGCTTATTTTCTGTTTGGAATAATCTTACAGTTTTATAGTGTAATGTATAATGTTGAAATTATATATTAAAAACTATGAACAAATTTGTGCCCTACTTAAAATTTGCTATGTCATTGACAGTCATCTTGTTGAAATTAGTTCAGGTGTTTTTACTTTAATAGTAAAATTACTCAATTTTGTTCATCATATGGTTAAAGCTCTCGAACAAGAATCCAAAATTTGTTGTCCCCTTGCTGTCTATTCAATAATACACACAGTACTACTAGGACTATTACTATACAAAAATGTTTACCAATTATAAAATATAATGATTTTATTAGTAATTAGTTAGACTGGTTTACATATTCCTTCTATTATCATTATCATATCATGGGTGACCGCTTGAAACCTCATATATATGCCATATTTGGTCATTTTGACTTTTTGGTACCGTTCGAAAGCTCATAAAAACGCGGATCTTATGATCAAAACCTCTTATTCTTAACTTGATTGTAAATAAACAGTCAGATTAAAAACCTCGTAAAATATTATATTATATGAGGTTCCTTTTCTGCAGATGAAAACAAGAAACCTTGTAACTGTACCGTACTATAATGAGAGTTATTGGTTGGACAAGAACTCAAATTGTTATACGAATATTTTCAAAGAATGAAAAACCATGTATAGTCGTAAAATATAATAAAAAAATGTTTTTATCAAAATAAAATACGCATACAAAATTTTTTTTTTTTTTTTCTCGAAAAGTAAGCTTATAAAAAGTTATTCAAAGTTTCAAGCGATCACCCACGATATGATACTTTATATTTTTTCTGCACCTGGTGACATTGTGTCCTCCATTAGTACATTCTCACTTTTGGCAATACTTACTTTGAAAAATCTTTAATATTGCCTCCAATATGTGATATCTTATTTCCACCCATATACAAACATCTCAGACTGGGTAATTCTGTAATTTGTGCTGGCATATCTATAAAATTATTGCCTCCAAGGTGTAACACTTCTAAAGATCGAAGAAGTCCAAAATCTTTAGGAAGACTATCTGTATCAAAACAATTATTTCTAGCTATAAAAGTTTTTAGGTTATGTAATTTCACAAGTTCTGAACTAAGCTGGGTCATGTTGTTAGCACTAATGTCAAGAGTTACTAGATTTTTAAAACTAGAAATTGTATCTGGTAGTGACAGTATTTCATTATGGTCCAATTGTAATGCCCTGAGTTCATTTGATCTCAGTAACAGAAAATCAGGGAACATTTCTAAATCTGAGTACGACAAATCTTCGGCATTTTCACCATTGAATTCACTATCCGATGAAGAAGTGTCACTCTCTGAACATCGTCGTAGGACCTCCATACGAGAAGTTTTCAACAAAGCCTCTGCCATTTTGGTTTGGTAGTTAAATTTTTACAATTTAGCCCTAAAACACTTTACCCCAAGCCCTCAGTTGTAGAACTACCAAACTTCACCCTCAACATTCGCCCAGCCTTCCACAAAGTATTCCACTTCAGTGCTTTTTGACCAACATTTTCATTTATCGGTCAAGGCCGAATAATGTACTATTTGTTGTCTCGATTATCATACATAATTAAAACCCGTTACACAATTTAGAAATACTGGACATTCAAGATTAAGTACACGTTCTGAGAGAGTGACTTTTTTTTATTGAATGAATGACTGTCTCATAAAACACGGTCACGAGTTTGATAGCAAGTCAGTGGACTAAAGTCAAAGCCTTCATCGTATTGAAATAATGTAGGCTGCTAGTCTAATATTATGCATTTTTTAATGGTCAATTTTACTTTAACTAGGTAGGCTTACTAATAAGGGGGTGAAAGCCGACATCTTCAGGTCGACTCTCGAAAGCATTAGCTTTAAAGAGACAGTTGCGCCACTTTTTTTTTTTACCTATCATAGCCTACTTTAGTGTCATACACGGGAATTTTTTTTAGCTAAGCCAATCAGTAATAGTAATCACAGCTCACCGTCGAAATTTGAGCCTTCAAATGATCCATGGTGTCCAGATTTATGGGCGATTGAATGTTAAAATGACGACTCGCCATTTTAAAATACTCTGTGCTATGTATAGACATTATAGAAATAGTGAGTAAATTTCTAGTTTGAAGTATTTTCGAAGAAATTATGCGATTTTCATACATTTGTATACGTACGCCCACAGCAATTTGTGATCGTCGGTCGGTCCGTCCGTCATTGCGTCAACATTTCTTGTGAGCACTACAGTTTTTATCTGATTTTGATAAAACTTGGTGTGATGCTTTAGATTGATAAGATCTCGGTCAACATTCAACATTCACAAGACAGGCCTTATCTTTTCTCTCCTCATGATCGTGCTTACATGGCTCGAACCCCCTACCTTTCCTCAACGTTATAACGACCCGTCTATTGTACAGTACAGTATGAATAGTGAGCTCCCTATGATTCCTAACCAACCCAATATGAATAGTATCTCTACCCTAGGCTACGCTCACTTACAGTCCTCCTGTATATATAAAGAACCCTAATCAACAAACACTGCCTTCTCTCTACTAGAGGTGAGGTAATAGCTGTCTGACTAGATCTGTGATTTTATAGCATTTCGCAATTATGACCTAATTTAAAAGACATGTGCTTTGATAATAATGTATTGCACAAATATGCAGTTTTGATGTGCAAGAATTTTTTTTAAATTTGAAAAACTGAAAAATTTATTTATATGCATAATTATCAAGGAACTTGAACTATATTTATGGTACTGGCATGCTTGTTTTTTTCATTATTCTCAGATTGTCAGTAATAATGGTCCCCAGTCCCCTAACTGCTTATTTTGAAATATTTTCTGTTTTATTAATTGATTAGAAGTAGGTTACTTCTGGTTTTAATTAGCAGATGTTATTTAAGCTAGATTAATATGCCTTTTAAGGTATCTGAAAGTTTTAACTTAAAAAACCTGCCGTTAATTTTTTAAGGCCAAAAATATTTGAAAACTTTACGTAAAGTTCATTATTCTTTGTGGATTCATTTCTTTGGTGTGATATTGAATATTTAATAGGTTGTAAAAAAATGTAAGGTGTTTAGTTTAGTTTTAGATCAAAGAATATATATGAATATACAATACAAAATCTTCTCACTGTTAAAAATTTACAATACATAAATGCGCACAGTTCATATCAATAGTTTTTCTTTAATAATAATATCCCTTTTATAAGTCTATACATTTTTGTGGTGATATATAATATATAAATATGCTTGTTTTAATATTATTTCTATTAGAGCTTTAACAGTGTTCTTTCTTGTCTGTACTGTGTCAGTAATAAATATATTTCAACTTTCAATAATCTGATAAGATGTGCTTTTAATGCAGTTTAAAAATGGGTTTCCTTGTTTTTTAGAGTCAAATTAAGCAAACTATTAGATTAATTAGTGTTTCTAATGAATACAATGTATTCTTAATCATATCATTATGTCCTTATTGCATATAAAAGGAGATTTTAAATAATTATAAATGTCCATGTATATACAGTCTGGATAAACAAAAAAAAAAGACTTTTCGACCTTTCTTGATTGGCCACCGACTTGAATTCTGCTGGAAATTCTCTTCTAATTAAGCTTATTATGAATTAATTATGGGCATGTGAGACAAACTGGTATTTTTCCAAGTCATTAGACACCTCTACTTTCTATTCATAAAAGTATTAGCATTTCCATTTTCATAAATGAAAATAAGGGAACCCATCTTTAATACACTTGTCATCCATGATCTGAAGAGATCCGTCTGTCAATCATGTTAAATGAGAAATTGACCCAATATAAATAATCAAGAACATGAGATGCAAAACAATTTAGTTAGACTGGAATGAAGGTAGAGTTACCACAGGCAAAACATTTCATCAGATTGAAAATTTGTGTTTATATAAAAGTGGTTTTGTTCTTCAGCCTAAATTAGGCATTGGTTTGGTCAAAAGCTTATCATATATTTAGCTTATAATATTGAAATTTGCATCAGATAAGCTTGTAATATAATATGTTACATATTTTATACGTGTGATTAGATTGAGCTATAAATATGCAGTGATGTGCCTTTTACAGGTATACTATATACAATATACACCTATATAGTCGTCCAGTTTACCAGATGATTGAACTAAATTTCCATTTAAGGGATTGTAAAGAGGTTTTCTAAAATTCGGGGACATCAATTTGCACCATTCAAATTTACAATCAGATGTCTATGGTTCCTGCAATTGCTCTTAACAACCCATTTAACTGTTATTACTTACAGAATCAAACCATATATATATCTCATATACACTGTATACTGGTACATACTAAGATATAATAAATAATAATTTAAATTACACAAGTCTGAAACTACAATAATAAAATATTTTAGCTGATATACAGTTTCATTAAATCCTATTGTAAAATGATATATAATGTTTCGGTTATGTGATTGTCAATCACCAATATTAATTTTAAGGCCTGCTAATATTTAAACTTTGATAATAACCAATCAAATTACTGTAAAGTTTGGATATTTTTCTGTTATTGTTAATTTTGTGGCCCAAGACTTATGATATGTTCAAGGGACAGGTGCCAATCGCACCTAGTCTCAGAAACATGAATTATTTAGCTAAGTCAATCAGTAATAGTGTTCTCAAGTCACCACTTTCAAATTCGTGGATGTCTAGAATTTTCTGTGTTTGAAAGTTAAACAGAAGAGTCGTCTTTTTTCGTCTTTTTTGAGATGCTGCCATATATAGAAAAGACATCTATAGAAATGGGAAAAGAAATTCCTAGTTAAGATATTCTTGAAGGAATTATGCGATTTTCGTACATTTCTATTTTATTATTTTAATGACTATTTACATTCAAATCAACACACACCTGTCCCTTTTAATACTTGTTTATTTATATGTTTGCTCCAAATTGTCTTTATGTGCACAAATACCTTGATAAATGTAGATTATATTATTGATTATTATATAATAATTATGATATTATTATTATTGTTATTTATACTGTCATTTGAATTTTTTTATTGATTTATGTGTTGCATAATCTAACAATATATTATTTATTCTTCCGTTTAAACCCAGTAGAGCCGTGTTGGGAGTCGTGTTGGCTCAGTGAGTTATAGATATAACTGAAGGCAGGGTTCAATCCCGAGATAATACCATCGCATTTCCATGTCTGATTCCCCCTGACAGTTGAAAATCAAAAAAGAGCAGGCTGATGCCGCTGTCCTGGCCAATTTCCCTCATTGCATCCTGCATTTTGTTGCCCGTCTTCATTAGCCCACATGGTGCTGAAAAGTCTGACGTAAAACTCCATTCATTTCATTTCAATAAAGCCATGTCAACTGGCATATAAACCTTCAGGAACGTCAAATAATTAGACTGACATTCTAATTGTTGTTGAAAGTATCACATTGTATATCAGGCAGACGGAAATTCCTGATCCTTTGTCAAACCTCTTGAGATTGATCATTCCTGGATTTTACCTACCAATTTACAGTTGGGTGGAATTATGAGTGAAGATGACTTATTTAAGGTCATCAGACTTTCACATACTGATCAAAATCGGAACCAACAACCTCTTGATCATTCCTGGATTATCCCTACCAATTTACAGTTGGGGTCGACTGAAATTTTGAATGAAATCACTTATTCAAGGTTATCCTCGACACGTGGATTGAGATGTGCGTATACAAAGTTTAGTTTAGGGGTATGACAACTCCAAGAGAGTTTGGAAACAAAGTAATAATATCTGTTGAACTACTGATAACATCACAGCTGTCAATTTATATTCATATAAAATACGTGAGTGAACTTAAAAGGATATCAATATTAATTAATAATACAATATAAAATTAGATATCATACATAAATGTGGGTCAATGTTATTCAATTACTATGCAAATTACAATTATTCATTAAGATAATTTATTTGTTATAATGTAGACCAGGGCTGTTGATTTTGATTTAATTGCCAGACATTTGTGTCTAAAATGTCCAGTGAAAAGTAGCCTAGAGTAGTGTCTTGTCACCCACAATTTATCATTTATTGGGTAAGCAATAATAAACAGCCTTGTTGTATATTAATATATTATAATTAAAATTATTTAAATATATTATGTACAATACAATTAAAAACTAATTCATAGAGCTAATTTTGACAATTATATTTGATTATGACAATGCAAATTGTTGAAACATTGTGTACAAAAAAAAAACAGGAGTACATGTGTTTACCATTATATTGTGTTCTGTTATTTAATGTGATCTCTTCCACTTTATGTCTCAATCGGCTTCAATGATCAAGTTTGTCAACCTGCATCTCTTACAGGGTTCACAGTGCATTTATCTGTTTAGCAGTCCGTTGGTTCTTAACATGATGTTATTTGCTTGGTAGAAAGGATACTTAAAGTTGCTATTCTGTAAAATATAGTTGTTTCTTTTCTTTCTTATTTATCCTGTAAACAAAACTATTCATTATTTAGAAGATTATCCCTTGGTTAAGTTATTCAAATATAGTGTTAAGAGTGAAGAAGTTCCTAAAAACTATGTAAAGCACTGGCCAAGGTCACAAATAAAGAGATAAATGTTCAATACAAGATAAGGTGAAGTTAGCATAGTTAGTATTAAGTTCAAAAAACACCCACAGTAATCTACAATAAACAAAAGTCTATAATATGAAAGTTTTTTTGTTAGTGTAAATAGAAGTTATATTCTATAATGTCCATGATACAAAAATAAGAAAACTCTCTAAGATCCCTTAAATATGGCCATGATAAGTCCTTTAACCCTTTCAACTCTACCAACCAATAAATAAAGCAATATTAACCCTAACAGCCAGTAAATAGCTGTGCCAGTGCCTTCTGTTGGATAGTAACTTGTTACCTATCAACCACCCTAATCTCTAAACTTTAAGTTACTTAGAGTCCAGGGTATATGACATTTTATTTCTTTGATACACAGTGTTCAAAGGGTCAATATCAAAATCTGTTCAAACTTTCCAAACCAACAACAACAGTTTTTCTGTGTTTCTGATCAAAATCACTTTGATCACTGCATTTCAACATCCACCTTGACCTCCTTCACTTCATGACAGCGTTGGTGAGCGATTAGACCTGCCTTCTGAGTAAAGGTTTTATCACAAACTTCACAAGTAAAAGGTTTCTCTCGAGTATGAGTTCTAGTATGAGCAGTTAATGCCCCTCTTTGGGAGAAACTTCGGCCACATTCAATACAAACAAATGGCTTCTCCCCACTGTGTGTTCGCTCATGACTTCTCAAACTTCCAATTTGAGAGAAACGTTTGAAACAAGTTAGACATTCATACGGTTGTTGACCATTATGGGTTCGTAGATGTTGATTTAAACCAGTTTTCTGAATAAAGCTTTTACCACATTCTGTACATTGATACGGTTTATCACCAGTATGTATTCTCAAGTGAGTTTGCAGGGATCCGATATTGCTGAATTGTTTCCCACATTCGCTACAAACATGAGGTTTGTAGCCTGAATGTATTCGCATGTGTAGGCACAAATTACCTTTATTTTTGAAGAGTTTATCACAGAATTTGCAAGCGAAACTAACTTGTTCAGATTCGGTTCCAACTGCAGTCGTGATTTTTCTGGGTTTTCTTTTCCTTCTCTGAGATCGTGCAGTAATTTCAACTTTTTCTTCTTCAATTGTTTGGAGGCTGGTTGCCAAATGGTCATATGCCGCGACGAATCCCAGCTTCAAATCATCATCACTGTCATCTAAAGCATCACTCTTCAAGCCTCTTGTGATTCTTTTGGTTGTCATAGCAGATTTCTTATCGAATGGACACAGCAATCAGCTTTTAACTCCTGAAATATTGCAAGATAAGGTCTAGTACAATCAAACTTTAATCTTAGCAACTTTAACATATATTAGTGCTCTGTCTTGATGTCAATCACAATGACTTCTGAACAAAGTTGACTTGATACCTACCATTTAATTATTTACATAGCTTCAAAGATAAAAGGATATCAATATTAATTAATAATACAATATAAAATTAGATATCATACATAAATGTGGGTCAATGTTATTCAATTACTATGCAAATTACAATTATTCATTAAGATAATTTATTTGTTATAATGTAGACCAGGGCTGTTGATTTTGATTTAATTGCCAGACATTTGTGTCTAAAATGTCCAGTGAAAAGTAGCCTAGTGTAGTGTCTTGTCACCCACAATATATCATTTATTGGGTAAGCAATAATAAACAGCCCTGTTATATATTAATATTATAATTTATTTATCAAGATATACCAATTGATTCTACATAGGAAGACATTTTAGGTTTTTTCTCCTGTATAGTTGTATAAGGTGTCATACTCTGAACTGACATCATGTTTGGCTTCATTGCCACCTCATCCCCCAGTTTATTCTCCCCTTCTGAGTGTTTATGATTTTGTTTCTTCGTGTGATAATTCAGGCCTTGACTTGATGAAAATAATTTACTACACACATCACATTTATAAGGTTTCGTTCCTAAATGAGATCTTAGATGAACTTTTAAATTGTCTTTACGATTGGAAGGTTTATTACAATGATTACAGATGAAAGAACGGATATTATTATGAATGTTGACATGATCCTGAAGTTTTGCTTTTTGGGTGAAAAATTTGTCACATTTTTCACAATGAAAACGTTTGATTTTAGTATGTGTCCAAAAATGTATTTTGAGACAACTCTTATGTGCAGTCGCATAATCACATGACGTACATTTAAAAGGTTTTTCTGCAGTATGTATCTTCATATGCAGTTGTAAATTGCGTCTGAGTTTGAATTTCACATGACACGGTTTGACCTCTGAATGCACAGTTTTTGAATGCATCTGCATTAAATTTTCAGTTTTAAACCTCATAGAACAATCTAGACATTGGACAGGTGTGACTGAATTATGAGTCAATTGATGATCTCTCAAATTACATTTAACTGTAAATGTTTTACTACAAACATCACATTGAAAGAGTTTCTCTCCTGAATGACTTTGCACATATACCTTCATTGAACTCTTTAGAACAAATTTTCCACATTCATTTCATTTCACAGATTTAGGGTCAGGTATGACTTTCAAAGGGGAATAACTGTCTTTTATTAGAGAACTTTCTGAATAATCATTATCTTCAGTTGTAAGATTGGTAACTTTTATGCCTTCATCAGGAAAATTGTTGGATTTCTCTGAGACCTCCAGATCGACTGAATCCAAAGTATGGTCTTCCTGAAAAGCATCCAGAGAGTTTTTACTGGAGTTGGTGTTTGAATCAGTTTCAAATAAATCCTCATACAGCATCAGTTTTTCTAATATCTGATCGAACGACGAAGATTTCTATTCAAATGATGAAATTTGTTTGTTGTTAATAAAATCCTGGATAGATTCATTTATGTCATTTTCAAAACTATAACTTTCTTCCTTAAGTTCGTTCTTTCTTAGTTGATTGTCCATTTTATCTTTAATACATTTCACATCTGATAAATGGTAGCCTTAAATAAAGTTAACATGTGATAGTTAAATTAATTACAGACATAGCTAATGGTAGTGCCTACCAATGTAAAAAAGCTTTACAGATTTTACGAACTGATGATATTCAAATGAATTACTAGGGACGACTGTCAGAAACACTGACTGTAGGTAAGAAGTTTTTTTATTACTGAAAGGGATTGTAAAGAAGATTTCCTAGAGTTTCAAAGTAATGTCAAATTTATTATCTATTTCTAAAATATCGTGGTTGACCTCTTGAAATCTCGTATAACGATATATGACGCGGAATTACTTTTCGAGAAAAACGCAAAAAACTATTTGTACGCGTATTTTGTTAAAATCTTTATTATTTTTTTGCCGCTCTACGTGGTTTTCATTCTTTGAAAATATAAACCTCGTATAACAATTCGAAATCTCCGGCCTATTGAACCAAAAACTCTTATAATAATACAGTATACGAGGTTTTTCATTTTCAGCCTCGGAAAAGGAACATTGAACCTCGTATAATAATATATTTTACGAGGTTTTAAATCTGACTATTTATATACATGTTATTTAATTAGTGCTTTTTGAGTTATTTACAATCAAGCTAAGAATACGAGGTTTTAATCACAAGATCCGCGCCTTTAAGAGCTTTCGAACGGTACCAAAAAGTCAAAATGACCAAATATGGCATATATGCGGTTTAAAGCGGTCACCCACGATATACAGAATGGGGGATTTCAGTTATTACCAAATGTCACCATTTTTTATTGACCAAATTTCCTAATAATGTGGGCCATATTCTTGTATTTTAAATAATAAATCACTTTTACGTTTTATCTTATCTTATTTTGACAGTCACTATTTTTATTTAAATCATTTATCTTTGACGGAATTGTCGTTAGTTATAATATATTATTAAAGGTAAATACTAAAAAAAGATAATTATACCACTGGGTATCCATACAATGTGTTTTTCTTTTATATTGTTTTTCTTATTTATAGATCAAAAATTGTACTCAAATATAGGTGACGCACTTTGCAGTGAAACAAACCGATTTTAATCATTTCATAGAATATCTGAAGAAACATCTAAGACATAAAAAAAAATTGTCCTTTTTTAATTTTGTCGAATTTTAGTGTTGAATCCTTATATGCATGAATATAGGTTACACCACTGTATTTTATATTTACAGTCAAGTAACCTAATTTCGTGGAAACCTATCATTCGTGGATTTCCGTGGATTTCCTTGCGCGACCTCTGCATTAGTTTGTTTTGATAAACATGGGTTTAATGTACAATATCAGCTAGTAGAATGAATCCAGTAGTTTCAAGCAAGGTAAAATGTATTAATGTATACTTTGACAAATACAAAATGGCGGATTTCAGTTATTACCAAACGTCACCATTTTTTATCGGCCAAATTTCCTTATAATCCCAAGCGGTAATCGGAATTCCAAGTGTCGTCTGCTAGAATGTAGTCCAACGAATGAAATCACGTGATCCGGATCCGGAACTAGCGGATTCCGTGTCAGCAGAAATTTTCTATGGAACACAAAGTGGACCATATTCTTATGTTGTTTCAGTGACTTTTAGCAATAAATCACGCTACGTATCTTATTTTGTCAGTCACTATTTTTTTTAAATCATGGTTCTTTGAAGGAATTGTCACTAGTTATAATCAATTGATATTAAAGATAAATACTAAGAGAAGTTAATTATACCACCCGGTATCTATACCACATGTTTTTCCCGACTTGTTTATAGATCAAACATTGAACACGAAAATAGGTGACGCATTCTGCCGCCGTTGCCGAGATGGTTGTTCATGAAATATGGATCAAATTGAAGGGGTCAAATTGAAGGATTCATAAAGAAAATCGAAATAAACCAATTTTAATCATTTTGTAGAATATCTGAGGAAACTTCTAAGACAAAAAAAATTTTTCGTTTTTTTTACTTTGACGAAATTCGGTGTTGAATCCTTATATCCACGAAAATAGGTTACACCACTGTAAGTCTAATGGGTTGGATTGTCTCAGACACCGAGTAGATAAGTCTCACTCTCAGTCTGCGTTCATACAGTTACTCTTTCCAAACCACAGTTTTTGCACTGAAGCAATTCAACAGTGGCATTCAACATGTGAATATTCAGCTTTATGTACTAAAAATCAATTTTTCATTAACTTATTTGCATAATTTTCATTTCATTTCATTAATCATACCTTTCAAACTCCTGTAGTCTCTATTGTGTTCAAAAAACAAAGTTATTCCTAAGCCTAGGGCAGTAACTCAAAAAGCATTCAAGAGTAGTCTCTATTGTGTTCACAAGCCATTTGTTGACGGACAGACAGAGTGACGACAATATACGACTACATTATAATGTAGGTGAACACACAGTGGCAGTGACTCTTATAAATGACTATTTGCACAATGTTCCACATTTGCAATTCCCCCCAAAAATTTGTTAATATGATGTTAAAATTTCAATCACAAAATATTTGCAAAAAATATTATTTTCAAATTCAAAATTTTACATTTTATCTGCGGTAATTTCTGTCTCGACTTCTTCTACGTTCACTTTTATATTTATCATTACGTTCATATTGGTTAGATCTCTGTCTTGGAGATAGTGAACGCTGCCTTTTATATTTGGTATCTCTGTCCACTGATCTGGAACGGCGCCTTTCTTTTTCCTTGTGCTTTGACTTCTTTTTATGCTTTCTCCTCTCACTTTCTGAATCTGAATCACTGTCTTTTGTTTTATGTTTCTTAGACTTTTTTGAATGTTTATGTTTCTTACTCTCTTCATTATCATCATTATCAAACACTAAATCATATCCATGACTTTTTCGAGACTGGTCTTTGACAGAATATTTAGATCTAAAGTCATCCTTTGATTTGTTGAGTTCACCTAGTTTTCCTGATTTTCTCAATTTAGAGACAGACTGACTGAAATCAACATGAATTCTCCGATCATCAATAAGTACATTGTCCATTTTAAAATAAGCGTTTTCACATGAATTGGTCTCATCAAATTCAATAAAGGCATACTGTAATGATTCTCCTGTCTTTTGGTCTTTAATAACCTCACAACTATTTATTTTACCAAATCGAGAGAAAATCATTTCTAAATCCTCAGCTGAAATTATAAACATAATTAAAATAACGATTCAAAGAAGAGTTAAAAACATGGCCTTTTTGTATCCTTAAAATTTGTCTGATATGACTTTGGCTGGATGCATTTAACAAAAAAATAAAATAATCGTATTAGTTCACTAACTTGATCCTTTATTTGTTCTTGGTTTTAAATTGGGAAAATGATTATAATTGTCCTCAATTTCCAAAACCCTATATTTGATTGCAGAAGAACTATGCATTGAATTTTTATTAAAAAAAGTGATCCAGTCAACTGTTAACTACTTTTAGTGGAATTGCTAGAACCACAGACATCTGGCTGAAAATTTGAATGCTGAAAATTGATGCTATCTCTGTAAACAATACACATTAAAAGTTTAGAAAATCTCTTTACATTCTCTTAAAGTTACAGTGACATTCTCCTAACCTGTGGTGACTGGATTTAATTTACAAACAAATAAAACATTATCATCTGGATTAACTTCAGCCGCTGGTAAATCTCCCACCATTTCTAATATCTGAGCATTAGCTTGAGCTTCTTTCTGTTCCAGCATTTCTCGAATTTCATCTTCTGTTTTACCCTTAGTGTCATCAATTTCTTCATCAGCACCTGAAATGGCAAGTCAATGTCCCGGATTAATTCTGATATATATGATGTTAAATAATAAGCTTCACTATTCAAATTCATGTGTACAATCCATTACTATTCAAAATTTTTACAAAATACATTAATTTATTCCGAAAAACCTATAATGCTCAACTAATTGAAGTTAAAGGAACAATTGCACCATTTTTCGGGGGTTGATTTGAGTCTTTAATATATGCAAATAGTCTTCAGAAGTTGTAGAAATGTACAAAAATCACATAATTCCTTCAAATATATCTCATATTAGGAATTTATTTTCCTACATAGATTTAAATAAATGTATTTTGTATATATGACAGTGTCTCCAGAAAAGACGACTCGTCTTTTTGACTTTCAAACGTGAACAATTTTGGACACAAATGGATTTGAATCCTCAAACACTATTACTGATTGGCTTAGCTTAAAAGTTCCCGTTTCTGAGACTAAAGTATGATTGTTACACCTGTCCCTTTAATACAACATTTCATTTTACTATTGATCTCAGGAGTAAATAATATGACACTGCCACTTTTCAGCTATAGACTAAGGCCCTAAATTTATAACAATCATGCCCTTAGCCATAGAGAATTGTGCTTGACAAAATTTTTTCTATGATCAAACTACCTGGAGGTTTAACTTTAATCGTACCCTACTCTCAGAAATGGGATTTTTTTAGCTAAGCTAATCAGTAATAGTGTTCACAGCTCACCATCTATAGCCTTAAAAGCCATGTGTGTTCAGAATTATCAGTCTTTTCTTGAGAAACTATATAGAAAAGATATTCCTAGTTTGAGATATATTTTAAGGAATGATGCCATTTTCATATTTTAATCTAGTACTTCTGAAGTATATTCAAGACTCAAATAAACCCCTCAAAATGGTGCACCTGTCCCTTTAAGCTTCAACTTATATTCCTTAAAAGAAAGTCTAGTTTAGGATATTGTCGTGTCGAATTCCATTATTTCTACACTTACCTATCCTATCACTCTTTAACATTTCTTCTGTAGGTTCTGGAGATCTTGATGGTATTACTAAATCTGGAGGGTCATCGTAAGGATCATCAAGAATAATGGTATGGTATATTCTAATATCTCTGTATGGTCTGTGTTCAGCATCACAATAAGCCTCATTTAATTTCTTTAAGACATCAAATCCCTCAGCAACCTCTCCAAATACTGTATGTACATTGTCCAGATAGTCCAAATTATCACCCAGGGTAATGAAAAATTGGGAACCATGCATACCATCACCATTATTTACCATAGAAATTAATCCCTGTTTCTTGTGCTTAATTCTTGGATTTGTTTCCATTTCAAAATATCTTGCTTGTTCACCATAAATGAGTGCAAACACTGACGAACCTCCCTTGCCGGTCGCTGTCGGATCACCAGTTTGTGCAACCAGATTACTTTGGACGGAATGAAACAAACAAAAATTGTAGTATTTGACTTTGCACAGTTTCAGAAAATTTTGACAACATCTGGGCCTTTCATCAGTAAACAGGTCAATAGTTATGGACCCAAGAGATGTTTCGACTAAAACCGACATAATATCCCTATTAATGATATCAAAGTAATGAGTCAAAGTACAATATATAAATGCAAATATCTCAAAATGTGAAATCGAAATTTGTTTTCGTGAGTTAGTCTTCCATTACAGGAAGTTGTTACAACCAGCCGCTTATATCATTGTTAAATAATTTCCGGTTTTGTCGTTATTTTCGTTTTAGATTTATCATCTGAATGAAATTGTGATTTTGTGGGTCAATTTCAAGAATTAGTACTTTGATAAACAAATAGATTTATTTTATAACTTTTGTAGATAGATAGTTAAATCGATTCTTTTGAAATAATATTCGTGACCTTAAATGATGCCAGCGACATTTACTTTCTAGCAATGGCAGACGATGAAAATCATGTGGTTGGTAAAACAACCTTGTCTGGAAAAACAGATCAGAACACAAGTAATGGCACAGATATTAAGAAAGAAACACAAGATCCTGAACTAGACGATCTTTTAGACAGTGAGTTTCATTGATCAAGATCTATTTAGCCTTCAAGTTTTGTCTTTGAGAATGTTAAGCACCCACCCAGCTCATAGCCAGACTGCCAAAAAAAGAGCAAGACCCATGGCCTTAGTCCGAAACATATGCATCTAAGCCAATCCAGCCTCTGATAGATATTTTGACAGTTGAATGATCGCTCACAACCAAAGCCATGTATAAAGATATTTCCGATTGTTTGGTCGTTATTAAAACAAAAACCTCCACTAGTTTCAAAATAACATCTTTATTTCAATCATTTGTGTAGACGAGTTAACTCAGTGTTGTAGACTAGATAACTCAAGGTTGTAAACGAGCTAACTCAGTTTGTTTACGAGTTAACTGTTGACGAGTTGACATATAGACGAGTTGACTAATCATCTCTTGAATTACCAGTAGACCAAGTGTTTTATTGGTGTTGGGCATCACGACTTTTGTTTTGTTAGTATCACATGACACTTTGACTTTTGAACTTTTAGCTGCTCATGCAGTTCTAAATGGCCGAAACTGTCTGTTGATGGTATTGGTGGAACCGGAGATGTGACATAAATGGTATAGGGAGAAATTGATGGTATGAATGAACTACAAAAATATTCACCTGCAGATGCAGAATGTCCCCATTTTACAGGGTCTATTTTTTCTCTATACCAGTCAGACATCTGTCCAAATAGCTATAAGAGGCTGGAATAGAGACAGATGTTTCAGTCTACCCAGGCCCATGCCTAGTCAAAGTCCAAAGACCACACTGACCATATCACAACAGTAGCAGTAGCATTAGATCTAGTGTACTCAGTATTATAAGTAGGGCATATGAAGTCTAGTCTAGTTTCTTTTTTTGCTATTTAGCCGGCACCTTCATTTACCCATGCGCAGTAAAAAAAATATCAAATCAAACAATAATGGGCTAATGTCAAATATGTGATTTAGTGATTTTTTAGTGTTAGGTAGGGATGGCCTTCTTTAAGGTTATTTTTAGGTTTAGTTTTAGGGTATCATTTTGCACTTTATTTTTATAATAGAAACTAGGCCGTTCCATGGATAAGTATCCATTTGCGCAAATTAGGTGAGAAGACACTAGGCTAGGACTTTCTGACTCATTTATTCCATACTATTCCTGTACTATACCAGTACCACTCCATATGGATGTTCTTGTGTTCTTGCTCAGTCCTATAACTTCTGGGGATAGGCTGCACACCCACGGTAAAAGGGTCAGTAGGATTTGGGCTAGGAGTTGATTTAGTCTTGTTTACCTACAAATTTTCTCAATTTATGATAGAAAAGCTTAAGCCTAATTTTTGACAGTTATTGGCTGAGTTCAGGTTCAAATATAGCCACTTTATTTACCGTTCATCCACTAAACTGCTATCTCATTTTGTAGCCACTATTACATAGTACCGGTATATCTCTTGAAAATCACCTCTGTGTCAAGAAAATTTTTTTTTGTCCTACTATTTTGAACAGTAAGAGGGTATCTCTAAAACATTATTCAAACTAACTGCACAAACAGTACTGTCTCACTTAAGGTTAAGCCTACATCACTGTGTTTTTGTAACATTAATTAATAACAATGTTACCCCCTAATATTCTTAATATGTACCGGTAAATGAATTGTAACGGAGAAAATTGATAAGCTTAACATCCTTTCAGGTGCACTTGAAGACTTTGATAAACACAAGCAGCCAGAAGAAGTGAAAGAAAGTCAGTCTAATGGGTCTCCTCAAGTAAGTTTTAACCACACTAAATCAGGGTTGGCTGATTTAAATCAAGTGATTCTGAAAAGAATAAAACAAATTATTGACAGTATCAGATGTAACAAAATTTACTAAGACTATCAATATACACCAGTCCTAGGCTTGTCCTGGATAGTTTATCATGCCTACTAATACAGCACACTAGGTGTTACTACTCCTTGGCAAACTATTTGGTCTGCGCCCCTGTCACTGATAAAGAGAAGATGGATTGAATTGATCAGAAAGACTATATATTATGGTCTCTTATGATTTTATATTGAACCTATATTTCAGTTGAGTTACAGACACTTTGATTTTTGATTTAAATAAAAAAAACACCTACCCTGCACTGAATAAGTATACTGGGTACCTTGTATAATATGAAGCTATTGACAAAATTATTTTGAATTCTTGAAAATTAAGATACTTTCAACAAAGTTATAAGCATAAATTCACAAAATGATGAATAAAAATGGGTTATATTCCCTGTTCAATGTTAGCTCTTGTTCAAATCACCAAGAAATTGTATTTAAAACAGAGAAGTTGTATTAATATTGAAATTTGAAGATATTTGTTCATCTCTCTGCAGGATGCTGCAGGAGGTCCAGCTTCAGAAGATGATTTGGCTGATGAATTTTCAGATCAAATGGCTGCACAATTTGAAGAAGCAATGAAAGCATTTATGTCCCAAGATCCAACCATGATTCAGCAATTAGAAAAACTTTCTGAAGTAGCTGGAAAGGCCGGTATGTCCATTTTAAAACCTCAGATTTGATCATATTCCATATTCCAACAAATTTCTAAACAGTAGCCAGTTTAATTGTTAATCCTTGACCTTTTGAACCCTGAGTGTAAATGAAATATAATGCCATCTACCCTGATAATAAAGTAATAAAAGTAAGAGCGTATGACGTTAATGTTGTATGACATCACTTAATAACGGCTGGTATACCGGCTGCTCGGGTATATAGTTGTATGACATCACTTAGTAATGGCTGGTATACCGGCTGCTCAGGTATATATTGCGTTAGTGTGTGGCCGGTAAACCGGCTGCTAGGGATGAAAGGGTTGAGCGATATTTAGGGGTAGTGAACACATTGAATAACAGAACACAATTTTATGGTATTTTACTCCTTAGTTGTTTTGCACACTTTTCAACAATGTCATCAACAGGTGTTATCATCTTTCATTTGACCTGATGATGACAATGTATATTGTTGAAAGCATTGTGTGCAATAAAACTAAGGAGTAGTATACCATAAAATCGTGTTCTGTTATTTAGTTTGATTGTCGTTTCCAAGACAATTTTGTGTCATTGAAAATAAAAATGTTCAATTGTATGGTCAGTGCTTTGATCGATCATTCATTTTTTATGTCACCCACATCTCTCTATGTCCGTCAACATTTGCTTGTAAATGCTCTAATAACTAGATTTTTTTATGGAATCAAATGAAATTCGGTATGTGTAGACATATTCATAAAACGAAGATCAAGTTCGAATTTGAGCTATTTTCGTCCGTTAGAAGCCGAGTGATTGCTCTTGCCCCAAAATCTTGAATATTTACCATCCGAATGCCGCAGTGGGCGTATATGGCTGTAGTCCACTATCTTTCAAATAAGTAAACAAGAGAGAGCTATATTCATTCATACTTATTTATGGCATTTTTCAGAATTAAAACTTGATGTCAGTTTCTCCTACAACAAAAAAAAAGTCTCTTTGTTAGCAAGACTTTAACAACAGTCTATATCAAATACTGAGATCTATAATCTTGTAATACAAATATACAATTCACATAAAAGAAAAATCCTTTTAGCTGAAAATGGCTGTTTTGTGTATTTAAGGTGATTCTGTTGAGGCACAACAGGAGTTTGCAGCAACATTAACTCAAACATTATCTGGACTAGCACAGAATGCTGAGGGATTACAGGTAAGGTTGGAGATGATTGGTTAGTCAATAATCTTCAGGTTTCTGAATCTGGTAACTAATAAGAGATATCATCAAAGATCAGGTTGGAGTTGGTTTCAATTTTAGTTTTAGTTTAAGTTAATCTCTTTATTCAACTGATGTTTGTAATAATCATTGGTTGAGATGTCAAAAATGTAACTCCTGTTTACTGAAAGCTAACTTACTTTTTAAAAGGGACCAAACCTTAATGTGCGCAATATTACATATTCTCAAAAGCTTTATAGCATTAAATCACTGTCTAAGCACTACCAAACTTTAACTTGATCTCAATAGCAATAGTCAGTTTCAGACCATTCTGTTACAGCGATATTCTTGTCTTATTTAGACATTTTGAATATTTCATTTAATTTTTATCAGGAACAACCATCTCCAGATGAACTCAACAGTGTGTTTGCTAGTATGGGAATAGGAGCTATGGGAGGTGAACCAGGTCAAGAGGCTGATTTTCCTGCTATGCAAGGAATGATGCAAATGTTATTATCTAAAGAAGTTTTATATCCCTCCTTGAAAGAAATAGCTTCTAAAGTGAGTATGCCTGCTACTATTATTCTTCAAAGATTTTCATGTACATTTAATCTTTTAAAGGTACAGGTGTGCTATTTTGGCTGGTTGATTTTAGTCTTGAATATATGTAAATAGTCTTCAGAAGTACAAGAAATGTACGAAAATCACATAATTCCTTCAAATATATCTAAAACTAGGAATTTTACTCACTATTTCTATATATGTCTTTTCTATATATCACAGAGTATCTTAAATTGAGGAGTCATCTTTTTAAAATTTCAGTTTCTGAGACTAAAGTATGATTGGTAAAAAAAATGGCCTATCTGTCCCTTTAACTTGAAATTTGCAAGTTTTTGATAGAAATTTCAAGAAATTTATGTGTATATACCTCACTCAGAAATGGCCACTCTTTGGCGGGTCAGTTATATATGAGCGTATAATGTAAATTTGTGGTCAGTCACAATCAAATTTTTGAGCGTTTTTAAACCGACTTGTACTGTTAGTCTTAAAGCATCTGCCTCTATTCCAGTCTCAGATGGATATTTCGACAGTTGTCAGCTGGAGTAGAGTCGGTAAAAAATAGGCCCTGTTAAAAGGGGATTTTCCACAGATGCGTTTTTTCTAACATAATATTAAATTTACGGACTGTAAATTAGTGTTGTACTGTAACTTTCATTTTCTTACTATCAGGTGACTTTGCGACTTTTGACTTTGACGGAACATGAGACGCTACATAAATGGTAAAGGAGAAATTGCTGATTGAACTGAACTAAAAAATATTCATCTTTTGAAATATATGTGCACCTGCGGAAATGCGGAAAGTCCCCATTTAACAGGGCCTATTTTTTCTGTCTCTTCACCAGCCGACATCAGTCCAAATAGCTATCAGAGGCTGGAATAGAGACAGATGGTTCAGTCTATGTATCAAGTTGAATGTATTTAATATTGACAGTATCCTAAATGGTTAGAAGCTAATAAATCGGTTGTGGAAGAAGTAGAATATACTCGTTATGATAAACAATATGAATTAATGAATGCTATATGTGTTGAATATGAGGCAGAACAGGAAACAGATTCAGATGACGTCAAAAGAGAAAGATTTGAAAACTTAATGGGCATCATGCAACAAGTAAGTCTGATTCTCACGTAATATAAGTCTGAATATTTGCTTCCCTACTTATGTGTTTGTATACTTATATTTGCATAACATAAGTGCTTTATGACATGATTAAGGCCTTTCATTTTGTGTTGCATGAAAGCTTTAGTGGAAACTTAATTTCTACCAAGTGTCTTTGTAAACACTGAAAGCTACACTAGTGCTGGGAATAATTATCGATATTTCATTTCAAAATCAATTATTGCAAAAAAATAAGATAACCTTCTCTAATAGTGCCACAGGGACCATAATAAAAACACGTTTTCAGCAGTCAAGTACTGTAAAAATAATAGTTCAACTAAAGTCCTTATTCTCGTATGTTCATCCATTACATTGATTGTATAAGATCATAACAATCATTAATTTTTCTCATTGACAATAAATTAATACAAACATTATTTACTAGGAATATAATTATAATTAACTCAATACAGGTACCGATATTCGGGCATTACTTTCAATTATTTTTCACACGATTGTAGTTGTCTCCCTTTGTTCTATTAAGTCTTATAAGGTAACGTGATTGGATAATCACTACTGTTTATAAATAATCACAATTCATAAAAACAAGCTGTAGTATTTTAGTCTTGGTTGTCAAGAACGTGCATTTATTTGGATCGTTAGTGATATGAACACCTGAATTTCTAGGCCTAAAATATGAGTTCATCAATATTACTATTTTATGATGATAATTTTAAAATTGATTCCCAGCACTAAGCTACATCTCCTTATTTTATTGAAACTACAACTGGTTCTTATTTTCAGATGCAAGAATTGGGGCAACCACCTAAAGACATTGTTGGAGAGATGGTAAGTCGTGTAATGTTCTGTCATTTACATGAGATAGTCCGCATTCAAAGCATACTTTTCGTTCCAACTCTAACTAATTTCGTGCGACGTATACTTCACGTAAAGTAAAATTATGCTTGGTTAGAAGTTGACAATATTTTCATAGCTTTAGAAAGGTCCCGGCATCAGCAGAATGATATGAGCTCTAATCACTAATTCACTGAACATGTATTCTGTCCAGCGTGTCATCAATAACAAAATACTTTGGCCATTACATTACAGTTCAAATGAAATTCATTCCATAAGAATACTATTCTGGTGAGATCAGAAATACTGCCTGAAACACTTGAAAATATTGAGAACTCTCAACATATATTCGGTTCAACTAGTTAACACCTTGTGACAAGATAAATACCATTGATCTCAAATATTGTAATATGTCACAGAGTTTGTTGTTCAATAATAATAGATTATTAATGCCTCGCTTTTGAGACACTGAAAGCAATGGTCATAACGCAAATTACGTCATCCATTGATAAGATGGCAACGTCATTTGAATGAAAAGCCTAAATGACATCACTAAACACCCAATCAACAGCCAGAAAATGAGCTACCTTCCCTTTATAATTTCATTAAATAGCTTATTTAATTCCCATTTTAATGATGTCGAGTTAGTGGGATTGGAGGAAATGGTGATGGAGACGTCAAGGTGGAGATTTTACTGCAGTGACACGGTGCTGTTTGTTTGCATTATGAGCCTCAACCTGGATTCAAAATGGCCGTCATGTGAATAAGGTCTGTTGCGTGTTGCCTGCTCCCATTTGATTTCATTTCACTTATATGAAGTTTCATCTAGAATGCATTCACATGTAAAAATCAAATGATGATATATTTATATCTATACAGGCACCAGGGTTAGAGTTTGATGATAATGGTTTACCAAAATTACCAGGAATGGCCTCCTCGTGTTCTATAATGTGATACTTAATTAGTAATATTCATCATAAATTTCAAATCATCTGTTATATGGTAGCAATTACAAAATTTCAGCTTTTTTCTTTTTTAATTTCTAAATCGAAATCGAAAAAGAGTAGGTTAATGCTGCTGTCCTGGCAAAATTTCTCTGATTGCACCATGCATGGCGTTGTCTAACACCCTTAATTTCATTTCATTTCATTTTTAAAGAATTTTTCAAGTAATTTGGATTAGTGAAAAGAAGATTCTATTCAATTGCTGAGTTGGGTTTAATTGAATTTAATTTTGAGTACAGAAAATACTGTAAATTTGTAGTTGCTGATCATGTGTGTGCTTAGTAGAGTCAAAATGTGAGTGTAGTGTGTGTGTACGAGCTAAGTTGTAGGAGTAATTGCCACAATTATCAGAAACATCATTTCAGTACTCAAAGCAGACAACCAGATCTACATCAGGGATTTTCACCAAGGGGGTAGTTTTGAAGTTTTTAGTAATGAGGCACTTTGTAGTCTACCATTAAAATCTTTGGACAATTATAATGTATTCAGTCAAGCTATATTCTCTGACATTGAAAAAGATTGCAGGGAAAACTTAAATAAAACAGGAAGATTTAAATAGAGGAAGGGGGTAATACAAACAATCAAGCATCTTGAAAGAGGTAATAGAAAGAAAAAGGTTGATAACCCCTGATATAGATGGTTTATGTTATATTTTTTCTGGTGGTTACTATGCTAGTGTTCCCTGATAATAAAATATCATTCTTCAAATCATGTTCAGCTGAAAAGTTGTTAAAATTAGACAAACTTGATGCTGACCATTAACAATTACTGTTAGAAGAGAGCTTACAATACATAAAAATATTGTTGAATATAGAAATTTCACAAGGTTGACCACAGAGTTCAGAATAAGGGAATTATCTAGAGATCTGTTTTTTTCTCAGATAAGAAAAAATATTCAAACCTTTCTTATACATAGTGGTTTTTGATTGGTAAATTTTCAGGGAATGTTAAAGAGGTTTTCTATTCTTTCTCAGTGTATTAGAGACTAAGACAGCATTGATTTGCATCATTCCCATTTTCTTGCAAATTATCTTAACAAATATCTTTAAGCAATAATTTAAACAATAATTTCCTATCAAGGTTTATTGTGAAACCCATTAATGTGGTTGCCTACAATGAGACTCACCTATCACAGTTCTGTATTTAATTTCATTTGATGTTTCTAATTAAAGTTGTTCTTCTGATGCTGTACAATATACAATTGGATCAAATACTTATAGAGAAATCATGCTTTCTATGTGTTTGCTTTATCAGCATTTAGAAGTCAAAATTCCGCTATTGATATTTCTTTTCTGAATTAACATTTAACTGCTGGCATACTTGCCCAAACTATCTATCTGTATTAAATTGTAGACAACTGGACATCTGAGTTTCAATTTGAAAGTGGTTAAGGATAGCTGAGAATGACAATAATAAAGTTAAACTTGAAATTCTTATGTATAAATTATGTTTGGAATATTGGACTTTTGGTTGAAATACTTTTGAATATAAGTAATGAACCAGTATGCATTTTGAAAAATTGAAACTATTTTGTGTCTACTATAAATGATTGATAAATTAGAAATGTATATTAAGAGCTTAAACGCTGAATATTCTGCATAGTTTTAAGTTCAAAGTTCAGTTTGAATTTTAATTACACGTATGTGATTTTTATGCGCTCACATTGAAATGTAGACGTATATTGCTGCCATCTCTGTCCATCCATAAACACTACATAGACTACAGTTATAATTTGATCTTGATGAAACTTTGTATGCATATATATGTTGATGAGATCTCAGTCAAATACGAATTTGATAGTAATCAGTTGAACAGTTTTGGAGTTATTGCCCTTGACTTTGAAAAAACGTGTCAATTCAGTTTGTATCCAATTTCGATGATACTTGGTATGCATGCATATATGGTTGATGAGATCTCGGTCAAGTTTGAATTCGGTAATTATCAGATGAACGGTTTTGGAGGTATTGCCCTTGATGGAAGAATAGATAATGGGCTCTAGAAGTCGTATTTTTCTGTCGATTTTTTTTTGGGTTTGCATTTTTGGAATCTACTGACAAAATCTGAAGATTTATCACAGACATTTTTTTTGCCAAATTTTGCATTTGTTTTGCTTTTTGTCTAATTTATCTGAAAAAAATTGAGCAAAGACAGTTTAAGACAGTAAACAAAATGGTACAGTCAGATTTTCAACTTCATTTCCGGTTTAAACAGGAAATCGATTTCCACTTCCGGTTTAATAACTTCCGGTGTCATTTGTACAGGTCGCAAAATTTTATGCTGATAGGTAGACAAAGTTATGACAAAAAAAAATGAAGAAAAAAAAATCTGGACAAGATGTGAAACATTGGCCGCCATTTTGATTTTTCTGAAATGATTCGATTTTTATACGCCCACATGAAATGGGGGGCGTATATTGCTGTCACCCATGTCCATCGGTCCGTCCGTCCTTCCGTTCACAATTGCTCGTAAACACTCTACAAGACACCATTCTGGACGGATTTTGACAAAACACTCTAGAAGGCACAATTCGGATTTTGACGAAACATGGTGTGAGTGTTCATAATCACCCACGGATGAACCCTATTGAAAATCAGAAGAATCGAAAAATATTTAGTATGAGTTATTGCCCTTGTTCTTGAAAACGGGTTCAATTTTTAGCTTGTAAACACTCTACAAGACACAATTCTGGACGGATTTTGACAAAACCTGGTATGAGTGTTCGAAATCACCCAAGGATAAACCCTATTGAAAATCAGAAAAATCGAAAAATATTTAGTATGAATTATTGCCCTTGCTCTTGAAAACAAGTTCAATTTTTAGCTCGTTAACACTCTAGAAGGCACAATTCTTGACGGATTTTGATGAAACTTGGCATGAATGTTCGTAATCATCCAAGGATGAACCCTATTGAAAATCAGAAGAATTGAAAAATATTGAGTATGAGTTATTGCCCTTGTTCTTGAAAACATGTTCAATTTTTAGCTTGTGAAAACTCTAGAAAGCAAATATTCAATCTTCAGCGCGAGACTGAATAATAAAACCAAGTTTTGTCAAAATCCAGCAAGAATCATGTCTTTTAGTTTTTTCACGAGCTAAAATTGAACATGTTTTCAAGAACAAGGACAATAACTCATGCTCAATATTATTCAATAAAGAGTTCAGAAGAAGTGTATGACTGAAGGTTCATTCTGGTAATTGTTACTGTACTGCTAAATATTTCTATTCAAAAATCAAAGCTGCCAGTAGGAATATATTACCTTGCCTGGCAAGCTATCTTTATTCAGACATAACGGTTTATCCGATTTGAATGATTTTGGTGTCAAATGAAAGAAGATAAAAAAAAACATGATTTTAGGAAGCCGTTTTTCGATTCTAGATTTTGCTTGTCTGCAACTTTCGGTTGAATTTTTTCAAAGTTTGAAGGGTCATATCTCGTGATCTTGGGCTTTGATGACCTTGACCTTTATAAGACCCAAGGTCCAAGGTCATTGACCTAAGCTATCAGTTAATACTTTGACATTTGACCTCCGGCATGTACTTCCGGTTTTATAGCTGTCCGAAACCAGCCAAATTCGCAACATCCGGGTTGAATTACTATTTGTTTACATTTTGGGGAAGGGGCATAACTCGCATAGGATACATTTGTTCAAAAAGGAACTTTGCACACAATTACCTCATCCTTTTGGCCAGTTTGTGTTAATAGGTCAGTTGTTTCAGCTTTATAGTTCCAAAAAAGGAACGGGTTTTGAAATTTCCATATGTTCAATTTTCGTTTTTGACCTTTATTGACATTTGTTGACGTATATCTTTTGACCTGTATGATGTAGAAGATTTAAATTTGGAACATGACATAGCATTCAGAATATCAATTAACGTATGCCAAAGAAAGAAGTGGCACATCCGGGTTAAATTACTCATAATTGACATTTTTGGCCAGCGGCATAAATCGCAAATCATACATTTGTTCAAAATGGAACTTTGCATACAATTACTTCGTCTGTTGAGCCAGGTTGTTTGAGAAGATCGATTTTTTCAGCTTTTTAGTTAAAAAAATATGAGAAAATACAGACTACAGTATTAATCCAATTTTGATTAAATTTGAAACGTATGTGTATGTTGATGGAATCTTGTTTATATGTAAATTTGATAACTACGAATAATTATGAAGATCTTAAATATGAGAAAATTCGTAAATTAGTCACTAAAGACTTGATTATCATTTCTGACAGCTGCCAATGAGCGTATGTTACATTGCCTGGCAAGCTATATTTTCAAACCATGTTATTAATATTAATTTTCTAGTTTTAAGTTATATTGAAACTTTTGTTTATATATGTTGATTTATATTTTAATTAAAATCCTCCATTCATAGTTGTTGATGTTGTTTTTAAACAGAAGTTACTTATCTACATGAACATTTTTGTCGACTTAAACACATAGTAACCTACATGGTATATTACTTTGCTGTCTATTTTCAGATATAAGCGCGATTCCGGATGTGTTTATTTACTTGAAGTATGATTTTTTTTTTATTATTAGGCCACAATTGATAAGCAATTTAATAGAAATACATGTATTGATAAAAGTTATTACGTTAAAAAAATTGAAGAAATTGGATTTTTTTCTTGTGAACTTGTGTTCTATTCCAAACATTAATAAATATGAAGTTTTTTAACAATTATCTTCGTTAAATGCAGTTAAAAGTGCTGGTTTAAATTAATTAAATCCTTTATTTCTCAATGTGTTGCTTATACGTTAAGTGGTCCTTTGACTCATATATATAATCTATCATGCATTGATGCAAATATATTCCCTGATAAATTCAAAGAAGCAATAGTGAGGTCTGACCCCAATAATTATAGACCAATATCTGTTTTATCTAGTGTATCTAAACCGCTTGAATATATTATTCAAAACATGTTACAAATTTTTTAAATGATAACCAATTACTTTATTCGCTACAGTCTGGTTTTAGATCTAATAGTTCTTGTCAAACAGCTCTCACTAATATAATTGAAAACGTTGAAGCAGTAAATAATAATCTTATGGTTGGTTCTATTTTCTTTGATGTTACAAAAGCGTTTGATTTGATGTCACATGACATAATTATTGAAAAACTAAAACTATACAATTTTTCGAATGAATTAATAACCTATCAAATCGTACCCAACAATGTTACGTCAATGGACCTCTTTCGTCTTCTTGATAAAAATAGACATGCTTACTAATAGTTAGCTTGACTTTAACAGTTATGGTTCAATATAACTTATACTTATACTTATTCAATAATTTTGTACTCTTTCATATTTATTTATACACATGCTATTTCACTAACAATTCTATTTTTGGCCTGAACTTAATCAATTTCAAAATCAAAAACTCTTAATGTCAGGGGATGAGTAACCATTTTAAAGCTGGCCTTGAGCAGGGATAAATCCGACATTACCTAAGATCATGAAAGAGAGTAGTGTTGGGTTGACTACTCGCAGCACTTGCATTGACTTGTGCCTTGCGTTTTTTCTTTCAAATTAATCACGTATAATGTATTTCGGTGCCTTTACATCTTGTAGTCATGTACTTGATCACGTTAGCATAAGCTTGTCCATCTCATAGACATGTACTTGTGTATATGTATGTTTCTGTATATATATATATATATATATATATATATATCGTTAAATAGTGATGGCTTGTACATCTTTTTGTGGTCATGATCATAGCAACATATAGTCTGTCCATTTAATACACATGTGTTACACAGGTTGTCTATCGAGGTATTGTGTATTTTTTTCATTCATCATATTGTGCCCGTGAGCCGAATGTTAGACTGCACCATTTCCTTGTGTTTTGGGTCTAATACTGACCAAATAAACGCCCAATTGTAGAGAAATATGTCTCCTGTGTATTCTAAAGGTTTTAACTAATATTACCAAGACATACAAAAATACCAACGCTAGGTCACACTGCTTAATTAACAATCACTAATCTCTTTTAATTAACCCTTTTAGAACAAATTCAGTTTGATGTATACCAAGTTTCATTAAAAATTTATCGCATCTACTAGACCCAGCGAAAATAAATCAAAGGTCTTAAACTTAAAACAAATATAACATAAAAGTATTTCCTTTACAAGACAGTAAATAAGCGTCTGGGTCACACAGGGAAAAAAAAATCTTTGTTTTCTTATCATCCCACTCTGACAGTAATTAAATAGATTGTAATGAGGTTTTCTAGCATTTTTATGTGTATCGGGGGACACCTTTGACATCGATGGCTACGAATTCTCTTGCTGGAGCTGCGTCATTTCTGATTAACTGCAGGAACTACGGGCATTGGATGAAGAATTGGAATGTCCCAAATACAAGTCAAAGGTGTCCCCGTTACACATAAAAAGGCTAGAAAACATCTTTATAGTTCCTTTAAGATTTTTAAAGTATAGCGTTTAGACTATGAATGATGCAGATTTGTACATTATCTTTGTACTTTATACATCGTGTAGAATATTTATGACTTTCTTTCATAAGAAAATTATTATGTAAATCAATTCCAAATAATTCTTAATATACTAAAGACTTGTGACTTGGATATTAAAAGCTTTCTGTCAGAATTGGAAATGGAATCATCTGTAACGTACCGGACTAGTCTAGAAGGCATTCCGGTCGATTCGTATGGAAAAGTGAATGCATCAAGTGAAGATGTCCAAATTTTGCAACAATTTGCTAAAAATTGGTAAACAAAAATATTGCTGTCCTAGCATATCTTTTCCCTTTTTCATACATATGATTAAAAAATCACTTCTTGCTCTTAACCTACTTTATGTTAGTTTTTGTTAGGCCGCGTGGAGTTGTGGACGTCTATTGTCGTTGCACTTATCCACCGGCCAGTTCACATTAACTTGTAACCCCCTTTGTCACCCTGTATATACGGGCCTGATTCCATTTTGGTTAGACTCATCGCATTATAATAAAGACAATTCTCTCTTTAAGAATAAAACCTTTAATTTTGAATACACGTTGAAGAAGCTAAATCACATTCTCGGATTGACTGGTCCCAAACTTTCCCCTGTGGACACGGTTGATCTGGATACAGTTTACCACTCACACAAGTGACATAAACGTCACAAGCACGACATGATTGGTAGTTACCATCCCTTTTATCCCGACAGTCGTATGTACATGGCCCATTCATCCTATCAAAGAAAATTGGTTAAAATTAACGTCAACTGGTTCAAAATTTTCGTTCCATTGCCCCATAACAATATTTCAGTGTGACATATGCTGCGTTTCGAGGAAGAATTCAGTAGTTCAATAAACGTGCATATTAATGCCAGATGGGCACATTTCCATAATAGAGTGCCATAGCTTTCATGGAATATTTTCCTATATAGACATGTTATGCGAGGACTCTTATAGCTTCAATTTGCACCGTTCCAAATTACTATTCGACTTCCTTTTTATGTACGGTATATCTAGAACAGTTTGTCAAGATCATGTCGTCACTATCGTATAACCATTTGGCATTGAAGGTAATTCTGATAGTCCCCCATAATCTGATAAGTCTTCCGGATGTTGATTTTGGATAAGAATGAATGGAACTCAAAGCCGCCACTTACCAACATGTTGAGGAAGGAGGAAAGGTACATTTCTTTCTATTATTATCCCATACTAGATCTTCATAGCAGGTACCATTATCATAGAGTCTACCTCTATCACATGTTATATATGTTTTACACGAATCACATGATTGATATACACCATTCTCTTTACCCCAACAGTTGATTACACAAGCTGAAATTGATGAATACTGCTATACTGTATACTTGTCTCATACCGATATTTCAGTCCATTTTGTTTCAAGCCGATATTTTAGTCCATATTGTTTCAAACCGGTATTTCAATCCGATATTTCAGTCCATATTGTTCCAAGCCGATGTTTCCTTCATATTGTTTTAAGCCGATATTTAAATCCATATTGTTTCTGGTCGATATAACATAATATACCAATATTACATTGTAAACTACATTATTCTATACCGACATTTAAGTGCAATTTGTCCCTATTGTCGATATTTCAGTGTAGGCTATATTGTACATGCCGTTATATCAGTATACATTGTCTTATACCAATATTTGTATACATTGTCTCATACCAATATTTGTATACATTGTCTCATACCAATATTTGTATACATTGTCTCATACCAATATTTGTATACATTATGCATACCAATATTTGTATACATTGTCTCATACCAATATTTGTATACATTATGCATACCAATATTTGTATACATTGTCCCATGCTAATATTTGTATACATTGTCTCATACCAATATTTGTATACATTGTCTCATACCAATATTTGTATACATTGTCTCATACCAATATTTGTATACATTGTCTCATACCAATATTTGTATACATTGTCTCATACCAATATTTGTATACATTATGCATACCAATATTTGTATACATTGTCTCATACCAATATTTGTATACATTGTCTCATACCAATATTTGTATACATTGTCTCATACCAATATTTGTATACATTGTCTCATACCAATATTTGTATACATTGTCTCATACCAATATTTGTATACATTATGCATACCAATATTTGTATACATTGTCTCATACCAATATTTGTATACATTGTCTCATACCAATATTTGTATACATTGTCTCATACCAATATTTGTATACATTATGCATACCAATATTTGTATACATTGTCTCATACCAATATTTGTATACATTATGCATACCAATATTTGTATACATTGTCCCATGCTAATATTTGTATACATTGTCCCAAACAGATATATCAGTATACATAGTACAATGCCGATATATCAGTAACCGCCACATTGTCTGTACCGATAATTCATTGTATTTGTAGGTTACATTTTTCCATACCAAAATTTCAGTGTTATCGTTCCACGTCAAGAGATATTTCAATGTAAGACTACGTTCTATATGGATATATTTCAGTGCATACTACACTGTTCAATACCGATGGATATGACAATGTACGCTATGATTTTCCAAGTAGATATTACAGTGCTGTGTAGAGAACTTGAAATCAATTGTATTGATATACAATGTATTTTGAGTAAATATTTTTATGGGGTCATGTTTCTTCACTTTCACTCATCAGTTGACGTATATTGGCTTTCTGAAACTATTCGAAGAAGCTTTTTAAATTGTCTTCTTTGAAAATGAAAACAAAAACATGTAGATATTCGATATTAAAGATTTAATTATTTAATTACCTGGTCCAGTACCCCATTTAGTCGGCGTTCTATAACTGTCGATATCGACCCTTTTGTACAGCGAAGACGCACTCACACATGTCAAAATCAAATATAAACCATACAGGACTGTCATTTAGAGCTGGAATCGATAAAACGTAACATATTCATATAAAGATTAAATATCATATACAAAATAAAGTCATCTTAACAATATCAAGCTATTACTAATTTCCTTCTTTATACCTTGACTGCAAAAACAAAAATTCTTCTATGGGATGAAGTATGTTCATAAAATTCATTTAGTCGTGTAATTTGTCGCTGAAATAGATGATATTAAAAGGGTAGGCTTCGCAAGCTTGCTTTATTTCCAGTTCTTCTTTGCAGCAGAAAATTTAAAATGTAGCCATTTAATTTGTTCACACCGATACTTCAACAACGGGATAGGTGTGCTATTTTTGGACCAATTATACACCAGTCTCAGAAACGGGATTTTTTTTTATTAAGCCAATCAGTAATAGTGTTCACACCTCACCGTCGACATTTGAGCCTTCAAATCCATGTGTTTCTACAATTATTCATGTTTGAAAGTCAAAAATACGAGTCGTCTTTTTTGAGACATTGCCATATATAGAAAATACATCACTTAGTTTGATATATATTTGTAGAAATTATGCGATTTCGTACATTTCTATTACTTCTGAAGACTATTTACATATATTGAAGTCTCAAATCAACACCCTAATGGCATCTATCCCTTTAACATTAACAATCAAATAACTAGTTAAACTCCTATAAACAATCACACTCAACCAATGACGATAGAATCGTGCTGCCAACCGTCTTGGTGGATTAAGATGATTGTAAGACCATGAATGCACTTATTCCAATGGTGATTTGTGGACAAAAGAAACTCAATATTGATCTCAATGATCTTAAAGTGATACTACGTCTTAGAATTAACATAAAATTTTAAAATTTTAAACATGGCCAATAAGAACATATATTCATCAGAAGATATACCTGGTGTCATAAATAACATAACAGGATTCTTATATAATCCGATAAATCTAAAAAACTTATTAATTATCCATAAATATGCAATTAACAATTGAAAAACGCTTAATATTAAGATTAAGTGTTTTTAAATAATTACTTAATTTTCCAATTTTCCAGATTCGACAGGGATTCTGTTGTAACTTATGAAACCATGTACGCTAACTGATCAATATAGACTAATATTAACCTTTTCGAGAACTTAAATTTTATGCTCATTCTAAGACGTAGTGTCACTTTAATATTTTTAAGACTGTAGTCCGAATAAATAAACAACAATTTAATATTTTAGAAATATTTTCTTGAAAACAATCGACACTTTGAATACTTTATTCCAGTTCGCTTGACAATTTCGATTTACTGTCAGAAAGGGAGAAAAGAATTTTAATGACCCTTAAAAGCTTTCAGATAATCCTGGGTCTTTCTTTTTAAACATTTTCTGCTTTGCTTCCTTATTAAGTGAAATGCTAAAAAAATATTCGGGGAGTAGTCTTCAGATCGATTAACGCGATCAGTGGCGGGGGCAAAGGATGGGAGGGGGGGGGGGGGGTGGTGGTTACCCTCAGGTATTTCGCCGTAAACCTGGCTCCGACTCTCGACGCGACCAATAAAACTTTGCGAAGTAATGTCCGATCAAATTAGTCAATATAACTTTTTACAAAGTATCATAGCATATCAAAAGAATTAAAATGATTCATAAAGCCTTCACAAGTAGACCTAGAACCTAGAACCATTGTACTAAGTCCGTATACTTTTTAATTTTTTGTTTTACTTCCTTATTAAGTGCTATTTTCAATGAAATCAATATAAAATAGCCCAGGAAGTAGTCTGTATATATTTATTCCGCTTGGTTTGGAACAGATCGATCGTCTTCTCGAAAACAATGGCTTTTTTGCCAAGTATTGTCAAACAAAATTGGTCAATAATACAATACAATCTGATTAAATCCATCATGTCAAAACTTTTTTGTTAGACGAGCTAAACTTCGAAAACGAAATAGTTTGTGAAAACAGTCGACTTGACAAATTCTGCTTTCATATTGTCTGTTTCTTCTTTAAAATTTTTAAAACAGAAATTGTGAAATATTAAGAAATAATGTAAGACAATTATGAACAATTTTCAAAAACATACAAATAATGGTTTCCAGCCTAAGAAAACTTACGAGGCACTGCAATTATAAACAGAATAAATACTATAATAAATACAATACAAATCAATTTAATGCCCGTTAATGGAAATATTAAATATGTTCAATCCATAGTTAGTGCTAGTTCACCCATTATTAATTATACATATTGCTGGTTGCTTGATACAGATGCACCATTTCACGTACATGGAAGTAGCACAATTAATATAGACCTCGATAGAACATTCCTTACTGATTGCTGTTAAAGTTTCAGGTCCGTCGTGGGTATTCTTTCCGAGAGTGGTTGCAGGTACTACTTTCGAGGAGAAATGCTTCCAGTGAAGGTGTGTTAATGAAATCTTAGAAACTTGCAAAGTTAGATTAAATGACAATTCGGACAACAATTATTGATGGTTGATTGCAGAAAAGGAATGTATGCATGGGTGATGGAATAATTATTCAAGTGATGACTTTATGTAGCAGGCCTTGTTACTTGTACATCGGTATAGCAATGGGAATTTGAGACGATTTCTACTTCTTTGAAGTTGGCAGCAGTGATATTCGGGGAGAAACTGAAATTGATAAAACTCCAGATAGGTTACTACAAATACGTATAAAGACATATTACGAAATTCAGTATCGACCAGAGATTGAAGAGTCTGTGTTTAGTATATTGATGATTATTTCCAGTCGCTTATAGATTTAGCAAGAACCTTTTCCGTTGAACATACAATAGAGACAGATAATATCCTTTAAAGGTATACTACCTCTTAGGATGACAAAATTTTTTTTTTTTTTAACTTAATTAAAATGAGTCATCAGTGGATTTACCATAACTATACAAAGGTATCCCTTTAAAATCAAATAAATCCATAAAACTAAGTAATAATTCATTACACAAATACAATTTTAAACATTCTAAGGATCATTGATTTAAACAGTATTTTATTTCTATTATAATTATAATATGTACAAAGTGAAAATAGGGATTCAGAAACCTACGCTAATCCGTCAGTGAAAAGTATTCAACCATGTACAATAAGTAATGGAGTGGTGTATCGGGTGTTCTTTTTTGATTTTTATTTGTAGTTTTGTATATATACTGTTACATTGTGATAGCTGATACTTCTTTTGTGTCCATCGTAGTATTGTATATTTCAGTTAAACTTACTGAATTAACACCTTGCAGCCTGTTTTATTCCAGATGTTGCTGAAATTATGACGTCAAAGCCTAAATCATAAAAGAATAGGGTTAACCACCTATAGAACCATCCATGAAAAACATATGACAGATTTCTAGATTATAGAATGAGTATATTCTTAGAAAAAAACAGTCCGACAATTCTTTGACAAGAGGGATGATATATTAAAATTATTCAATGGAATGAATTTATAGATTTTAATGGCCGGAATTGTAATAATGGAAAAAAAAATCCACACAAGTTAAACTGGTTTTGACGGAAATAAGTTTAGATTTTCAACTCAAATGACAAAAATTCATCTAAACATCACATCTACAACTGTCTTGTCTTGAAGTGAATTGAATAAACAATATTTTATGAAAAAAGTTTAACAAAGAAAGAGTTGAAAAAGCTAATATTTGTTATCTTGAAAATCGTCTGTCTGGTAAATTATTCCAGAGCTTTTTGTATTTCTTCATGTTATCTCGATGCTTCAGAAGATTTTTAATGATATCTTCACGAGATCATGAGAAACAAACTCAAGACCACTGTCTCGAGAGACAGACTCTTCCTCAAGATAATTTGTAATATGATTTTACTGCTTATGGCCCTGTCACACCTTGACGATTATTGAAATTGGCACTTTTTCACGAAGAAATTCGGTTTTCCCCAAAAAAATATTCGGACTTCTTCAAAAAAAAATTCGGACTTTTTCAAGAAGATATTTGAAAATGTTTACTAAGAAATTTGTACTTCTTCAAGAAGAAATTTGCAAATCTTTACAAAGAAATTTGCACTTCAAGGAACTAGAGATCTGTTCAGTACATTTTCCACAGATTGTGTCTACCTCAATAGATTTAAAGACTTGTAAAATTTTTACCATACATACCTTTAAAATTCTTGTTTTCGTGGAAAATTAAGTATATTTAGCACATTATTGTAGAAGTAGAGGAAATGTAAATCCGAGACCGTCTAAACTAAACGCCGTCTACCTGGTAACAATTTGTAACAAATTGAGTTTCGATTAAATAAATACGGCGATGTATCGTTCTAGTAGTGACATCTTGATATTTAAACTTTTATTACTTATCAAGACGTATCTAACTATATATTTGACTGTAGTGTAGACCAATGTTATTATCAGTGCGTGCTGAGATTAGTCCAGTCTCTTTCTCAAAGAAAATTTAAATATCGTAAGACTACTTTTGTTTGATCTCTCTCGTACAGTACTTGTGATAAATCTCTTTTTGGGCTAGAAATTGAGTTATCAAATTTCACGAAAAGTAACTCTTTCTTTCTCGAAGGGAATGTAAATGAAGCAAATAAAACCATCTGAACCTGCGCATATGTCCATGTCAGTTTTAGGAGGTGGCCATGAAATTTTACTTCTCAGAAGCTCTTGAATCGGGTACCTTTTCTTCGTACAGTTTCATATAAAATAGTGAGTTTCTGTAAATTTGAACCATTATGTTGAATAATTATATCAATATTGTGTGAAATTAAGAAGAAAAAAAAAAACAACTTTTTTGGCAAGCTACAAAATCAAGACTTCGTGCTTGTTGTCCTCTTTCCTAATTCAGTGTTACATCAATACCCTGTTACAGAAAAGCTGGATTTTCCTTGCTAAATCGCACCAAACAGATCAAATTAGATATGGATATCGAAGACAATGTTTAATGTTAATGGTAATAATAAACTAATTAATAATTAAATGATATCAGTTGAAATCATAATAATCTAGCTAGATAATATCACAATACTTACTCTCACTGTCTTAGCTGCTATCTCCGCTAAGATGGAACTTTTTATGTTTCGTCAAAATCGTTTAGAGTACCCACGCTCTTTCAGTTTTGAGAAAACAATCATACATGCTTGGTCGGAATCTAAGGGAACTTGCGACTGACAGAATCAGAGAGCAACTGTGTTTTCAACGACTACGAATTCATTTAGCTAAATATACTCGAGTCTTTTAATGTCATTGTGTTACACACTAATGATGTGTTCTCAATCTTTGAGTGTGGAACTAGGCTGTTGAGGGAGTTTCTAACTTTTGTAGGAAAAGAATTTACCTTTCGATATTGTTTCAGGTCTTTTGGTGTATGCGATGGACGAATAAGAGCCACAAGTATAAAGCCAACCCAGTCAATTTGGGAATCCCAGGGGACATTATAATTAGCTCGAAAGAAAAATAATACAATTTACAATGATTTGAATGTCCATATTTTTTTGAGGTTGAAGGGGTTCAAATGATTGCTCTGGGGTGTGGGGGAATCACTACACTTAATTAACACCGAGTCTTCGAGTATAATTATAAGTATAATGTATAACAGAATTAAGTTATAAAAGAATTAAGTATAATGTATAACAGAATAAAGTTATAAAAGAATTAAGTATAATGTATAACAGAATTAAGTATAATGTATAACAGAATAAAGTTATGAAATAATTAAGTATAATGTATAAGAGAATAAAGTTATAAAAGAATTAAGTATAATGTATAACAGAATTAAGTATAATGTATAACAGAATAAAGTTATAAAAGAATTAAGTAAAATGTATAACAGAATAAAGTTATGAAAGAATTAAGTATAATGTATAACGGAATTACGTTATAAAATAATGAGTATAATGTATAAAAGAATTAAGTTATGAAAGAATTAAGTATAATGTATAACAGAATTACTTTATAAAAGAATGAGTATAATGTATAACAGAATTAAGTACAATTTATAACAGAATTACGTTATAAAAAAATGAGTATAATGTGTAACAGAATTAAGTATATTGTATAACAGAATAAAGTATATTGTATAACAGAACTAAGAATATTATATAACAGAATTAAGTATATTGTACAACAGAATTAGGTATATTGTACAACAAAATTAAGTATAATATACAACAGAATTAAGTATAATGTATAAAAGTATTTACAGCTGAATTAAATTAATTTATTACATATCCCAACAGAATTTGATAAAATATATAGTATTGAAGATAGTATCTAACATACCACATGCTTTAAAACATACATGAAACAAACTAGCAATTGTTTCTGAGTCTCACAAGAACCTTTGTAATATTTCAGCTCGATGGTTTAGACGCTTGCTCGCTGACCTGAAGGTCTATGTGGGGAGGAGTAAAACTTGATGTTCAAAGAAACAGAATTTAGTGGATAAAACACAATACACATTATGAGCGTCCAAGTTGGAATGATTAGATACACGCTTGTCTTTCTTCAATTTGGAATCTCATATATAATTTCCACCTGATGGTGACATTGTAAATTGTTGAAACGTTGTGTAAAATTAAACAAGGTGTATTAAACCGTAAATACCACCAGAATTTGACAATTTAAAGAACCCAATCTAATAGTTGCAAGTGTTAGATTCGAAGTTACAATTACGTATTTTTTGATCCCACTTCAGATTACTGTAACAAGGTTGAGAGATAAGGTTTCCATTTGAACAGCTAACATAATGATCACACCCACCACACGATTGGTACGTTCCCCCGGGTATATGACCACAGGTGGCTACGCATGCTCGGTGATCGATGATAAGATTTTCTACTTCCGCTAGAGAGAGAGTCTGTGATGCAACTAATTCATTGACTAGAACAAAAGAACCGTCGCCTTGTGGTACCGACCTTTCTACAAACGTGTACGATGATGTTGTGGTAGTTGTTGGGACTGTGGTTGTGGGCGTAGTTGATGTTGTATCTGTGACCATCTGCCATGTCTCTGAAAGATCGAAGCATATGGAAATAGGAAATAAATTAAATGACTTGCACAAAAAGCGGTATATTTTGTATACTGGATACCTGCCATTTCCATCATAAACCAAATAAAGTATCGTGTCCAACTAGCTAACAGATTGTAACAGACGCGACCATTGATCCCTAGTGTAGTATGACACCAATTTTGGGATTTTTGAACAAAATAGCCATACGGTGTACAAATTACTTGTTCAATATATTCTATGTTTTATAGTTACACGAATGGAAGAACTCTCACATTTGGTCAAATGTTATGTATCGAAAATGACCCAACCAAATAACCTAATCAGGTTTAGTCAAAGACAATGAATTCAAACTGTCTTACAACTAAAGTTTAAAATTCAATATCAAAAACGGCTTTAATTATATTAAAGTATAAGGCTATTTATATCTATGTATCTTAATTTGTTTTAAAAGGTTTAATTGTAAATTGTTATTTAATCAGTTTGATCTAGTTTTGGTGTTTGGCTATATAATTGATCGATATTATTAGTTGAAACCTTCATAACAAGTTGAATGCATATTTTCTACAATTTGGCGTTTATTTAGTTTTCTACCAGCTTCGAAAATGCATAATGAACTTAAAAGTTAAACAGTTTACGTAAACTTAAAAAAATTAACGGCTGGATTTTTTAGTTAAAACTTTCAGATAAGTTAAGGGATACATTTCTCGAGATTTTGATGTTTCGACCTACACAATAAAAAACGGAATGCCTTTTTAAGTAATGAAATTTATTTCCTTATGTAATTTAATTTGTTAATCAATTAGTTTGCTTAATTGACACTAAAAAATAAGGAAACCCATCTTTAATAAACAAAATTGATTATTTAAGCTGTCAAAAAAAACCGCATATATAAAGGTCTTACATGGAAATAATACACACAAACTTAGTTCACAACAATTTGAGAAGTTGTGATTGAATTTTTAAAAAGGCTATTATATTTCAACTAAGCCTTCAAATTGCATTTATTGACTGTATGTACATGTATACCAAATTTATGTATGTTTTAAATTTGAAGCAGTCAAATCACAAGATAGTTGACGTTGAAAATTTCACTGAAGTCAAATTGAGAGATCCAAATATTATGATACCAACCTGTATGACACGCTGTCTCTCCTGGTTTAATTATAACACAGTATGTTTCATCTGGACAGGTATGATGAGAACAGTCTCCTGCTAATCTCTAGAAAATAATAATACAATTAATCATGATACACAATAAGGAAAGTTTAATCAAAATTAGACCAAACTTTCGTATCCTTTTTTTTTATTAGCTTTAATTTATAATTTAGTCACTTCACTTAGAATCTAAAGACGGGTCTCTTGAACATTGTCTTCCCTATCGGTCAATCTTTAGACCATAACTGAATTGGCGACAAGATATTTAGTCTTTGGGAATTGGGTAAGTAGAACTTACAGAAAATTGGGCAACAAGATATTTGGTTTTTGAGAATTGGGTAACTAGAAATTACAGAAAATTGGGCAACAAGATATTTGGTCTTTGGGAATCGGGTAAATAGAAATAACAGAAAATTGGGCAACAAGATATTTGGTTTTTGGGAATTCAGTAAGTAGAAATTACAGAAAATTGGGCATCAAGATATTTGGTCTTTGGGAATTGGGTAACTAGAAATTACAGAAAATTGGGCAACAAGATATTTGGTCTTTGGGAATTGGGTAACTAGAAATTACAGAAAATTGGGCAACAAGATATTTGGTCTTTGAGAATTCGGTAACTAGAAATTACAGAAAATTCGACAAGCAGACTTTATATTAATGGAAAAAAGACATTTGGTGACAGCGAAATTAGCAAGCAGGCATTCAGTCATGGGGAATTTGATAGCAGAAATTTGCTTAGAGGGAATTTGGCCAGCACAAATTAAAAACAGGGATTTTGATCCTCAAGCATTTGATCACAATATTACAGGTTAATTTACTTAAAAAAAAAATTGGTCATAGTTATTTGTAAAATAGATAATTGGTAATAGTAATGATGCCTGACGGATTGGTCACAGTTATTGTGCCAAGTGGAAAATTGGTCAAAATACAGATTGTACACAATAGAATTATGGAGGTGATTTGATCAAAGTTATCATGAATCTAGCTAGCCTAATACTGTCTTTAATACATAATAAACCCCTACCTAAGTCTTAAATTGATCTGACAAATAAATATACTATTCGCAACATTAATTATAAACGATAGCGATTTATTCAAAAGGTAAAATAGATGATGACTTGTTATCCTTAATATAAATCAATGGTTTGTAAAGATATTTTATTCGCTTGATTTCAGTTTCAATTACCTGAATTATTTAAAATGATATAGAAACATAAAATAATAGCTTATAATAATTGATTGGCTAATTGGTCGCTTCCCTCCCCTTGAGAGATAGAAAGTGCTTTCACTTAATTTATCTTCTATGACATATTGTATAGAACAAAATAGCCTGTATTGATGTACTATTTCTAAATGTGCAAAAGTTGTTGTTAAATTCCAATGTGGCAACTTATGTACCACTGAAGAAATGTCACTGTAAGTCAACAAAACACTTGAGGGAAATATTTTTTTTTTTTTAAACTGTCCCATATGGTAATGTATTTCTGCACACTATAGCCTGCTACCTACAATAACAAAATATTTGCACTATTTCAGGTTTTGTTTTAATACATCTACCCTACCAATGCAATTCTTCGAGGGATACCTTCCTTAAAAAACGGAAATTTGGAGAGGAAGCAATCTTCACCTTACTGAGCTACCACACCCCTTCCTCCAAGATAGAGTGTGGTATTGTTTCTGTAATTGTATCGGTCATGATAATAATTTGTGAATAGTCTATGTTTTATTTTTACAGCAATAAACTAATGTTTTAAATCATATACACAGCTGTGGATGACAATGACATCAAACATAATGAAGCTCAACTCTAATGAAACTGTAGATGTATAGCTCCTCCGTCTGGACATGATGGTCATGCGCTCACTCTTATGTTCATGCAAGATCATCATTTTCGTAGGTCAATCGTACCTTGTTAAAAACTGGTTTTAATCTGCTAAGATGATCAGTAATAGTGTTTACAGCTTACCGCCGAAATTTTAGCTTCAAATCCAAATGCGTCGATAATAATCCGTGTTTGAAAATACATTTTTCAAGACTCCGCCATAATCATCACATAGAACAGTTAAGGAATGGATAATCGAAAATTATCCGTAAACCATATTTCCAATTATAGACGTTATCAACAAGACGATTTTCGCGTACCCCAATTACAAATTTGTGGTATTTTTGAAGGAATTATGCGATTTTCAGTTCTGGTACTTCTGAAGATCATTTACAATTTATTCAAGGCCAAAATCAACCCTCGAATATGCCACCAGAAGGACTTTAAAATTTCTGAACTATCACTCTTAAAGCATATATTTTATAAAGTTCTTTCTAACCTCCCTAACCCTTCATCCAAAAATATAACATGTCTTCAGATAAAGCCCGCTCTGCTGGATCCGGCCATTAAATCAATAAAATAAGCTACAGTTATCTACAGTTATATTGATGATATTGATAACAACCACAACGAATTTCAACAATTTAGATGCAATATCGTATTCGTAATTGTGTGTTCCCTCTTAGGCAGTTGCAAAAGAATGGACAAGGTCATTGTTTATGTTCCGGGTCACAAGACCACATGTTCCATGTATGAGGCCACAACCTCGAGAGTCCATATTATGGGAACAGGCTCTAAGCAAACAAAGGTTCATTGTCTTTGTGGTCCACGAGATCACAAGGGAACAGCCTTTGGATACTGCGGCTATTAGACATTAACCTATAGAAGATATCTATACAGTATACAGTCGACCTATTATGAATCATTGATGTAAATTGTTTCGAATTTGTTTTGTTTTCATTTAAACAATAAGTGGTTGAGACATTTATTTCATTGTGGAGGTACTAAAGCTTATTCATACATTAATTCAAAACAAAGCAATAAAGTTTTTCTTTTCGCTCTTAAAGCCACTCTACTGTCAAGATCTTTCACACTACCTTATTTACACCAACAACTGAAAGTAAGGTATCAACCTGCAGTGAATATCTACCATCAATTCTCAGAGGCCACGCTTTGTCATTTCCAGAGGTAGATTTGGGTCTTGAATATGTGTAAATAGTCTTCAGAAGTACTGGACCTGCACTTCAAAAATACTTCAAACTAGGAATTTCTCTCACTATTTCTGAATATGTCTGTTCTACATATGGCGCAGTCTCGAGGAAAAACAGTCGTCATTTTAACCTTCAAACGCAGATAATTCTGGACACACGTGGATTTGAAGGCTCAAATTTTGGCGGAGAGCTGTCAACACCATACGAAACTGTATACGGTTCTTACATAGAAATAACATAGTTCACAGCCATTTTAAATCACCTCCTCGACTTAATGATTGAAGGTTTAGATGGAATATTAAAGCCTTTTTCAAAATTCGACTTATTAAGTCGAGGAAATGATTCAAAGTGGTTGTGAACTTCATAGGCGTGTGTTATTTCAATGTAAGAACCATTCATAGTTTCGAAAGCTGTTGACATTATTACTGATCAGCTTAGCTAAAAAAAACATAACAACAAAATTGTATATTATTTTGTGTAGAGACCTATACACGGTCGATAAAGACCACGACAAAGATAAGGATTATTGAATATATTATAACAATAATAAAATATTATATACACTGTGTAAAAATAAATATTTTTAAAAGCAAACCGTAATACATAGATCGTAATATATCCGGAGGGGCAATGGGATATGTTATTTAGTTGAAGCAATTCCTAATTTGAACTATTTGTGACGGAGGAATTATTTGGTATTAGTACATTTTAGTTCAAAACTCAAATCTGTCCCTTTAATCGATCATTGATGTAAAATTGGAACAATAAACTTGTGGAAACGTTATTGTTTTTATTGTTGAAGGATGTGCAGTAATAAAGCTGCTTCATACATACTGTTCAAAACAAAGCAATGAAGTTTTTATCTTTCGCTCTTTAACAAAAAATATATTTCATACAGTTACAGTCGACCCATAAATAATTATTTATAGCTATTTATTTTTTTAAATTTGTTGACATTATATTGAATTTGCCTGTGTTTATTAGCTAAAATATTTGACACAATCAAGATTTTAGAGATTATGGTTGCCTCAATATTATTCTAAAGAGTAAGTCCCGAGGCGGTTGCAAGTTATCAATTATTTATACTCCACAAAGAAATAATACAGTGGTACAGTGACGCACGTGTGCTACAGGCTGTACACGTTAAAGATCCCAAGACAGTTTGAAATCGAAAAAGAGCAGGCTAATGCCACTGTCCTGGCAAAAATATGATTATTATATATATATAATTTCGTGCATGTACGATTTATTACACAAGTTTTAAATGAATGCAAGGATGTTTTTTTGCTAACAAGACACACAGATATTATAACAGCAACGTGATGCTTAAAAATATACTTACTATCGGCTATGCTGATATATAGATATAATAACAGCATCGTGATGCTTAAAAATATACCTACTATCGGCCATGCTGATATATAGATATAATAACAGCACCGTGATGCTTAAAAATATACTTACTATCGGCCATTCTTAAAAATATACTTACTATCGGCTATGCTAATATCTAGATATAATAACAGCACCGTGATGCTTAAAAATATACTTACTATCGGCCATGCTGATATATAGATATAATAACAGCACCGTGATGCTTAAAAATATACTTACTATCGGCCATTCTTAAAAATATACTTACTATCGGCTATGCTGATATCTAGATATAATAACAGCACCGTGATGCTTAAAAATATACTTACTATCGGCCATGCTGATTTATAGATATAATAACAGCACCGTGATGCTTAAAAATATACTTACTGTCTGCCATGCTAATATATAGATATAATAACAGCACCGTGGTGCTTCAAAATATACTTACTGTCTGCCATGCTGATATATAGATATAATAACAGCACCGTGATGCGTAAAAATATACTTACTATCGGCCATGCTGATATTTAGATATAATAACAGCACCGTGATGCTTCAAAATATACTTACTGTCTGCCATGGTGATATACAGATATAATAACCGCATCGTGATGCTTGAAAATATACTTACTGTCGGCCATGCGGATATATAGATATAATAACAGCACCGTGATGCTTCAAAGTATACTTACTATCGGCCATGCTGATATATAGATATAATAACCGCATCGTGATGCTTCAAAATATACTTACTATCGGCCATGCTGATATTCAGATATAATAACAGCACCGTGATTCTTAAAAATATACTTACTATCGGCCATGCTGATATATAGATATAATAACAGCACCGTGATTCTTAAAAATATACTTACTATCGGCCATGCTGATATATAGATATAATAACAGCACCGTGATTCTTAAAATATACTTACTATCGGCCATGCTGATATATAGATATAATAACAGCACCGTGATTCTTAAAAATATACTTACTATCGGCCATGCTGATATATAGATATAATAACAGCACCGTGATTCTTAAAAATATACTTACTATCGGCCATGCTGATATATAGATATAATAACAGCACCGTGATGCTTAAAAATATACTTACTATCGGCCATGCTGATATATAGATATAATAACCGCATCGTGATGCTTCAAAATATACTTACTTTCGGCCATGCTGATATTTAGATATAATAACAGCACCGTGATTCTTCAAAATATACTTACTATCGGTCATGCTGATATATAGATATAATAACAGCATCGTGATGCTTAAAAATATACTAACTATCGGCCATGCTGATATATAGATATAATAACAGCACCGTGATGCTTAAAAATATACTTACTATCGGCCATGCTGATATATAGATATAATAACGGCACCGTGATTCTTAAAAATATACTTACTATCGGTCATGCTGATATATAGATATAATAACAGCACCGTGATTCTTAAAAATATACTTACTATCGGCCATGCTGATATATAGATATAATAACAGCACCGTGATTCTTAAAAATATACTTACTATCGACCATGCTGATATATAGATATAATAACAGCACCGTGATTCTTAAAAATATACTTACTATCGGCCATGCTGATATATAGATATAATAACAGCACCGTGATGCTTAAAAATATACTTACTGTCTGCCAAGCTGATATATAGATATAATAACAGCACCGTGATGCTTAAAAATATACTTACTATCGGCCATGCTGATATATAGATATAATAACAGCATCGTGATGCTTGAAAATATACTTACTGTCGGCCATGCTGATATTTCAGAATATAACATATTAGAATCTGAAGTTAGAGTGGTCATAGACCCAGCAGCTGTTGTTGAAAGCAGTTCACAATCAGAGGTTGTCCTGTTGAAGTTGAATGATTCACAAGCAGTTCGTATTTGACAGTTTTGAACACATACCAATATGGAAATAGATTCGAGAACCTTAAAACTGTTGAATTTAAAATATACACCCTGGTCAAGTTCGGGAAAATCACCTGGCACAGAACAGGTATCCTTCAGTTCCAAGAACTTCAAATTCCAGAGAACAAGACAAGCCATTATTTCAAAGTTCGACTGCATAGTTACAGTGCTATCAAAGAATAGCTGTTAGTATTCGTCGTATTTCATCTTATTGATTTCTTTATAATATAATGTATTGTAACCATTTAAAATTCTAACACATCTCAATAGAGGGAATTTAATTTCAATTTTGTTGACGCAAGAGATTTTGATATTAATCTTAATTTTTTTGGCAACAAAAACAATGTTACATTTCTTACACTTGATTAGCAGTCTTCAGAGTAAGGTTAAATTTCATATTTGCATAAACCGAAACATCTACCCTAATGTCTATTTTGAGTTGTAGGCTGGTGTAAAGACAGAAAATCTAGGCCCCTTTATTATAGTTTTCCGCAACCGGAAGGTTTCGCAAAACTGAGCAAAAGATGAATATTTTTGTAGTACAATCATACCTTCCTATTTATGCCACGTTTCCGGTTCCATCAAAGTTTTATTTGAAATTGATTTCTCCTCTCCATTTAAAACTGCGTGCTCAACCAAAAGTTCGGGGGTTACACTTTTGC